AGTCATTTTTATAAAATAATAAATGTTATTGTGACATCCCCACAAATTCTAGGGTAAAGTCCACACCAGAGCGCAGCCACTCATTGGCCAGAGCTCAACCCTGTTACTGAGGCAATAAACAGACTAGAGAGCATGTGACTCCCCATCCATGGGACATTGGCCCATCACATGTTTCCCCCTACCCTGTAAAGGTTCTATAGTAGAGACTCCATTTTCATTGGAAAGCTTAACCACAGTGATCACATTTTCACTCCCGATTGCTAAGACATCTTCCAATGTGGGAGAAGTAAAAAGATAGCAGGGCCTGGAGGCAGAGCTCTGGGAAAAGAGAGTCTGAAACCCATCTTCATACTGTGCTGCAGTTTCTTGTCAAAGCTCCAAGATGGAGTTGTTCTTTTCATCTGGAGATCTCTCAACTTCCCTCAATCCCCCAACTGTTCATTACCTCTTTTCATTTGCCTAGATATTTCCTGTTTTCAGACACTGGCCAGGTAATAATTACTGTCAGGAAGAGGAATCATTTCATCTTTAAAGCATTAATAACAACATTTTTCACTTAGCTTTTCTAATATTCTTAACATTTTTTGTGGTTTGGCAACACCTAAAGTTATTTTCATCTGCTGCAGTTCTGCATAACTTGCTAGGTTAACAACAGCGGTGCTACTTTTTAAGAACTTAATATGCACATAAATCACTATGAATTGCTAATTAAAATCAACTTAAGCTTATTTTTAAACACTTATTATCAGTACATTCTCAGCACTGAAGTTAATAATATTTCCAGGAATTAATTAAACAATTACCTTGAACAGGAATTGTCCAGTATGCTGCAACACCTCATGGCATTGACATCTTTGTCCTCTATGTGCTCAGCATAGTATCTGAGCCACACTGGAGCTCTCTGGGGTTCTCTGTAAATCTCCTCACCTTCAGACCTGCCCCTTTTACTTTGTGCTGTCCCAGCTGCCAAGTGGCAGACCTGACGTCCTTCATGCAACATTACTTTCAAAGAACAAGTGGTAAATATTTTTTCTTCTGGCCAGTCAAATTAAATAAAGGCCTGTTGAAAGGCAAGTTATGAGTTATGAAAAAAAGATGGATTCTTTCGCATAATAACCCCCACCAGCAACACTGAAGCACTCCAGCCCTTCACCAACACAATATCTGAAAAATATATATTTTCAGATATTAAATTTAAATGGATCATTTAGAACTGCACTTATTAACAACAACACGTCAGTCTCACACAGCTGCAATTACCTAATTAAAATCACCATCAAACTAGCTACATAAACTGAACTTAAATGCCTCCCTTTGCATTTGTCTCAAGTATCCCAGGCTATCTGAATATTATTGCTGAAGTGCTCTTGCAATTTCATTTTCAGAAGTTCCAGTCCTTGACTCCAGTTGGTAATTTGGATCCTTGTCCAATTCCAGCCTATTTGGATCTCTTCTTCCCTGTGAACCATCCTTTTTGCCTTCAGACAAGCCAAGAGGCCACATTATCAGGAGCTGCACTTCACTCACTCAGCTTTTATTGGACCACATAGAAGTGTTTTCAATCATTCCATGTCATCCATTGCGTTGATTTCCTTTATATGAAATATAATTGCAAAAAAAATATTGCAAGGAAACGCTCAAGGTACAGTATGGTCATCTACTTTCAAGGCTTACCTGAGTGGAATGCAATTGCTCTATGGATCTCTTTATGAGTCAGTAACCCATCTGTCAATTTTCCTATTTTTTAAAAGTCTCCAATGTTATGAAAAGCCTACTGATCACAAATCAAAGGAGGCATTCTTTCTGCACGCATTTGCACATTTAGAACAGGCTACCATTCTCCATTTGTTGCGAAGACATTCCAAGCTCTCCTCCTGTTTGGTCCCTTCGGCCCTTTGAAGTATTCTGAACCTACAGCCCCTTCTACATCTTTCAAACAATCAATTCTTCCCTGTTTATCAGATATCAATGTTTAATCTTGCATCACACCAGTATTTTGTCTTACGAGAACTAAAACAAACCAGTTCAATTCAGGCACCGATTTGTATTATTTTAAAAAATAGTCACCTTAGTTCTCACAAACCTCTCGTCAACTATCTCCACCTTCACTTCTCAAAGGTGCCTCCTCTACCAGTCCCCTCTTTGATAATGAGAAAGACTTATTAGTATATATTTCATTTTCTTCTCTTTCACCTCCATAACATTTTAACCAATTCACCAGCTCACCTTGGTATTCCTGACCATTTAATCTAATTGCTGACCAAAGAAACTTGGTCGCAGTTGTTCTATATGGTTGCAGTTGAACTGGCTCAAACTTGCTGAGGCAAACTTTCTACAGCTATTGTCGTAGTCGTCCATTCACCACATCTCTTCTTTCCTTTGTTTCTGTCCTGGTGGTTTTGGGGTCAACACACTTTACCTTTTGAGTTCCAAGCCTTCTCGCCCTATTGTTCCCATTAACCAAACAGGTTAAGTCAAACCTATCTCACCAAGGAATTCCAAACATTCACAGAGTATTCAATCCTTGGATGATGTTGTCCCTAGTTAAGTGAATCATGTATCATTTAACTTAAGTGTTAATTCTCCAGTTCAAACTGCCATAATCCCACTCCGCCTGGAAAAGATTTTTCACCTGCCTACTCATAAGAACATACACCACATATAACTACACTTACAGTCACTTTTCTCACTAACAATGTGTAAGATATGCTTCTAAAATTGATTTGAGTAATATGTGATAAATATTTCTGACCAACTATGGTAATAGCATTCAGCATGACAATGGTAAGTTTTGTATCAGCACCTAGTGTCCATAGGCAGTCCTGTTAAATTATCAGTACTACACAGGCTTCCTGTTTTATTGATCTAAGAATAGAGAACATGATCACGCTGGTTTGCAGCTCTTGTTTTCTCATAAATAGATAAAAACTCAATTAAATTTTGCACTCCAAAATGTAACTATTTAAACCACACCATTTTATGAACATGCTGATGTTTCATCACCAGTGGGTTGAGTGATACCTTATGACATAAGATAACTTTTTGCTTTAATTTTCTATATATTATACCTTAATTCTTTTCACTCCACTCTTCAGCTACACAGTTCATAAGAACTATGCCAATAATGGTCAAACTGTTCGAACAGACAGCAAAATGCAGGGGGAGCCGTGGCCTAACCAGAAAAGAAGCTGCTATTTTAAAGTTATTAAGGTCATAATGAACATTTTCATTGTTGAAAAGGGTTCCTCCTTTCAGAAGCTGATAACACATCATGCCTAGTGCAGTTTAGATCTGATGTGAAACCAATTTTAGAATCTATCTGTGCTACCTTTAAAGGTCAGTGAATGGGATGCTACAGGATCATAACACAAACAGATGTGTAGATTGCACGTGTAGATGTGCCAAAGCTTTAATCCAATCAAGTACATATCAGCATAAATATATCAATACATCTCTTATTAAATTCATAATCTCATTAGCCATAACAGTGCTATATAATAAACTTTGCCAGTATTTTTCCATGCAGCTGAAGATTAGTGCGCCCAATGTTAGAAGCGTTTAAACCAGCAATGGAAAATTAATTTAAAACAATGACCAACTCCTGTTCTATGGTGAAAATCTCATATTATTATTTTAAGGAATACTGTTTTCTACAAGGAGAGCAGGCACTGCCTGTATCAAAGTCTTGAAATGCCATAATGCAAAGATCAGATCTCCTGATTTCTGTTGAAAAAGTAGAAACAACCAAATATGTTATGTAAAAAATAGGATGTGAAAATATAAACTGTGATAACATTATTGAAATAAACAAGTATTTCATTGTTTATGATATGATAGTTATGAAATCTGAACACAGATCTTTTCTGATTGTCTTCGGACAAAGAAAAGAGAAGACATTAGTATAACCCTAAATACTAAATTTTCTAAATATTTTTTATCTAAAGCTATAACATCATAGAAATAGGACACTTAAGTAGAAACATGCCAGCCTTATAAGAATCAAATGCAATATGGTTTAGGAAACTGTTCATGCTAACCAAGCTGTTCTCACCTCCTTTAAAATGATCTGTTACCTTCAATAACGTTGTAGAGTCACCAGTGAATAGCCCATGCATTTCAAGAAAAAAAAACGTCTTTAATGTCATTGGAGTGCTATACCAGTCCTTACTGTACAGTTATTTGACTGAATTCACTGCTACAAAATACTCTGGTCCTACCTTTTCCCAAAACCCATGAGCAAATTATGGCGTGATTATTCCAATTGGGATGATGTAATTACTGGAATGCCACAAGGATCTCTATTCCACTGCTCTTTTCAATTACTATCCATGATCTAGATTCTGGTATAGCTAGTGAACTATCACATTTGCAGATCACTATAGACTAACCTGGTTTATGATGTAAAATGTAGAAAAGTGCAAGGTTTTTGCATGCAGGTAGTAAAGATATAAACTATAAACACAAAATGGAAAATAATGTGCTAGAAGAGGCTACTTGGGTGTGTACTGTATGTTGACACATTATTCAGATAAAGTGGGGAAGTGATAAAAAAGGTAAACAAAATTAGAATATATAGTAAAAAGTGTAGAAATCAAGGGATGTTATGTTATAATACTGTCCTCTAGTATATAAAAATAAAAAAACTGCACTTCTTCACCTGAAGGTTGGGGGACTCGAGAATAAACGTACTAAGCCATGTGGGTGAAGCTGATACTTTGGCTTCTGGCGAGAACTGGCGAGACGAGACCCTTGGATCAGAGTAAACTGTGAAATCCAAACTAGAGGCACAAGTGGAAAATGTGGCGGAGAATATTAAAATTGAGAAAAGGAAGTGTTTGTCCTGTCCAGGGTGTATCGTGCCTTCTACCTGTTGCTTGTTGGGATAAACTCCAGTTCCCCACAATCCTCTGCTGGATATAGCTACTAGAAAATGGAAAGATGGATGGATGAAGGGTCTACTGTCAGTCTTCAAAGAGATTCAGAGAAAAATGGTTTTGTACCTTAAGATCAGCGATGTGCTGAGGCCTGTGATTGATGTCAGTGTGTCTCCAGGCACAGCCACTTCTCTGTGTGGAGAAGAGCCCTGCTCAGTGCCAACAGGTACCAGCTTCTGGAGCTCCTCCTAACAGGTCCAGAGCAACATTTCTTTTTGACCAGAAAGAAAAGCATTTCCATATACTGTATCCCTGAAATTTTAGTTTTCTCCAATAACCAAAAAATGTTGGAAAAAAACAGCTTTCGCTAAATAAAAAGATAAACTTAATGTAAAAGACTGGAATATTTGCTTAGCTTCATGGTACGTTTCATATTCAAAATGTGCAGCTTGACATTGCAGAACTATGAATTACAGGAAGTGTGGTAGAAAGATACTGTTTTTCATTATGTATGCTCACACAGTGTAATTTTGCAAGATTGTATCTATAGAAAAATACAGCATATTTTTCAAAGTTGACCTTCAAACCTTAATGCAGTCTCTGTCAAACCTCTGCTCTGCCAAATCAATAAGAAGATATTTTTGAGTTTTCTTTGGAAAACAGCCCTGGGCTGATGTGCATGAGTCAGATTAGCATTTTTACAAATGCACATAACTTCTAAAAAGAGTTTGTTAATGATTGTTGTTAGTAGCACAGATAATGTGGCTCATTGAGATAAGAAGGTATCCCGTCTGCCAGCGTTTTCTGAATACCTACCGGGTTGGCAGGAAGGTTTATCTCTGGACTGCCAAGGAACTCTGTGCTCTTCTCTCTGGGGATTGTGTTCTTAGTTACTTCGGATCTTTCAGAGTGGCTGGCCTGCCACTGAAATAAAAATGCATAACATCTTAATAGAAATGTACTGATATCAGACATTAGAAGGATTGGCTTCAAAGAAGTATGGCCTTTGAACACCAAACAAACACAGGTTGCCTTTCTCTAGAGACCCTCAATATTATTGCACTGAATAAACTACTTATTCTCTTTCTAAGCTACTTCCACAGGGAGAGTATCCTGCTGGTTCAGTTGCTATGGAGTGGTCTGCGTTATAGATTTACAGAAGTGAATTTTAGTCCTGGGTAAATCCATTCATCCCCTGTCACTTGAGGATTAAACTTTCGTCTCCAGAGGGGAGGCACAAGAGATATTTTGCTCTAGGTTGTGTTGCCCAAAGCGCCTCACAGCTTTCAAAGCCAAGCAACATATGCTTTGCTCATCAGCGTTAGTTTCTGTTTATCTTCCAGGTATTGAAGTTGCTTTTTTTAGATTTAAATAAGATATTTCTATGGAGTTCCATTAACAATCTGGTCTTGTTGTTTTAATTAATTTTTAATTCAAAAAGGATGATAGAAATAAACACAGTAAGTACTGTAAGTGCTGAATGTGCCCTAATGCTTTTGCAAAGTTAAATTTTGCTGATCTTTGTGAAAAACAAACTGTAAAAAGTCTGAGAAAAACAGAGAAACTGAGAAAAATGTTTAAAACCATAAGCCTTTCCTGGTGCTTTCAGTATTCTTGAACTGGTTGACTCTTCCTGCACCTGTCCACCCACATCTACTCAAACCAAATTTACATTTCTTTCATCATCAGAATTCTGTCAAAGCAGAATAGTTTTTTCTATCTGCTTACAGGAGTTACCAAGTTTTTTGTTGTTGTCTAAACTAGCGGTTTAGTCCTGAGGGACTTCTCTGTCTTCTGGTTTTTGTTCCAGCCAAGGTCTAATTTGCAGACAAAATGATTTCCATTTTATATTTTATGTGTTTTTATTTTTTTTTCAACTCTTAAAACATTTCTTGAGGTATGTGCTTGGTATCACTTCAGTGCCATTTCCTGAGTTACAGAACTCCCCTCATTCAGGTGTGTCAGCTGTGTCAGCTGATGTAACCAAACGTAACCAATTGGACTTAAACAGAAGAAACACTGTCATTTTCACCTATGTCCGTTCATCATGAATTGATAGCCTATTAAAAGCTTTTTAGTCAGACATAAATGAGCAAACTCTTTACTAGGAAAAGATTGCATATACAGTAGTTGTGAGTACTGTAAATTACATGTACGTTAGGGTATTTTTGAAACAAGGATTAAGGACAAAACGTCTAAACAAATAAAGATCAATTACAAGCATCAATTAATCGATCAAATGAAATCAATCAATGAGCACCAGTGATTAAAGGTCCATTTGGAACAAATACCCATGGGCACATTGGTCCCACAATAATAGTGCTGGCACCCACTGGTCTAAACTGCTGTCAGTTCATGATATAAGCCTTTATTAAACATTTCAAATATCTTTTGAGTGAGGTGATCCACAAATGTTTATTTAAAAACTACTCATTTTGTAAGTTAGGTTGGTACTCAGAGAGGTTTATGCAATATGATTTGGTACAGGTATATCAAAATCAAACAGGTGTACTGGTATCTAAATTTCACATCTATTTGCATGATCCTGCAGCAAAAACACCTCAAGGTTCAGTCTGCTATTTTTAATTTTGCAAAAAAAAAAGCTTTTCACAGTTGAACTGAGAAGCCTGTCCTTGGCTAATCACAGGCAAATGTTGTTTCCATGGAAACCAAGGCAGCAGTTGATTTCTGTTAGAATTCAGCCCACAGAGGCTTTGAAAGTATCATCTTTTGTTATTTCAAGTGCTGGATAACCCCAAACCGAATTTCTTTAAAAGGCACAACAAAACTAGCAGAAATCAATATCAGGAGCAACAAACACGTTTTCTGCTTGACAGGCTTCAGGCACTCGACAGCATCATGACTGACAATCTGACACACACAAGTATAGTGTACAACCGACAAAGAACCTGACACCATGAAGAACTTAATGACCATTGCAAGCTTCCTATAATAGCCCACCCACAAATAAAGCTAAGCTAAGCACCCACAAATAATTCTAGTGCATGCTGTTTTTTCATTTATTTTTTTGAAAAAATCTGTGCCTTTTACGCAAAAGTTTTGGTATCGTCTGTATATTGTACTCGACTGTGCTTAGAAAGGTGTTTTATAATCCCTTACAGCCATTTCTTTCAGCACTGAATGCAGGGAAGGCTCTAGAAATCTGAGGGGGTTGACAGACTGGGGAAGAGAAATAAGAGCCAGTTTGTGCTGTTTAACCTGAGCTTACGCCATTCCTGCACATAAAGTAATCTTTTGATAACACATTAATCAATTACACATAAAAATCAAAGCGTTGGAAACCAATGGGTTTTTATAGTGATGAACACACCTCAAAATTGCAGTGTCAGGACGATGCATGAATCATCAATTCACCAGTGACAGGCAGAAATGAGCTACAAAGCCTTACTAAGAAACACTTGCCCAGAAAAGCATTATGACTCACAAAGTGGTAATGTCACTTTTCAGAGCCAGGGGTTAATGCAAAGACATTTCACACATGTAAAAAGGAGTCTTTCTTGTTTAGCATTAGACACAGCATTACATCACACTGCATTCAACAGCCAATGCCTTTTCTTCTCTGAACCCTTTAGAAGTGTTAGTTCGGTACCACAGATCAGGCTGTGACAAGGCTTGTTTGTAAATACAATTCTTCTCTTCTGCAGTTTTCTAGTTACAAAAAACTTCCAGTAAACTGGGTTTTATTTCTGTTTAAATCTCCTACTGTGAAATGGATGTCATAGAGGTAATACATGTACAGTATATAAACTGAGAGACCAAAAACACAACAAATTATTTTGGTTCCAATATTTCCTCACCAGCATATGCTGTATGCACAAATTATCAGCAAAAATAATTGAAGTTACTTAATTTTTGAATGAGGGTGCCTTGGCATGTACCAATGTGTATACATTTGTCAGATTGTCTGGCGTGGCTCAATGTCTGTGTGTGTCCCTCCAGGTTGTGCCACATTGATTTGTGTACTCTGGGATGCCGTGCATCAACCTATGTGTCCCAGAATGCACTGCACACATTGTCATCATGGTCCAGGAGCACATTCAGCCAGTGCAGAGCTGTGTGTAGTCCTCATAAAATTTCCCCGGGACACAGAGACTCTCCTGGTACGTCGATGCTGCTTTTTTGTGTGAGCACTGCCAGTCTCAAATGGAAGATACTGTAACGCATACGGCCACCATTGCAACCAATGGTGGCTGTATGCGTTACAATACACAAGGTATTGAACTTATACTGTACATAGCAAAAATTGGCCTCCTTTCCTAGTGAACATCCTCATACTTGATAACAGGTTTGAATTTTGAGTGCCTCAGCATTATCTGTACCAAATGTGATGTTGAACGTGTTGTGTTTTTAATGCCTCTAGATGTATGCATGTGTATATCGAGTTAGGTACAACTTTTAAGGTATATATATTATCTTTGCTACACACTTAATTAATTAAGCGAATAATTAAGCGATAATTATGGAGCGAAATGTGTAAGCCTGCCCCTCGCCGAGCTGAGCGCTGCAGCAGAGTGGTGGTGACCGGCGCGAAGCTGGTTCACGTCTCACCTCGGTGGCAGCGTGCGCTGGCTGCAGTGCGGGTGGCGTTGCTTCCCAGCCTGCCCTCAGCAGCACCTCCCGGTTCTTCAGCAAGTGCCGGACGATGGCATTGCATACAAACTGGTCCCGAAGCATGTTGGGCCCCACCGGAACCCTGATCACACAGAGCTGTATTACAGCATGTACTGTAACACTTGCGTCCTTCATTTTAATACACTAGACTGGACAGATAGAGACAAAACTGGGCTCATGGGGTCTTAAACAGCAGAAACCATACGAAGATGAAAAGGTCATTTGGCCCCTCTTGCTCATATAGTTCTGTATCTTTATTGTTCTGGTTATACTAGGAACCAAACACCCAACTATAACCTCGGCCATCCCAGATTTTTTATTGCCACACTACTTTTGTCACAAATATTTCTATTCTAGTTGTTCTAATCAGAGAGTAGGCCTTACCCATGATTTCATTTAAGTATACATTCCTGCTTATTTTACATTAAAAATATACTCAATGTCTGGCCCAGATCAAGGTTTTCATGTGAACCAAAATATCATTATTTTATGTGAAATAAAATAAGCTTTTAATCATTACTGTTATTTAGAAGAAAATGTGATGAGCTTGAATATTACATACTTTTGTCCAAAGTCAATTTCCTTAAATAATAATAACAATAGTGGTAAAAGATTTGACTAATACGAAGTCAGCTCAATAGCTCCCTCTGGTGATCATAATGAGAAACACCACATTTAAAGCTGGCACACTGCAGTAGAAATCCTAGTTTGGACAACGATGTGCTACGAACCCTTAGCAGGAACCTTTTGACACGATTGTCTTTTAAGATAATTGATTTGCTGTGTCAATAGTTTCTATTAAATACTTCAGATCACAAGTCAGAAGAATTTAAAAAGGAAGTTCTGACTCACTTTGCCATCCAATACAATTGGTCTGTTTCTAGACTTATTCTGTCCTTGTGGTCTTGTCAGTATGTTCCTGAGAATCCCAGAATGGTAGATCCAAAAATCACCTTTGCTGACATTGTCTCTAATCATTCCCCTGTGTTAAGGGGGTTATAGAGTGATACAGTTCGGGTTGTCCGATTCCCCCAGTCTGGGCATCCATCTTTGCGGTCTTGTTATTTGAATACACATTGTATAGCTCTGGTATGTGAGTGTACATAACATTTGTGGCTGATTTACTTACTTTTACGGAAAGGCCTAATTAAACATAATGGAAAAAAAACACCCTCCGGTTTCTCTGCTTTCTGAGCTATAAGCAAATACTGAGACGATTCTGGATCTCTCTTCTGTTCTGACTAGACTTCAAACAGATGATATGGGCATTCCGATACACACACAGTACATAATTCTCAGCTGTTGAAAGTTAGTTTTGAATTTCTAGTGTGATGACCAAGTGTTCAGGGCCTACATAGAAGCTAAAATTTCCTTTGGAATCCAGCCTATCAAGTGTCCGGGGCCTGGCCTGAGTACACATCAGGACAAACTGTAAATAGGACCGTTACACAGCGTAAGGACACAAGATGTGCTTAGCACTTGGTATTTTACATGAGCCCTAGCACTCCATTTCCTTACTCTATCTGAAATCGAAATCCCAACTGCTCTTCTACCTTCGACTTGTCTCCAATAACAAAACTCCTGACCTAGTGAAACTCTATTCATTGCAACCCAGTGTCACCATATACCGTGTATATTATGTACAAGTGACATAAAAATTCTGCTTTCTAAAATTAAATACAGCTCTTTTATGTTTTATGGACGTTTCTTAGTTTTCTAAAACTAAGGGTGTGTTGCCATTCTTTACTTGTTTATGGTAGTCAGGAACAAGTTGCCCAGTTACTCGGCCATGTTGTTGAGCTTGGTTTCATTCACGAAATGGCTGGATGAGATTCTTGAATCAGTTAACTATTGACTACGAAGTGAGTTGGATGAGCTGAATGGCCTCTTCTCATTTGTAACCAATCTTACGTTCTTGCCATATTGGTGGTGCAAAAAGTTTCAAAACTAACTTGGGAGAGACAAGCAGACAGGGAGACAACACGGCTCTGAACTTTCCCTGACTCTGATACTCAAAGATGGCTTCCCAAAATGCATCGGTGCCTTTTGTTAAGTAACACCCGAAAAAGCTTACTGAAATATGCAGGGCCCAAATACTGTGGCCAGATTCTCCGCTGTCATCTGATTATCCTGGCTGTGGGCTGCAACTCTCAGGAGGAAGTGAGTAAGGTATGAGAGCAGACTATAGTGATCCGCAGGCAGGCTGTCCAGTTGTTTCTTCAAGAGGTGGTTGAGCTCAGCCTCGTCTTTGCTTTCTGCAATGAAAACATGGTTAAGAATATAATCACATATTGCTGAAAGTACATTTAGAATACTGAAATTACTCAATATTCATTATTGTCAGTGCAATTCCTAATTAGTTTAATGGCCTACTTTATAAAGAGTCCTAAAAAAAACATTTAGGAACTTCAGACTGGTTTCACCTAGACTGGGGCTCATTGGATACCCATGAAAGCCTTTATTTAATGCTGTGGTTTACCTTAATGGCATCACACACTGGTGGATAAATTCTGATGTTAATATTAATCCATTGTTCAGTCTTCTGACATTATACTGTTATAATTATTTTGAATCTTCATTTTCGGGAAAGTCTACAGCTGCTAGCTAAAATGAGGGATAAATCTACAACAAGAGATGGGCTGATTAAATTCACCTCTGCGTCTCAATAATGAAGCGATCATTGTTTTGTTTTTGCAGTTTAATTTATATTCACATCGCATCAAATTCAATAACCATTTATACAATTCAGGTTCTCAGTGGCCTGGGGCCTATCCTGGCAAAACATTGGGTGGAAAGTAGGATACACCTGGACTCAAACACAGACACACTCACACCAGAGCCAATCTTACAGAAGCCAAGTAACCTCCCAGTATGCCTTGAACTGTGGGAGGAAACCAGCACACCTAAAGGAAACCCAGATGAACATGAGGAGTCAATGCGGATAGCACCCCAGGATTTGAACCATAACTGATTTATATATTCAATATTCCTATGATGCATTTACGTTATAAGGCTGGATACTGCACCTCTGAATGCGGTGATCAGGTCTGTGTGCAGCACAGCTGGAATAAGAGATGTGGGGAGCTCTCTGAGGAAGAGCTTCATCAGGGAGGCTACACACTGGGCATCCCCCTCCATCTGCAGGTCCACAGCCTCTCCAGCATCATACTTTGTCTTTAGGAGGTTGACTTTAGTGACTGAGCCGCTGACACGGAACAGGCCTTTCTGCTGGACTCCTAGGGTGGGGGGAATAAAGGGGCTTGACAATCTTTCAGACAGGAGCTGAAGATATGAACTATCAGCAATATTTAAATGATTTGGAGTGGTTTATCAACCCTTTAACCGCAAACTAAATACATTAAAAAATCTGCCAAACATTAAAAATAAAACATTTTTTTGTAAATTGTGAAAAACATTCCCCTAGATAAAACTGAAGGCTTTGCTCCAAAGGTACTTACCATAGTGGTCTAAATACTCCACCATGTTGTGGAGAACCAGTGGAACTCCACACACCATGAGCCCGGCCTCTCTGAGTGTTTCCAGTGGCGCTCCGAAGATTTGGCTCAGTGGGTGTTTGTGAGAAGATTCTGGGTTGATCTTAGCATTGCACTTTTTTATATTTACTGACGACACAGAATTCTGTGTGGAAAGCAAGAGGACAGTATCAACAGGCTGTTTTTATTTGCTTTTGACAGTGATCTGTTTTTACCACTTCAACATTTCAGTATTTTATACATTTCTCAGTACCTTCTAGTGAGTCATTAGTTCCAAATAATTTGTTTCCAGCTACAGTATACTGATCATTAAGGTTAAAAGCTAATCTTTTTTTTCAGTGCATTACCCTCACATGCTGATTCATCACAAATGGCCACTTTAATGGCTTTTCACAGCTGATATGTAACATTTACACACAGCTTAAGTATTATATTTAGTTGTTTATTCAGGTGGAATAGTTATACTTTGAAAAGATTCCCCTTTACACACAATTACCTACAGCAATGACACAGCAATATGTCTGTTACATAGTCCACTACCACTTTGCAATAAAGGACCAAAAGACAACAGGTATTACAGGTATTCGAGTCTGAAGACTGCTTACTGGAGGCACTGCTGTCAAGAGTGGTCATTCCGGGTTTCCTGCATAAATAGTTCACTGGATTAATTAATCATTTTTAAGATAACAAAAAGCCCTTCAAATGTGGCAATGCTTTCCATACTATAACACAATGGATTCTATATGTTTCTTTCTACACAACATGCAACAGATGATAGTTTAAAAGTTATATTCGTTGTTAGTTTTCAGGACTATCTGTTCTCTCTTTGCATATGATGATTATGAAAAGCATGGATAGATAGGAGTGGTGGGAATGTCCTGTTTATTGTGGGGTAAAAGATGAAGCATTTATTGTTACTCTACAATGTGGCAGAAACCTTTCTGACACAGGGGAGAGTCTATGGAGGGATTCTGGTTTCAATGGAGCAGAAAATGTTCAAGTCCACAGTACTCTGTGTTATGAAGGGGGTTGGAATAGGTACACTTTCTTACCCCACAAACTACAACAATAAAAAAATAAAGATGTTATCTTGTACAGCTTTGCTGTATATGACAGAAACTGTTCAGGAAGAAGAGGATATACCAGTACACAAAACCAAAACCGCTTAGTTAGCAGGATTCAGACAAATGCAGTTGAAGAGGGTTGTAAGGCCTTTCCATAGATAAAACAGAAGATACATGTTGTAACAACACCTCGAGGAACAACAAAATATTGTGCACTTGAATCGCAGCAGCAGCTGTACAGCAAAAAAAAACTGCTTCACTTGACTTCAGGCCAGAAACTAAATAAGCTGCAGCTGGAAAAAGATTTGTTTGAACTTACACAGAGAGTAAAAGAAGCGCTTGTCCCCATGTCAGGCCTGTAAACCGCAATGCTCCATTCCCATGTCTGAGGGGAGGGATTTTTTTCACCCTGAAAGACTTCTTGAAGAAAACACAAGATCCTCTTCTTTAAGAAAATGAAAGTAAGGCAAAAAAATAAATACTGAGCATTGTAACTGCACACTACTAGATATTATCTTATAGTCTGATGACCTATCTCCTAGATGAAATTAAAACATGTCAGCCAGAGCAGGGTTTAAATCGTCTCTGCTTACATATGTTGTTAATCGTGTGACCAAAGCTCATTATGTGTAGTATGCTTAGCCACAGTCTCCATGGTGCTGTTGAGAGAAGTAAACATCTGAAGGTGTGTGAGGACGATCCCTGGCTACACTGGCTCATTGTCTCTGGCTACACTGAAACTTAGTACAGACAAGGTGCCATAAAAAGGTCCCTTCCTGTTTCTACTGGACTGAAAGCTGATACTGAAGCTTCTCTCTAGCTGAAGAACATATTACAACATTTTTGTCTCACTACAGAAAACTCGGGCCCCTTCTGAGGCATTTGCAGGAAGTGCGGAGCCTGTGTACTTCAACTGCAGCGCTTTCTCTATACTGAGCAGATGTGCTGAAGACTCAGGATGTCGGTTCTAAAGAAAATCATGTTGTTTCTCCGTTTAGAATTACAAGAATGAGAAAACCCTAGGCATTGAAAATGCTTTCAATTTACCAAGAAGTGTAGTTCTTAAAAGAATATTAAAAAACACAACTTTATGTATATTTGTCTCAAAATTCTAAAGGGCCAATAAATTATATAATTTATAAATATTTATTTTTAAACATATGACAGTTAAAGGCCTAGATAAAATTGAAGAGTCATAAACTAACATTGTGCTGCAAAACTTCCTTTAAATAATTTTTTAGTTTAGATGTAAATTATTTCTATATACAAATATACACATTTCAGTTTATGATAGATGTCTGTTTTCTTTTATTCCTGGAATTAGAGGAAACTTAACATAAGCACAGGATAACAATCTACTGAATCTATCCTTCAGAAAGATAAAGTTACTGGGAAAGAATGGTACATTAGATAATTTTAAGCTGGTCTCTCATAATCGGTATTAAAGTTAATACTTTTGAGGAATTTAATATAATAAATCGCCTAAGGAATTTAATATAATAAATCTACTTAATTCTGAAAAAATAATTTATCCGATATGTTAGTCTCTGAACACTACTGGTTTTAGCTACCGAGAACTGTGTAAGGGATTTCTACAAAACAAAAATATCCTTACATTGGATACTTCCCTTAACAACGGGGACATTCAATTTGATAATCATGGATATTGGACCCAAAGAATCGCACAACTTGTTCCCCAGCATCTGAGAATGAAACTCTGAATCAAAATCTGCGAATGAATTGGAATAATCAGTATTTCCAGCTCCGGTAAATCTGCATCCCGCAAAATCTACCGTCTGCATGGAAATCAAACCCTGCATCCATCCATGAACGTTTGGAAAAAAACAGACCAAACTATTACACATTCGTGTCCCATTAGTAAACAGTGTAATTTATCAGGACTAAAGGACTCTAAAGCTCAAAAGTAAAAAAAAAAAAGTAAATGCTGTTCTGTAATGAATTAATCCTATCACTAGGGCGGCTGCTGTACCACAAGTTGTCTATTGGACATTGGCATCTGTGGACTTGAAGGTCCGATGTGTTCCATCACCCTAGAAATGACAACTGTATGGTACTCTCAGAGGGCTTGTTAGTGACATTCAAAGATTCACCATAAAAAAAAGTTTTCAATTATCATTTTTCTTTATTTGGCACTGTTCTGAAAAAAAATAGTGCTGTAGCAAAGATAAATAACATTGATGAAAAAAAATCGTATGACAATGTGGAACAGGAAAGTACAAGTAAAATCAATAGCAATACAGCATCAACAAACTTCTTTCAATATTTGGATCAAAAATGTCATCAAAAATTACACCTTCCATGTATTCAAAAATAGTTTACACACATACATTTCTCAGTCTTAAAAATGAAACACAGTATTTTCCATTAGAAAATAGGAAGTAAAAATAATACAAAATACTAGTGTTATAAGTCTGTTTCATTGTTGTGATTTCAGTTTCTCACATTTTCTTGAAACTTAACTTACAGTACAAGAATTACTCAATAAATTCTTTTCTGTGGAGGTTTTAAAAAATTGACATCATTTACAAACATAGGCTTCACACAATCTGGCTCAGTGCATTTTAAATAACTGTTTGAAAAAGTTGGCAGCATCAAAGTCTACAAAAGTTAACAGCATCAGTTAACCTTTAAAACCATTGTATGCATATATAATTACTGTATATATATACAGTATAAAATATTTTTGTATTGCTTCCATGTTTTAGAAAAAGGACCAGCCTTTTTTAATATTATATAAAGTATTAAGCATGCTACACAAAATCAGCAAATGAACTGGACCGTGTTTTTAGACTCTGCGTACATCACATCCTTGTGTAGTTTACCCTTTTCAGCATTTCTCCATCTATCAGTGTGATGTATACAGGTATATCCTATCAGAACCTGCACATGTTCCCATGATACCTTGCGAAAATCATATTAATTATATAAATCATATTACTCTAATTCTTATTTTTCAAAGAACCATTTTATTTCAAAGAACCATTTTTATTCATTAGGCTTAACTCTTTTGCTAGAAGAGTTAACAACCAAACATTTTAAGATGTAACAAAAATCTACTGAGTAAAAGGCACTAAAGTGCATTTCCCTCATTTATTCCAATATGTTTTGCATGTGTGTATGTGTATATACACAATTTGCATGGTAAATATAATATTCTATATTTCCCACCTGGTTTGGTATTAACAGTGGGCAGCACTGTCCAATATTACTGTACCCTGTATAATTTACAACAGAAGCTCCTTTTTGTAACTTCAGTAAGAGCCCCCACAATGCACAGGGAAGAGATTTGCTCTTTCAGGTATGCGACACAATCCACAAAGGGAATTATTACAGTAACCAGCATGCCGTGTTCAACTTGATTATCCGAGTCTCTTAAAACAGGACTGTAATAGCAAAGCGTTTGAACACATCGTGAAAAAATCTGAAGTATTAAAATCACTGCCGGCTAGGATGTTAAGCCCTTTGAGAACAAGCGACCCACTTAATTTCATGACTCTCAAATTAAGAAGGAACGAGAAATTCTCTATTAAGTTGCTGGCTCCCATGAGCACTCCACGTTGGGTACCTGACAAAGGCTGTTACAATGCAGCTTTGGGAGCTCTAATAAAATTCTAAATGTTGTGCATTTGAACACTATCTAGGCAACTGAGGCAACTTTGCCGTGGCTACTGGTGTATTTAATTTCGGGCCTGGGGGTGTCTTTGATGTTTTTGTCCCAGCAAGGCAACGCAGAGACCAAAAGGCCCAATCCTCCCAGCAACACACACACTCCACTGAAATAAAATGCTAGGTCATAGGACTCTGTCCAGTCGTAGAACCAACCTGAAAAAAAATAGGAAAGGGAGAAATCAGTGAAGCTGCTCATCTCACATTCAACAACCTGTTTTTTACAGTTAGCAAAATCATACAACTATTTTAAGGATTAAATAAATAGTTAAATAGTTATAGGATTAATGAGGGTATAATGAATCCCAAATCACCTCATGTTCACGTTATCAAGATTTTTTTAAGAAAAGAAGGAATATCTTACCCACAACTGGAGGGCCAAGCATAATTCCAAATCCACCGAAGAACATCAAAATCCCGTAGGCCTGGGTTAATCCTTCGAGCCCCACGATCTTGGTGGTTACGTATGGCGTAATGGACCAGTTCCCAGAGAAGAATCCTACCAGTCCTGAAAGGACTGCAAGCTCAACGAAGCTCTCGGCCGTGGGAATGATGAGAAGCACCACCCCTGAACCAACTATGGTGAATGTGTACAAGTACAGGCTGTTCATCCAGCTCAGGTCGGCCATGACGCCGAGCGCGAGCTTGCCGACGCCCGTCATGATGGCTACGATGGAAACGAGGGGGATGACACAGACTCCCTCGACGAGGCCCGAGCTCCTGGCTACGTCCTCCATGAAGAGCACCGGCGGGAAGGCCCCGAGGCTGAAGAGGAACAGGCAGACGCAAAGGCACGCAAACACCCGGTCGCGCAGGATCTCCCCGGTGGTGCGGACGTACTTGGCGTAGGCTTGCCGCTTCTGCTTGATGATCCGGACGAGGGCAGAGCTGCCAAGGAAAGCCCTCTCGGACGCTGCGGGATCTTTCCCGTCGCCGTCGCCCGCCACCAAACCTTTCTCCACGCTGGCGAGGCACTTCTTGCTGGGTTCCTCCGGGAAGGGGTGCCTCTCCGGGCGGATGGAAAGCTGCTCCTCCGTCCGTTCGAGCGCCGCTTTTTGCTTCAGGAAATAACCCGGCTGGCGAAGGGGCCTCATGGGCCCAGCACAGGCCATGAGGTTGAGGGACAACGCTCCAACCATCAACAGGCATCCTTCCAGTCCGTATAGCTCTATGAGCTCATTCTGGGCCGTGGCATACAAAAAGCCTCCCACGCTCGTACCTACAGAAGGGGAAAAGTACCTACATGAACATCTCCAAGTGACAGAGCACCTGTCGGGTGTTGCACCATAACCTTTAATCTTGTAAATTCATATTGAGCGTAATTTTTATATTCATGACTTCAACTCAAGGAATTTAGTGATGCCTAACTCTTACGCTTTATAATTGTGAAAGTGTGAAAAAAGCAGCACTAGTTCCAATGGAATCTGGTAAGGAGAAAGCAGCTGATGTACCTGTTGTGACTATGCCCAGAGCCAGGCCTCGCCTCTTGTCGAAATACTGGCAAGTGATGGTGACAGTGGCAGCATACACCAGCCCACAGCCCAGTCCTGTGCCAAGCAGAAAAGGATTGCGTCTATCAGTTAAATCACTGAAGAAGAGTAAGAGATGGTGTCTTGTCACACTGTCAGATATAAGATTTAAGACATTATCTTGGAAGTTGGGAATTTCACTGATTTGTTTTGTTACTCAAATCCATCAGGGTGTAGGAACAGTGTTATTTGTATTTATTTCTTCCTTCTGGCAATACATTTTTGAGCCATTTCACTGTATAAAATATAAGTAAAAGTATAAAATATAAGTATACATCATACTTATATATCAAATATAAGTATGATGTATAAGAGTAGAAATTTATTTTTAAAGAGCACCAGTTGTTTTAAACAAAACTTAATTGCAGCTCGATGAAAAATCTCAATCTGACCATTTGGTATTACTGACGATTTATTTTAGCTTATTACTTGCATATCTGTCAGAATCACTATATTAGGATATAATAAATAATGAAATAGGATGAAATCAGATTGAATAAAATGACATTACTACCACTGTATAGTTAATAAACATATTGTTCTGAGGATTACCAAGAACAATGTCCATAGACTAAAGAGCTCATAGAAATGCACAATGGTTACATTTCTGTTCTCAAGCATATTCAATCCTACATCTCTACACAGCACAAGTGAGCCATCTGGTCTTCCACAGTATTTCATGAACTGCAAAAATGTCTGCTTAATAATGACATAGTTAGGATGGAGAAAATGATGCAATGCATCTTTTTAGCACTCAAATGTGCAGGAGCATTTCACTCACCAACTACTATCCCATAGGAGAAAAACAGGAACTGGACATTGGGGGCAAATGCACTGAGCATCAGCCCACCTGCCACCATCACACCACTGAAGACGGTGACAGGTCTGGCGCCGAAGTTCACCACACAGGCACTGCAGACAGGACCTGAGAACACACACAAGAACAGGATAGTCTGATTGCTGCACAGCGAAATTGACACAAACATTCCTGAGGTATTGGTACATTTTTGCAATAGCAAATGCTTTCTCTTTCGATGTGTGTGGCACATGCACTTTAGAAATAATACATGTCACCCTCCTTTCATTTTGCAAATGAACAAAACATTCCCTACATTTTTTATAGAGATTTATTTTTAACTAGGATCTTTTACCCCACGTCAATATGTATAAAACACTTCAGGTTATCTTAAGCATCTGACAGTTTAACGCTCACTTTTAGTACTATAATTATGAATACCAAAGTCTAATCCTAACTTACTGTTAAAACCTTCAGTCCTTTCTCTAGCTGCTACAACTTCCTACAGCTACTTCAGCTCTTGAAGCTCTTACATTGAGGACTGAGTACCTAAGTGGCTCAGATGAATAAACTAAGAGAATCAAGTTTCAAAGAAAAGCTACACATTGGGAGTCTGAAACAGGCTGGCAAGCCATATTGCTGTAGCTCATACTCTGGCCTTGTACAAGAAAAGCCTGGGTTAGATCACCTAAGTACTATAAAAATACAAACAGGCTTAATGTGCTAAATGACCTTTTTTATGTACAAGTTTCATGTTTATAATCATCTAAGATGCTGTTATAAAACAACATCCTTGCTACCAGACAAACAGTTCCTAAGAATCAGCAACTTTTATATTAATTACTTTTCAGTCCTGGAATAGACATAATACATCATGAACAAGACAAATTTAGAAGTGTCACTTCGCAGGCACATAATTGATATTGGCTAACATCATGAAAGGTCACAGTCTGGCATTAGGGTGAAAGTGAGAGAACAGGATTTTAAACTGGGTATTTGTGTTGGTAGCTGTGGTATCAGTTTCTAGTGCTCTAGATGTACAGGACTGCCTGTTAATCTAATGGTATGATCCTTATTAAGGTTCGGGATAAACTAATTATAAACAGCACAACAAGAAGAGGTTCAAATAAAATATTAGTAAATCTAAAGGTAAAGCAGCTTGTAATTTATCTCTTCATTGAACATAAATTCACACTTGAATATAATCCAATAATCTCAAACAGGAAAATCTGCCTTCCTCAATTTACATGACAAGCACTGTCTTCTTATGAACAGTGGTGTGCAAAGTGCTTGCATATTTAAGAACCAACCTGGTTCTTTCCAGTGATGGAATTAATGCAATAAAGAGCAATAAACCTTCAAAACACTGACTTTGCAAGTGTTTCTTGTATAATTTTCAAAGCTGCCTAGTCTTCTCTTCTTATCAAAATGAAGTCATTTCATGTTCATGTATTTTTAAGATGAAGAATTCATATGATTTCACTGTGTTTATACCTCACTATTTCGGTCTCTTGCTCAGAAAGAGAACAGAACCCCACAGGCAAAAAGCTAAATCAATAAAATCTGGAATAATGCTGTATAAGATCTTGAAACAATGTCCTGTATATTCTACAGGTCTATAGATTGATCTTATAACTGAGACACTTGGTTTGACACAACTGCACAAAGTTTGGTTATACCTGCATAGAGAGGCTACAAGGAAGAATCCTCGCAACTACTAATATCCATATTTCCAATTATGACCATTTAACACTAAATTAAGAATTTTATCTTGTAAAATGCCTTGAGAAAAAATATTATATGAAACAGAAGATGATAATCTTATCAAGACATTTTAAACTCACACATTAATTGCATATTTCACAGATTAAAGCTGTATTTTTGAAAACTAGAATTAATATTATGATCTATTATAATGAGCATAATTTTTGCACATTTGTTTTCTAAAAAAGGAGGAGTGAACAACATCTTCACTCACAAATGTTAAGGTGACCACCTTAAATAGAAACCTGGTAATGCCAGTTTATAGCTGAATACTTTCTATTCATTAATACATTAAATGAAAAAATGTTATAAATACAGAACATATGCCAAAAAGGGTAAACACAATTTCCCACCAGATCTGTGGTGTTAATGTCATTCAGCTGTTCCTGCTAAAACATGTGTTACACAGATCACTGGAACTACCTTTGCCTGTGGAGGTAGGTTTTTTTCTGCATATCATCAATGATCAAGAATGCAGATAATGAACTCTTTGTATGGTCTTTTTTGTAATTAGTTTGAAACTATAAGCTTTTCTTCCATTTGTGAATTATATAGTACAAAAAAGATAATATTCTGGTTTCAACCAGCTTCTAGTTTTAGATTAAACATGGTTAGACCACATATCTATTTATTGCAGACTTTCTGGAAGTATATTATATATAATCTGATATGAAACTAAAGAAGTCATTAAAACGAGAGCTTTGGTCCCTAGTTATCACTTTCTTCATAACTGTTTTACAATGATATTGAGATTAACCTCGCCCGGCCTTCCTCTGTCAAGACATACATCGGGAACTAAAGTAAGTGTTGTACAAGGTAATGATTAATATATTAAAACATACAATAACTTGACTTTGCCTCTTTCTATTCCAATGACCATTTCAATTAAATAAATACAGGTTAATTTTATGTTAGAATAAAAAGAAAAAGCACATTTCAGATGCTGAACTTACGTCTAAGAGGAAAAGGCTCACCAAGTGAAATGTTGTGCTTTTTTACTCTTCAATTAACCTGAAATTACTCTGCAATTAACCTCTACTTGTTCCTTTGCAGACCACACACTGACCAAGCTCCTCAATGAAACCTCAATTAAATATTGTTTGTGACATGCTTAACTGTATGGAGTCCTTAGCGTTTTGTTATTGCCTGTAAAGTATATCAATGATGTTTGTTTCTCACATTGCCCTTTGTGGACAAAGCATTTTGAAAATCATGATGGATGTGAGAGAACAAAAAGTATTTTATTTAATTTTGTGCATGTCTCTACTTTAGCTCATGGTTTCCATGGTTTCTACACAACACAGAGAAAAGCCACATTAATAATCCTAATGAAGGACAGCTAAGTGTCCTAGAATAAATAGTGTATGTATAAAGTCAACAAAATAAAAACTGCACTAATAAAATGTTATTCAGAAAAAATAATGTGAAACGCGGTGATCAAGAAAGCTGACCAGAACTCTTAATCGGTTAAAGAACAAACAGAACAGCAATAATCACAGAGTAGTTCAGGTGGGGAGCTGCGTCAGGATGTGTAGGCTGCAAAGGAACAAGTAAGAGGTTTATTCCATGCGGAAAAGAGAAGAAAGAAAACACAACATTTCGGCCATGGAGCCTTCTTCAGGTGTGATCAACCTGACCTTACAGACGAAACGTTGTGTTTTCTTTTCTTTCTTCTCTTTTCAGCATGTAATAGACCTATTACTTGTTCCAAAATCACAGAGTGCTGCTTCTGCTCTCCTCGCCTACAAGCCCACACGTGAAACTTACTCGCAATCAGTCCAACCCCGGACACCAGAGAGCCGACCCACGCCGTCACTCCTTTCCCTTCCTGAAAGGCGCTCAGCCACTCCGGGTACAGCACCCCGACGGACTGAGGGGACCCGTAGGCAAGGAGCTGGCCCATGAAGGATGCCGCCACAATGGCCCAGCCCCAGCCACCATCCAGCGCCTTCTCCGAGCTCGGGGCAGTCATCTTCTGGCACGGGCTGTCGGCTCTCAAAGGGATGTCCTACAAAGAGGAACCAAACCGTTAGGGAAGCCTGCGCCCTCCGTTTCAGTCAAGCCTACGTCCCCTCTGACTCTGACACACAAGGACAAGAGCCATGGCAAAAACATATAATGGCTCTGAATTTCAAAGTTTCGGCAAGAAACTCCAAAGTATTTTAATAATGCATGAATATAAAATCTAAATGCAGAACATCGTGTAAAATTAAGACAGAAGATTTTGTTACACTATTAAATTCTGAAAAATACTTACACAGTACCTTGATGTTCAACTGAGGACTTGGGTGCTCTTGCCTGGACAATCCAGGCAGCTCACCTGCCACACTGACTAACCACCATCTCCACAGCACGCTGCTGGTTTTGTCCCTTCAGAGATGCACAGACCACACCTCAGAGGAGGGGAGTGGGTCTGAAGACAGCCCCCACACCCCCCTCCGTCCTCTACCCTCCCCTAATGTTTTCACACCTTTTTTTGTGGTGTTGTTATTTATTTTTGTCCTATATCTACAACGAATTACAAATCTTTGGGTTGTTTTTTTTGCCACGTTGCACTGTATTAAACCCAGTCCTTATCACTAATAATGAACTTCAAAGGGTAGAGATACTTATTTGACAATGGTAATGTTTTGGGGGTGGTTTTTGATACGTGTGCGTGTTTTCTGGCGTTTCTCTACTTCTTAATAAATAGACTCGTGTCATGTCGGGGGCGAACCGGCACAATTTGAAGCGTCTCAAATCAAATGTTAAAACACCGATTTTAACCGTCACAGCAGATCTGTTTGTTTTGCTTCAGCCTACACTTAATTTGTTCTATCCATTGTGAATTCTCATAAACAAAGAGGTCACATTTATTTTATTGACTGTTACCCATTCTTATAGGGTGCAACTACAGATTTCTCGCACATCATGCAGGTAAAACCGAAATACTGCGACGCCTCATTCTGAATGGCATTCCCCTTCACGACTCTGCATGAAATTTCCTCAGGGTGGACAAAATAGAAATGCCTTTTGGGTTATTTTTTAAATTTGGTTTGTTAATATAAGCAACTTACCTTTCAGATAATAAGCGGATGAATGCAAAAAATACACGTTCTACTGTAGTGTTGGACTAGGTAGATTGCGGTGAATGATGAATCTGTAATTAACATGGCTCGGGCAAAACAATAACCATGTACAATTTAAAAATACTACCCGGAGAGGACACATCTTAACCCTTTTTGGATACAAATTCAAATTTAAGTCTCCTACATAGTTTATTCCCCACTGTGAAGACAATGTCTGCCAGACACCGCTTTGTTGCTTACTAAAGAACCGGTTTAAAGCTGTTCTCGCTGGTCTGACTAAGCTGCTGTATGAAACTTCACTAGGCTTAGACATCTGTACCCAAATACAGCAGAGAACATCATCTTGCATCTTATATATCTGCGTTTCATTTGAAAATATATATGTAACAAAATGTGAGTTATACTCACAGGTGCATTCAGTGCAATTTTGTAAATTAGCATCATAGGTAATACAATCGGAGTTAATAACAGTAACATGATTCATAATAACTAATAAAAATGATTTTATCATTACCTGAATGCAATTTCGAATATTTGCTTAGACGACTTCAGAATGAGTACACCTCCAGCAGCGGAAAAACACTTTTTATAAGGATTTATTCTGACACTTGTAAAGGCTGTCATTTGAATAACTGTTACAAAAGATTTAGAACTTTTCTATTTAGGTGATGTCTTCATTAGTATTCTTATATTTAAAGCGGTGTTGATTTTCAAGTTTCAGAGCGCTCTGAAACTTGTTTGTGAAGTTGGGCTGCTGCCGGCATATGAATACCATGAATACAAGCTAGACTGCTGGTGTAGCTGTGGGTCCAGTCAAAACCGGTTGCATGATGGCAACAGATGTAACACGCACTAAAGTGGGCGCTGTGGCATAGAAAAGCTAAATAGAACAATAGGTTGGTACTTCAGACATTCTTACCTTTTCCGCAAGTGACAATTAAAGGCAGCTCGAAAGGATTGTGATCGCGGTTTTTTTAAAGTTAAAATCTGAAGATGACATTTTAAAAAAAAAAGAACGTGAAAAAAACGGTGTACGAAAGTCTAATGCGACCCTTCCTAGATTTCACTTTCACTTCATACAGTATTCACAGGGGCCAGAAAGGACAAGTGGTTTTCCGAGAGCCAAAACAATCCCTGGGATTGGTGTGCCGAAGTACATGCGGCGTTTTCTGTACGTGATAACAAAACGTCGTATTAAACATTATGCATCTACTAGTATCTTAAAGTGATTTGAAATATATAGCAACTGACACGTCTTCTAAATAATTTGAAAAGATTTCCGTTACCTACTTTAGATCGGACGCTAAACTAATTACTTGCTAGCTATCCGAGAGATAGCCATAAACTATCAAGCAAACAATTAAGACGTTATTACAATAAGGAATGGTCTCGGCGAAGTAGCACAGTAACTGCACCGAGGCCCTCAAGGGAATAGTTCTCGCTAACGGACCACTATTTTTACATAACACTTCTGATCGCTGGATGGAGTTAAGCTAAATGAAAAATTAATAAAAAATCGCAAACTGAAAAAAAGCTTTCGACAGAGGTTCATCAGTTCTTAAGGAAGTCACTTTTGTTTTTGAAAACAGAATGAGTTTACAGCCTTCTTTGCAGAAAGCCAGGTAGAGCTTGGAATATATTTTTCAGCAGTCAACCAGTTATACCTACAGTATCTTACAAATTGTATTCATATGGGTACCTAACCAATAATGTACCAAGATGACACACGCAATATTTAAGTTAAAAATACATTAAAAAAATATCAGTGGCAACAATGTGTTCAGTGGGTGTTACCGCCATTACCCAGCGGTCATTATCCAATAAGCACAGAAAATGCGGTGAAAAAGGAGTTGTATCAGCATTCGATCCTGTCCCAGCCCTGACCTGCGGTCACGGCCGGTCAGTCTTGAGGGCAGTCCAGAAGAGATCTCCAACTTCTCAGCTGGACAGCAGATCAACCACTAAGGTTATTGTATGAAAAACAATTATAAGCCAGACAGGGCTGAGACATATCTAATGATTCACCTACGGTCTAGGACTACGTGAAGACCGTATGGTACTGTAGGTTTCAGCCGGGCGTGTGAAGTGGCTCAAACTGGGAATTCAGCAAAAGAACAGTCTGCCATTACGCACCTTACAACCATTTATGCTTTTTTTTTACCTAAGCATTGCATATTAAAGACTTATGAAGATATGTTATAACCTTATCACATATAACAATTATTCATTCTTCAAACTATTCTTACATTAAAGCACAAACTGCAGGGAAAAAGCCCAGGATGGATGTTTTGCACATGTAACGATTTGTTCTCAGCTGCTAATCTATAACGCAGTGCAAGACCCACCCAGTCCTTGATGTTAAATCACATCCTGCATTTAATTCAAGGTTGTGTCTTACAGAGAACATGTGGTCCTCGCAACTACAGTTTTTTTTATTCTATGTTACAGAACATATGCCAATCGAGATTCGCTCTGCGGCAGCTCAAACTTCGATTCAGCGTCCACATTTCAACCCTTACCATGACTTCCCACCATGTCGGGCGGAGCACAGGAAAGGGGGCCAGTGTCACCTGGCCTTTAGTTAGGCAAGAGATCCGAGAACTGCAGCCAGCCGATTAATGAAAGAACCTGTTCCAGACTCGCAGAAACACACAGTAGCAAACCTTTTATTTAAAACAAAGGGTGGGAATTATTTATATCATTGCTTTCATGTATTTTTTTGCAAACAGTGCATTTCGCTGTTTCAGAAAAATCTGAATCTGACATCTGAGAAAAATCAGTAGTACTACTGCTTGACCTGGTGTTAATGGAATTCAATATCACAACACAATTGGTAAATCATGGTATGAATGATTCCTTTCCCTTTATACCCTATCATTACACTTGAAAAAAATAACTATTTTGTCACTTAATGCAACAGACATTTCTATTTTCATTTTTATTTACATTACATTATTGAAAATTTTCAAAAGTAGGAGTCAAAATACCACTTTAAGAACTCACAGCAGGGGAAAGGCATATACTTGTTTCTTTTGCTGTCCATAGTGACTTTGGTATCCCTGGTGACAATGCAGACCAAAGCCTTTTCTTACTTGTATGGAGTTTAACATGTTGATTTAAAAAGTGGCTTAATACACAAAAAAGCCTACCCACAGGAGGTTACAAAAACAGGCCAATACAGTTACTGTTACTGAAATTCTTGATTCTTCACAGGCAAGACCGCCTCACGCATTCACTTATAGGCTGGTTTTCCTGTCATATGCATCATATTGAAACGTTGCTACAGAATTTTAGCCCCAAACCTTAAAGGCAAATATCTCCTCTAAATGGCTTAACAAACAGTCGCATTTAGGGTTGGCTGAGAATCTTTCACCCTAAATTATTAAGAGAAAATTAGTCAAAACCCTTTGGACATTAAAAGCTCAAACAATATGGATTGTGTTCCACTGATGTCAAAGCTGACACTAAAATTTTACATTTCTGAAGGGAAACTTCTGTACTTTCAAGTGACGGACTGCATCACTAGAACCAAGGCATGGAATTCTCAGATGTGACAAACTGGTCTTGTAAGAACTAATTCCTAGGTGAAAGAAAAAGTACACAATTTCCATGGTTTCCAAGTTCTGCAGGCATGTTGCACTGAACAACTTAAAAACACTTAATCAGCTCATACTGACAAGGTAAATGTTATACAAGATTGTATTTAATTGCATTTTCTCAAAATACCTTAAACTACTCAGTTTAATATTCAAAACATATCAGTTAAATCTTTTATAACAAAAATACTTTAAAGCTGACCAAACAAGTATCAGTCAGATTTGGAAGTCTTGTTCTTGTCTTGAAATGACCAGCACTCAACAACTTACTATGACTTTGGTTTTAGTGGCGGCAATAATGCATTCTTTGAAAAACTAAGAATTAAGCAGGGATCAAGGACATTCTCAGCACATTTGATATCTATATAGCGCATTCTAGTAAGAAATTGGAAAAGCCCAGTCATCTCTTGTAATATTACAAAAAAACACCGACTGTTCTTTCATGAAGAGAAAGTACAATGGAAAAGATTAAATGCAGTCTTAACTTCACAATGACACCAAATGATACAGCGAGGGAATAAGGGAGACCATTTTTTTAAACCTGTTTTTTTCTGTCATTTCTTGCTATCATTTTAGAAAGAGGACAATATTAGTTTTATTTGAGTTATATATATATATGAGAGACCAATTTCTTCCTGGGGCCTACACACATTGCACATTCTCCCCCACACCCCACTATTTTTTTGGTGAAATTTCTGAGGATAGCAATTGGTGCAAAAATATCTGTTTCATGATCACATTTGAAAACCATGACTACTCAAGGCAATGTAATTTTTGAAAAGATTTCTAGTTATAGAATGACAGGGAGGGCTTATTTTAGATCAGTGCGCTACCATAAAGATAAAAAAAATCCATTATATTTTATGTATACTGAGTGCACAGCATTAAAAAATATCTTCATTATGATGTACAAAAAAAACAATTTACATCTAAAGATCTGGAGATATGTGCAGAAAGAAAGGTGTTATGTAGAGCTCTTACAAAACAGAGCTCCGTTTTCTTCTTTAATTAATGCAGCCAGAAAAACGCACACAAATCTTGGATTTCCTTCCTGCAGAAGTCCGACGAGCTGACCAACAGCACTGAGGCCACCAAACCAAGACATGCACGGTTTTCAAATTAAGAAAAAAAAAATTAATATATTAAATATTAAAGAGGCAAACGTTTACACTTTAAATACAATGTTAAGTCTTCCAATGTCTATTTTAATGCTGATTATTAAGCCGGGAGATCTCAGGAGACGAGAGTCTGACCTGTTAAAATTCTGCTACAGGAGGCTAGAGGACGCGTCACTCATCAACTGCTCCTGCAGCGTCTTGCGGGCTGTGCAGGCCTGGCAGTTGCCTGAGGAATACCAGAGAGGCTCTGTAGCAACTGATCACTGCTTGGGCAGGGTTAGCAGTGTTTTAGCTGTGTCCCATGTTTTCCCTCGCCAGAGTCACGGCACAATAATATTATATATCGATAAGTTGCTGGCTTGACCTTACCTTGCAAAGTTCTTATTTCTTTTAGGCAACTTTGAATTGGGCAATTGGAAACTTGTGCAATTCACTTTTTAAAAGGCAATTAAAATGCTTACCCTTCTGGAATTCATTTTCAATGCCACAGATTAGAAACCTGCATTTACACCCCCCACCAAACTGGATTCTTACATGGATTAACTCACGTTGCTGAGCAGTAGAATAACAGCATTATAAGAACTGACACCAAGGTCCAATGCTGTATAAGCCAAAATTCAAATTTCTAAGGAATATAAAAACAAAAGAACGCCTTTAAAGAGTTAATTTTCCTTTGGTTGAATACAATCTTAATCTTGCTCATTAAGGTTTAAATAGATTTTTTTAAGTAAACTTTAAAACCCTGTTCTTGCCCGGGTATTGGGTGATGTGCATATGTATTAAAAAGGTTTATCGCATTAATTACTCAGGAACTTAAGCGATGAAAAAGCTTTTTATCAGCTGGATTGAACCAGTATAAACTAGGCAGACTTCAATGTGTTGCTGGCACACTAAGTGTCCTGTTAAGTGCCTGTGCCATTTGGCTATTTACATTTAAAAAACCTTTTGTGCTGTATTTAAATTGATGTATTAAAAAACAAATGTTACTTGTGTGGCGAGGAACTGATCTTCAACAAAAACATGCTTAGGAGTGAAGAGGAGTCACAATGTCTGTTTGAATACGAAAAAGAAGCATTTTGGTGGTCACAGGTCTAATGTCACTGTGAAATGCAAATGGTTTGCGTTGAATAGAAAGATTTTTGAAAGAGATAGTGGCTTAGAGAGTCTGAAGTGAACAAAGAAAACAACCACGCATTCGCGGTTTCCTGACCACTAATACCTGACTCTAGCCACCTATAGAGATTTAACCACTCCTTTAGGGTTCTGTAAAAACATTAAAGCTGCAAATGGAAGTTTACTATTTACAAAACTGCCCTTGCCACTGATAGAGAAGACCAGAGGCAAGACAACAAGGACCCTGATAAGACCAGTAAAGCCTAAAAACATATATCCCAACAAACCCCATTTCATCTGTGCACAAATTCAGAGCATTTGTAACTACAGGCCTATCTTTGCATTCCTGAAAAGGAAATCTAGAAAGAGGGTGAATTTCACATATTTACTAACTGTGCACATGAAACTATTGTTACCAAAAGTAAATGGAGTGTTTGAAAACAGAAAGAAGCATTTAATACCAAAGACTGCTCAGAACACATATTAAGGCTTTAATTGTTTGATGTGGGGAGAAGCTAGATAATGCTTACATTTAGCCATACCACAGTGAGTTAAGGCTCAAAGGTGTTCCATCCATTTATGATCGCAGTTCAACACGAGAAAACTTTACATTCATTTGTCAACAGTCTGTTAAAGAAAAAGCAAAACTCCACCCAAAAACGCAAATCAAAAATAAACAGAAAACAAAAAAATCTAACAAAAAGGGTTTGCTAAACTTTGAAATGTGAACACCACAGAATTTCCCTGCGTTTGGTAAATGAATGCAAAAAAAAAGCACTGTTCGGCGATAATGGAGAGACTCCATTATATTTACAATTTGAAACAAAACAGTTGCCAAAGTTTTAAAACCAGAAACCTAACAAATTGTGTTCTTAGATACCCTCCACTAAAGCACATAAAAGTCACATACACAAACACTCTTTAGATGTTCGGTGTAATATTCACTCACGAACAGTCCACTCTAGGGCTTAATGCATGGGGTATTCTCTGCATTCGCACTGATAAAACTCTCTGAGCCCCATTACTAGAGCAAACTGGCTGTATATAAAAAAAAGCTGACATTTCTTTTAGGTTTAGTCAGAATAAGATTGGAATAAGTAATTTTTTCCATTGTACAGCTTTATATTAATCTTTTTCCCAAAAAAATATTTCCCCATTGTTTTACCAGTTTTCTTTGCATTTGCCATTTCTATGCAGTAGTTTTAACATCCTGATTTCCAAGTGCTTCATACCACACTTCTTTGTGACATGTTGCGTAAATGTATTTTTCTGAATCACAGAGACACAAAAGCCTATATACTGAATAAAAGCACATACCTGAACTACAAGTTAAAATATTTCAGCAGTGCTGCTGTGAAAGATGAGGCAATAACATGATCCAATCGCAAATCAGTCAAACATATTTTTGGGTTTGCAAGGTATTACAACTACTATTAGTGCTAAAAGTAGAATAAAATCATATCTACATTTTGAAGCAGCATTTTGCATGTATGCAAATGAACCATAAGGAAATGTAAGATCACCAATAGATGCTGCTGTATGCACAGCCCACCAGTTCACCAGAGGCACAGTGAACTGGCCAATTATACTGAAACCTATTAAAAGATGAAAAAAAGACTTAAAGACTAGTTGTTAACAAACAATACTATATTTGAGATTTCAGTTACTTTAAAAAGACTTCTGCAAGCTAGGCAAAGCTTTTTTTGCTGTTTAACTTCAATACTTGCTCTAATGAAGTACATTCTCTCATGCCATTATTGCAAGTAATAGTTTAATTAGCAGTATTTATGGCAAACCCTTAAGTTAATATATGGAGCTATTCTATTATGTACTCTGCAAAAATCACAGTGATAGCACTTACACAGACACTGTATATGGAATATCTGTGATGTGAAATTCAAAGCAAGAACTACATATATTGTACCAAGAGGATGTAGCTTACATCATTAAGACCCAAATGTTGTCTCACAAATACTGAATTATAGCAAACGTTCACTTAAAATTGGTTTCTGAATTACCCTGTAATGATGGAATTTTCATTAAAGGAACAAATCTGTATATATTAGTGTGCAGCTGTATGTCCAAAGGCAGACCTTGTAGTCAACAGGCAGATGAAAATTGTTTTCATGAAGCACAAGCCACAGTATAACACAGCGTCTTTTTTCTTATGAAAAAGATACTCATTATATTTACAACTGCAAAGTATAACCAACCAATTTATTACATCAGCGAAGGCAAATGATGTATTTAACAAGTCCAATGTATTTTATAAGCATCTGTTCCACTTCTAAGCTCTGCCTTGAATATTTTCCTATGATATACTGTGATGTCACATACAAGTTTTAAATTGGTGAACAAGACAAAGCACACTTCTTGTCAGCATTTTGCTCCACAGCGCCTCCAAGGTGCTCTCCTACTTAAAGTCAACATCATTAGCCCATTGAGGTGGCTCAATGTCAAGATTCAAAAAAAGTGTAAAACAGTTATTAAATAGGCAGTTTATCTGCCTTCTGACAATCAGTTTTAGCTAAAGCCAACAAAAGCATTTTAACCTGTGCTCACATTGCAAGTTTGCAAAACTTAAAGAAGAATGGTGATTTCTAAATTAGATGCATTTTGTACAGGTTTATATAATTGTCACAAGAATCTCCCAAAACACTGGAAAGATCCCATTATTCTTACTTCTTAACTACATGTTTTTTTTTCTCTGAAGTACCTTTCAACATCTTACATGTATATATTTCTTTTTCAACAGGGATAGTCCATAGGGATATGTTACAAGCACTAAAACAACCAAGCCTGAAAAAACAGGTAATTGTACATTTTAATTATCAAACAGGCACTGAGTTGTCAGTGACTTTTGTACCAGTAACAATCTGCATTTTATATTTGAAATGTAGTGCTGATTCTATAGTGATTGGAAAATTCACAATAAATAGACGCATTCTGTAAGCTAATTATATCTTCAGATGTTCGCTGGCTCTGCACTGAAAATGAAATAAGGTTCCCTTTTTAAAATCAAGCCTTAAAGCCATTTGAGATCGGCATCATGACATTTAACAATGCAGTATTATCCTAGTCCGAGTGGTAAATAATTTAGACCAAAAAGATCCAACAAAGTTCCAGTTAGCACTGACAAGAGTAGGTTGTTAGGTTTTAGTGTCGTAGAGCCACAACACTGGCTGCATTCTAAACAAACATTTACAACACAGTTAACAGTGAAGCCTAAATAATCTCAGTGCAAGTAAGTCAAATCCAAATGTCGGTCAAGCCTTTGGCTTTCAATAACCTGCTCTGTCAAGTCCACTCTTGAGGAAGCTGCTGGAGAGCACATGCACTATGGCTGTGAGGAGGGATGCACTGAATGCTGGGAAGTAGCTGCCTGGGAGGATCCAGACTGAGCCATTGGCTGAGCTGGAGGTGGTGGGGGGGGTGCAGGCTGCACCCCAGATTGCGTGTTGGGAGAGGGTGGAGGTGTAGGTCGCTTGAATTTGTCAGGACTGTTGCTTCTTCTAGGCGAAGGTCTCTGTTGGAAAAAAAAAGAGGGAAGGTTATTAGTACAAAAACAAAGTGGTGCAAATGTTGCAAAATCATCCAGCGTGGTACGGTGGTCTTTATTTTGTAACATTACATTCACTGCAATAACGCAACACTATGTATTCACCACCTTGAAAATAAAATACTGAAGTCAGTGCAGTAACAAATGCAATATTCCTTCACAGCTGCATTCAAGATAATGTTTAATATGTCTTAACCTTAAAGCTATATTCAGTGACAAGAATACTCTGAATAGGATATACGTTTCAGGTATAGAAATCAGAATTTAAGGAGAAGAAAATCATAGTAAATTTAACATTTACCCTAAAACATATTTAGAAACAGCATTACAATGGATTAAAATAGTTAAGATACATCATTAAGAATAACTGCTGATTCCACTGAGAAGATACAAAGACTTACAAAGGGAAGTATTTCGAAAATTCTTCAGAAAAGGGTGGGGTTTTAAATGGACATAATTGAGAAATGACAATGGTCAACATAACCGGAAACTTCAGTTTTATGCTTAATTGTGAGAAAATAATACAATCAGTGTATGGAGTATGGGTTTAGAAGAGATAAACAGTTATTTGGTAAAACAGACAGGTTTATTAAAAGTTTCATTAGCCTTTTGATGATGTTTGTAAAAGATTTAGTGAAGCACCTCAGGGATCTAAAGTATTTGGACCACCGACTAAATCCACAGTAGTCCTTAAAGTATTCAAATTTGCAAATGAAACTAAAACAGGATGATTAGAAAAAACACCAAAGGCTTGTGAGAGTATGGAACATATTTCTGAATACGATACCCTGGTTTCTTTAAATAAATGAGATCCTTGGATTTATTAACTGCCAACTTCCAAATGGGCTAGATGAGTTAGCCTTTCTTGAGATCTCCAGAATGAACAGTGAAACAAACCAGGGGACAGATGCAGAAATGTCTTCTGGAGAAGTGCTTTTAAAACTAAGTGTAGGAGGCAATGTTATAAACACATAGTGGGAGTCTGGAAAGAGTTATCCTGCCTAAGATGCTGAAGAAGGCATCCTGGCTTTTTTCAAGCAACGGCTGGATGAGATTCTTGTATCAGTTAGCCGCCAGCAACCATACTAGTGATATGGGCAGAATGGCCTCTCGTTTGTAACCTTTACGTTCTTGAGTTCTTAAAAGCCAAGAACTCCTTTTGCTTGTAACCTCATATGACTAAAATTACCCTCTACAAAAACAGACATGCGCGTCCTTTAAAAGAAGGAAACAGTTGATACCCAGTAACAATTTATATCTTGCAGTCAGGTAAGATACATTATGTACAATACATTTCAACATATTTACTAGTGAAGGTCAGGCTTTTACAAAAATAATGTTCCAAACAACACATTTCTTTCTAGACTTTCAAACACTAAACAAAGAGAGACAAATTGTAATAGTCATTTGAACTAAATGCCAAACACTCACTGCGATGCCATGTGAAGAACCCGCATGGACATGAAGGCCTGGGGCATTGTAATAAGACATTCCAGCTCTTGTCAGTGACGCTGGTGGTGTGAATCCCACAGTGTGACTTGCATATGAAAGACCTAGAACACAGGAGATGACATTTAATTCTTAACTTATGAAGGACATTTACTATTTAGTACTTCTGCATCACTACATTTTTTTATATCCAATTTCTCTATGCAGTGGGCACCACACAGTCCAACAGCACTCAGATTTTTATTTATTCTTCTCATCCAATAATTATGGAACTTAAAACACAGAAACAATACAAGGCCCACAGCATCACAAATTAATATTTTAGACTTAAAGGAATCCCAACTGAAACTTCAGGAGAAGTATGCTGTGATATAAAATATTGAATGAATCAGATTTTGACTTTCAAACTTTAGATCAGCCTTGCATATGCTTTAGCCTTCTGAACAAAGCTCCAAAGAATGAAAAATTGAATAAATCATTTTTAACTAATGTAATTTTTGCTTCACTTGGTAAAACAAATAAGCCATTTATACCAAAGAATTTAGAAAAAGCTACACATGGCTAAACATATTCCATGAATTCCGTTTTTACTAATTAGAAAAGTAGGCCTTTTCCAAATATTAAGCAGGAAACATTAAGTTTAAACCTAGTGTATTGAATACAGTACCTTCTATAACCTCTTCGACATAACATTTGTCTGGGGTCATTTTAATAGTATTCCTTCTATAATTTCTATAATAGCACCAATATAGCACAAACATCCTTCTCACATTTTGTTACTCTTCATCATGTTAATCAACACTTACTTTTCAATAATAATGAACATCTGACACTGTGTAATTTACAGAGGTGTTCAATCTTGCTGGAAATATGGTCACCAAATGAATACAAATATAGAAACATGGCAATTTCAGGCCCACAGAATCACATTTTGGGCAGTGAGACACTAGTAATATGATATGCAATTGCAGCGTACTTAAATTGCAAAGCCTTTCATATCTCCCAGGTGCAGAGGAAATTTATTCAATCCATCCTGGTCAAACACACATTTGTACACTGGTAAAAACGGAACACTTTAAAATCACAATTTTTCAAATATCTAAAAACATCAGGAAGCAGATTTTGATTTACCAGCTGCAATTTCAGTAACGAAAAGGAAACAAAGGAAAAATGTCTTCTCAGAGCACTACATCGTCACATGACCATGCTTAATTGCTTGAAACGGAATGAGATTCCTCATTCATGTGTGACTTGTCAGACAAAATTCAGTTCTGTAATCACACACTGATGATCAGGGTCCTCTGTATTTTTTGTTTCTACAGCAATTTTGCTTAAAACTGCAAGTCTCTAGTCCAAGCTCAAAGGTTATTACCACCTTCACCCCAGATATTCAAAGGAAATGCAGAACTATGGCAGTGCACTTCATTTTCTAACAAAGTTCATTGCTATTTCAATCTCTAGTTAGCATCAATTCTGCTTCTCAGTAGGAAAAGAAGACGCATCAAATGGTTAGCTCACAATTTGCAAAGCTAATAAAAGTCTTAAAGTTATGCTTTTTTGCGACACGCTAGTAATTCTGAACACATAATACTTTGTATTCCACCTCTTGGTTAATAGCTATTGCATGGTTTCTTTTTCTGAAGGAAAGTTTTGAAGGTCCCAGATGGCTTGAGTCCATTACAAATACAGCAGATATTCAACCTTGTTTGTCACTGCCGATGCCAAGAGTCTTGTGATGCTTACAGACATGATTAATGCTTTGTGAAAACACATTACAGTAAAAACCTGCTCTTTAATTTGCAGTTGACTTGTGCACGATAGGCTTTAATTCAGCAAATTCAGTGCCCCTGTTCTGTCCAACTCCAATGACTCCGAGTGCCATCATGAACTGTCAACAGCTCTATACTACAAGTATTATTGATATAAATCCTGCCACCTCTGTGCTGTTCTGCATTGCAGGATGGCCTGTCCATGGCCTTTACACACAAACCCACTTACTATGAGAGACAACACAGATGACAGAAATGTCAAATTAGAGGAAACACCTCAAGTGAGAACTGTTAAAACCTATGGAGTGGTAAGGCAAGCACCACGTGACCTAAACTGTATTTCCATAGTACACCAAAAACAAAGGTATAAGCATGGAAATATTCCCTATTAAAAACAGTAGTTCAGGTGAGCTCTTATTCCAAACTCATTGCTCATCTGTTCAAGGTTAAGGCAGACTTAATTAATACTGACAGGCAGCATTTACATAGCTCAGAATTTTTACATCTGAGAAGCGGAAAAGAAACAAATGCTATCATAACATTTTTTCCTGAAGTTCAACCTGGTTCCAATAAAATCAAGTTAAGAGTAGCAAATGGGTAAGAATTACCAAAATGACAATCATATCAGTCTTATTTCTGCCACGCTTATGTGTCCCCTAAGTCTCAAAGGTGGTCTTTATGGATGGAATTTCCAGTACAAACTGCATTAAAATGACTGGATCAGGCACATCCAACCCAAATGGCAGGCTGAAGATAAGGGATCTCTTGATTAAAATGTATACGTACCAGGTGATATTGGTCTGCTTGAACTTGGAGATGGTGTGTAAGGAATTGGACTTGACACAGTGCGGGGACGAAGTCCTTGTGCAGACATCTCATTGAAATATCTGGAGGAGAAGAATAAATGTTTATTCAGGGCCTTTAAAAAGCATATGACACAAAGTCATGGGAATTAAAAAGCCAAGAATAAAACTAATCCTGGACATATTGTAACTTAAGTATAGTATTATAGACTCCTGTGGACAGGGTATTACAGGATTCCTTGAGCGAATAAATGCCTCAATCTGTTTTTTAGCTCAGACCATACAGGATTCGCCTGACAGTACTATTCAGAATCTGAAATTAAGGATGTTACATTAAAAAATACTATTCTTCACGGGAAAATCCAAATACGCTTGTTCTCTTTTGCTCTTCGTTAAAACAATTTCATTTAACCGTGTCTAAAAATTTTTTGTTTCATGTAAATTTCACATTTTGTGTAAATACTAGAATTTTAGCACAACCTGGATTTTGCACAAAATCTATGCTACTTATCCTTCCAGGAAACAGCATTTACACCGATGATTGCTATAACAATACCGAACTGTGTTGAAAACAATGAATTACTTATTGCAAATTCAGACCGTCCAGTTGCGTGTTGGCCAAATCGTGGGCTGTCCTGAAATGAGTTTTTTGGGTTTGGGGGGAGTGTAAGGCAATTTGTCTAATCAAACAAACACCAATGCAGGTACACTGTCTCCACGATGCACTTGCACTGGCTCTCAAGTTGATTGAAAAACGAGCCAATCTTCCTTTCAATGGAAGGTGGCCCTGTGGACCCCAGCAGTCAGGAGATTAAAGCAGAGCCCCGTACCTCTCGTCGTCCATCTCCAGACTGGACTCGCTCTCGGACAGCTGTCGGCAGAGGGCCTCTCGCCGCTCCATCTCCCGCTGCAGCTTCCTCTGCAGCCTGATGTTCTCCTCCCGCATGTGTCGCTCCTCTTCGATATACTGGGCCATCTTCTCGGTGTCTGAAACGAGCAGCCCGCTGCATCACGTACGCACGCCTGGAAGCGCAGCTCTGCCACAACCACTGACCGTTCTGTTCGGTAAATGTCTGCCATCCCTCGTGGGACAACACAAGATGGATTGCCATCATTGATTGATTGGTTCAACACTTATTGAACTCTTGTCTCAGAATGCAAAATGTTGCAGGCTGGGAAACACCATAGTACTGTGATAGCACTCCCTCTAGTGGTCAAAGGGCCACACTCCAGTGCAAATGTAGCCTTGCCTGGAGATCCAGTATGAATAGTTAGCCATGCGAACTCTCAGTAAGATTTATGTCAGGGATTTCCAACCTTTGTCCTGGAAAGCTCCAGAACAGCAAGGTGTAGATAACCTCTAAATCATCAATTTGTAAATAGCAGCAACTACTTAAAAGTAATGATTTCAATAGATTAAAAGGGATTGGGGCTCTCATGGACCAGGGTGCAACAACCCTGATTAAGAAACAAACCAGACATGATCTACCTACATAATGAATTCTGTTTCTTTGAACTATATATTCAATATTTTATTAAGAACTACTGTTGTAATGGGAAATGTTAAATAGTTGAAGGACATTCACATTAAACACCACTTATCATTTATCTGTATTCTTTGACACTTGCTACATTGCACTATTTTTATCTTTCATCAATGAAATGTTAAAGACTTAAGCTATGTATGGTTGTTGCCTACAAAAACAGTCACATTTGAATTTTTGTCTATAATGTCTACAATTATATTTAAAAATACTGAAAATGTACTTGGAAATGTACTTGGAAAGGCAAACTAAGGATTAATTCAGCGAACTCCCTTCAAATCAAAAGTTTATTTTCCCCACGTACGTTGTAACTGAGCAGTTCGGAGTTGTTTCTTTAGCCTCTCTACTTCATTCTTTAAAAACCTGATGTGTCGCATCATGTTTTCTGGTGAGTCAATCTCCATTGATATGTCTCTGGGCGATGGTGGGGCAGACACAGGCTGATCTAGTTTCTCCTGCAGGATCCTGCAGTTGAAAAGAAATACATGTAAGACCTTTCTGTATCCACCTGCAGAGAACAAACGCTGCCACAGATCACCTCTACTTACATGGCCAGAGGGGGGCATATATCGGAAGAAATTAAAAATGACACTATATAGCTTCAGAATTCCCCTCAGGATTTGCTTAAGAAGCAAAGAGGAATATTTCCTGAGCTGACATATTACTGATTGATCCCATGTAACAAAGTACGGAACGTTAAGTCGTTAAAAGTTAGTAAAGCAAAAAAAAATTGCTTTCCCTTTGACTATAAACAAAATGGATAAAAAACCACTCGATTTAACTACCAATAACTTTTTGGAAAATAAATCTCACTGAAGGAAACAAAACATACCCAACCCCACAAACTTCTTGCCCAAGTTACTAGTAGTTTTAAGAAACAAGGGAAAACGTAAATCTAAATACATAAGACAGGATGGTTCATAGCTTGAAATTAGCAGATGGAAAGATGTGACATTTTTCTAGTTTAAAAAGGGAGGGTTAAATTGCCACAGAACAATAATGTTGCTAGTGTGGCTTTAAGCTTATGTTGACATACAGCATGTATTCAAATTAACTTGAAAAATAGGTGCAGACATGCATAAAACAGGTTAAACATTTAAGATAATTTAAAAATAACTACATCAAATTAAGCAAGATTCAACAGTCCGTTATAATAAAACACAGGAAAGATACTGACATTTGTTCTGCTGCAAGATAACCAAGGAGCCTGCAAAATCTAAAGTGCCTCTTACATTTCATTATTTAATGGGAACTGACCTTTTCTCCGCTTCAAGCTTATCCATCCGTTTCCAGAGACGATTAACTAATGCTTCCTGCTCTTGCTCCAATGTATTTTCAAGGTCAATCTTCTCACGCCTTAGCTAGAAGAACAAAATTTTACAAAGTCATTTCCAAATATCGTGAATTGAATAATTAAACGTTTGTATTATAAAATATAGTGTCTAACCCTGGTCTTGGTGGGCTCTCTAAATGACCTGAACTTATTAGAAACTATTCCCCAGGTACAGCTGCTTTTAAGAAACTTTGAAAACCTACAGGCCTGCTGGCATTCTAACAGCTGAATTAGACACCCTGCAGTAGAGGACCTTTAAACTCTTCAGCATAAAAAACCAAATACAATTAAACAGTTCCAATATATATAAAAAATGTTTTCAGAATACAAACAAAACTGATCTTCAGGAATTTCAAACACCAAGGGGTAATAGATCATTCTTATTTGACATACATGTGATTTATGATTGCAAAAAACATTCGGTCATTATTCTTAAAAGTACAGTTTGTAAAGTTATCATGTTAAAACTAAAACAGTTTGGGCCATAATCATTTAGCTACAAATCTTTACATTCAATTATTTTCTCAAAATGAGCTGAAAAATTGTAAAATCTATAGGTACAGAACTGTTAAGACCATCCTTAATTAGAAATGTTGTTTTCAGGACCATTTAAAAAAAATAGCCGACTAAACATTAAAATTAATTTAATTAATTTGGTTTCTTTACTAATGTATTTGATCTGCTTTGCATTATGCAACACTCCTACCTGTTCCAGCGTGAGCTGCTTTGATATAGTGTCATTCTCCAGTTTTTTAATTTTCTTCATTAATTTGTTCACTTGGAACTCCTGTTCCTGCTCTAAGTGCTGTTCGAGTTCGGCTTTTTCGTGTTGCAGCTATGGAAAAAAGGTAAAAGGTTCACACACTTAAGAACAATCTAACTAAATGTCACCATGTTGAAATTGCTAGTACGAATTTGAAGTAATAGAAATTCACTAAGGGAAGGCTAAATGTCAAAACAGAAATTTTATTTGCATTGGATACTCTACATTAATACGTAGATCTTAGAAAAAAATTACGTTTAAACTAAATTTATTAATAATCAAGAGTGCTCGTAAGACACCATTGAGGACAAGGAGAAGCACAGATATTCTGCTCATGAAAACAGATCTATAACTAATTAGGTTAACCTTTCTAACTGACCCTGTGAAACATGCACATTCCTCCCACTAGTGATGTGACCTACAAGCACAAAGATTATGGTTAATGAAGAGTGTTTTCTTATTTACTCAAGACCTCCTGCCTGAGCAAGCAGTAGTATTGCCAGGCTCCACTGAGGCATGAATGTGTTTCCAAATACAGTGCCCATATTTATATTGGACTTTTTAGGCTGTAATCACTTTTATTCCGCTCTCTAATCCTAGGGTGGGGAACCTTGGGCGCCAGACTGTTGCAGAAATTATTCCAGCCCACAGAGAAAACTTCTAAAAATACACAGACTATTAACTTTTTTAATAAAAGAGCATCATCATTAAATTCAGATACATTGATGTGTTGCAGGGCAATGTTGGCATGGCAACCAGTGACCATTTCTCGACTCCCATATGCGTGATGTCATTTCCTCCTAATTGAACATTGGCTGCATCTCATTCATTGTCGGCTACTATACACTGACAATGCAGTTTGTGTGAATATGGAAAGGTGTGCCAACTGTCCAGTTCCTTTTCACATTGGGCAACATCAGCAAAAATAAGTAGATGTGGAGTGCTGTGTTTTTAATGAAAAAAGGACAGTTTGTTGTGTTAAGGTGAAATGTAAGCCAGTTTGCCTGATTTATGGAGAAGTGATTTGTCATTAAAAAACAAACTATAAAACTAAAAACAGTGCATATTAAATATGAAGATCTCCATGAAAGTTTAAGCACTTAAATACTTAAAGTTAATGGACAGTTATGCAAGCCAGTTATACAGTGAGTGAACTTAACGCAATAAAACCTTCACCTCCTCCAGAATTTGAACTTATCTTCTTGTCACCCACAGCTTCTTGAATTATGTGAAAGTGTGAGTTTCTCTCACCAGACAGCCTCAGATCAAATTAACACAATGGCTCAGGAAACTGAAATGTCTCTAAAAGATTCTGCGGCTGATTTTGAGCTCTACTCTCGAGACTGCTCAGGTGGCTACTTTTCTGTGTGGACTTACATGTGACTACAAGATTTAAGAGGCTGTGTTATAACACCAATGCAAGCAGCAAAAGAAGATATTTTATAGAAGGTTATGTCATCAGGAAAAGTCTGTTAATAATGGAGTTGTCTTACTAATGATAGTGTCCCAGCTGCGGTTGTATCTCAGAGGAGATTAGTTACTGTAGTCAAGAAGAAACATCTCAGCCTTGATCCAAGTAAGTCATTGCCTTATTTATCAAAATCTGTGTGACTGAGCAACACAATGTTGACAGCTGTAGCCAGAATTCATTATAAGCAGAGGATCAAACAGCCTCCAAGCTAAAGAGCTACAGAAAAACCTTGAATCAGAAGCCCAGCAATTTACTTTTCTATTGTGAAATGCGACGGCTGAGCCAAGGGAACATGCCGATGGGCCGCAATGAAGCTTTTCAACACTATTTCCCTTCGCTGTCTTGTGGAGCTGAGGGTCCCCATGTGGCTGTGTGACCTGCTCCAGGCATTCCCGGCCATCTTGGCATTCATCGCCAACATAACTACTTACCCGGCAGTCCGTAAGGGAATAAAAGGGCTTGTTCCAAATCCATGTTAAAGCTGTGGCAAATGCAACTAGACAATGTCAACTCAGTTGGCGTCCCTTCCAACCCTTCTGGAACAAAACCAGTGTGTACACAAAGTACACCAGGGAGTGCGCACATTTGCTGCAGAAATCCAGCGAGCTTTTCAAGGTGCCAGAATGAAAGAACTGGAATTAAACATTTTTGCCACATCCTTCACGGCTGGAACAATCAATGTACCTAAAAACATCCAGCTTAAAGCCGTAAGGATACCAACCTGCCTGTGCTGGAAATCTACACACTATAGAGGTGCCGGTGAATTTCTAAACCTGAGACGGGGTGTTCAAAACTGCATCCCCGAAAGGATCAACCTACTGCTGCAAGCAGCTGTTTTCAAGGCTTGCTTCTGTGAAGAACCAAGTGCGCGTTAACAGACATGTTGGAAAGTCACCCATGTAAGCGGGAAAACCAGCTGTGCAGCAGTAACAACTCAAGTAGTACGAGAAGGTATAGCCTATCACGCTAAAAACAGACGGGCTTAATGTTACATGCCTCACTCTACGTTCATATACGTTTTATACGTTCTATTTCTTTGGCCTGAGATTGTTCTGTTTGTGAGCCGCTGTCCTGTGGTAGAAAAATTCCAACAGTATAATAACTGGAATGTAGGGCTCTTCATGCAAAATGAATATGCAGTCACTGCGACATTAAAATCAAAACACTGTTTATGTCTTGTGCAGAATACATTGAATGCAATCTTTTACCTCCGTTTTATTTCAACAGTGCTGAATTATAATAAATGTTCACGTGTTTCTTTGTCGAACCTTAAATTCCATTGTTGGAAATTTTTCAGCAATCTCAGTAAAAACCGTGAAGATGGCAGATCAGAGAAATGCAAAATGGACTCCTTCCTTTACTCTTGAAGTAAAGCTTGTAATACCTTCTACACAACTAAGTCCAGTTCAGATTAAAACAGAGGTCAGAGACATTTTTGGGGGCAGAGTTCAATGTCTACTTTGAAGATGCTGGCACGCTTGTCAAAGAAGATAGGAGCACCAAACTAAATGGGTTAGCATTTCAGACAGATGTAGCAGCTGAAACAAAGATGATCATCAGCACAAATGCCCTGCATTCACAGGCATAAAACTGCGCACTAAATACTAAGACAATTCATATATAAATCTACAAATGCTGAAAGGCACAGTGTACAGTGTCTTAAAAACCTACATACAATGGCATTAAATGTAATAGCCTACATTTAATGCAATTCCAAATTAAAGAGGATTTCAACAATTGTCAATCTTTTGTATAACGTGCTTTTGCGCAGTCAAAAACGCCAGACAGTTCATACGGCTGGGCTGCTGTCCCACTGACAAGCACAATGAACATCAGTGTGGTACAGCAAATACTCCACTGAAAGAAATTATACTCATCACACATACCACAACCCTTAAATTGTTTCAGAGAACAATGTCACACAGCAGAGAATATCTAAACTGGACAATTTTCACACTATAATTACTAATTTAGCTAAATATTAACTAGCAACAAACAAATGCTAGAGATGCCTGTGCTTTTCAAATTGGAGATATCTGTCTTAATTTAATATTACCAGCTGAAGACAGGGTGACTTCTCACTTTGTAAGTGATAGCAATGAAGACTACGCACTTGATTCCAATGATTCTGATCAGGAATTTACCTGCATGAGTTTTCGTGAAAGTTCATTTGTGAGGAATTCTTCTTCTTTTTCATAATTGACAGCAAGGGTCTCTTTTTCTTTCTGCAGTGCCTGGATCTTTTTGAATAGGGTGTTGCTAATGAACTCCTCCTCTTGTTCTGCTCTCGCTTGCTGCAAATGGAAACAGAAAGAATATGTCAAGTGAACAGCATCAAGAATGGGCTTTCAACACAAGTCTTCCTCATCAATTCTCCAATATAACCTATTCCTTTACCACATTAAATACAAACTAAACTAGAAAATGTGAAACACTGACAATTCAAATCTTCCCCAGATCTCGGCTTCAGTTTATACAAAAAGTGTATTTCTTATAAACTAAACATATAGTTTGCTGTCCCTTCACTCATCAATGTTTGTGTACAAAATATAAGCACCTCTTTTGATATTACATTTTATTCAGAAATCATATTGATCAATGGTTTTCAATGAAATAACCTAATTTAGTGATGGCATTTAAAAATGCCAAATACCATTAATTTTCGAGAAACAGAGCTTGCAGGCCTTTCTGTTAACTGTTTGTGGCCTGTAAAGCCACAAGCCTAGCTTGGCAGCTACTTAATGTAACATTCTTTCGCTTATGCATCTGAATGCATGGAAAGACTCACTCTGCTCCTAATTAGGGTGACATAATTTTACTTGAAAGGCCAAACATTTAAGACTAAATAATTTTCATAGGTATCAGGCTAGAGCTCTTACTTAGTATTCCTTTTTGCTAGTGAGAATTCATAAATTATTGGCAAACTTTTTTTTGCTTGGACAGAATGCCGTCAAATGTTGAAAAGAACGGACAGTCTACAAAACACGTTGGCTAATTCTCTCACAAAAACATGTCTGTCTAGAAACCTTGACTGCAAAATAAATAAAAAGTGAAACCTATTTTGCTTTGTGGTCTCTTCTGAAGAGGAAGTGGCCTACAAAGAATTTAAATGATCGATGAGCATAGAAATTCCTCCTGATAATCACTTTACCGAAATTGTACCATCTGCCTCAGGTGAAGTTTAAACAATAACTAATTAGCTTCTTAAAACTACATGAGAGCTCTGCAACAGTCTTCATTAGATTTCTTACTTCATTATGCCCTATGGCAGGTGAATATAAATATTGTGTAAATAAGCACTGTCTCTCATAGTAAAACCAGATGTAAAGATGCCGTAAAGAAAAGTAATCTTTAAAAAGCTGCTGCATGTGAAGCCTAAAGTCAAAGATATAAGCAGTAAAGGAAGTCAACCTGTGTCATAACGTATTCAGTATCTACACTTTCAAGACATTAAAAATGAGAACAGAACCCTGAGAGGCACATGTATAAAACAGATAGCATTCTGTACACAGCTTGTCTTAGGGTTGTCCAAAAACTACATTTTTATATAACAGGGATTTTTTAGCATCTGTTTAACCTGCATTCACAGAATTCAATTTGAAAGCTGCGAATAAGTTTTCAGCAGGCAGAACACCTTATTAATTTCCTCACATTGCAAGAACTAACAGTGAAACATGTTGTTCCATGTCCAACCAAGCATAACAGACTTCCTTTAGCCTCAAGAGTTTGATTTTGCGAGTTCTGTGGGGGAAAAAATAGGTCAGGTATGAAAAAAGGCCAAATATTTGCTTCCTTCTGTAAACGTGTGGTCCTACTTTAAATGCATCTCATTTTGGGGATCTCAGAACCAATATGGAGAATGTCTGCAGTCCAATAAATGATTCTACAGAGGTAATTCTATGGCCTTTGTACAAACTGTGCACCATCACTTATTTCTGTGTACTGGGGGCCTTAAAATGGAAACATTAAATTCCTGCGATTTCTGAAGTAGAACAGGTCAGCTTATTAGTTTCAAATTGCTTCAATAATTTGACTCAATCATAAGTCAAGTGACTTTCTCGATGCAGCCCTGCTATGGTCTATTTTACCATCAGATTTAAATCACCCCACAAAATACGAGAGTGAAGGGCTAGAAAAAGAGAGAGTGAAAGCTGAAACTCCAAGTGGAACAGGCGTTAAAGTGACCTTTTGTGAGCCTGTAGATAAGGACTGAAGGACTTGAGCTAAGATTAACTTGGTAATCTCTCTTCTTCATTGTTCAATAAATGTACAAAAATGCACACATGCCCTTACTTTGATTTGGCTTCTATTGTAACAGTTGATTTTTAAACTAAGGCCAGCCATGAAACATAAAACTATATAAAACGAAAAGGTTTGTAATGGGACTACTGAGGTACTGTCAATCTCTGTTATCGTGAATTGTTGTCATAACTAATAATGGATTTTTTTAAAGATTCAAAACAAGCCATTGTCTCTGTCTCTGCCAGTGCTCATCACCAAACCAATAACATCCTCCACTCAATGTCCTGAATTTCCTCAGACCTTATCTGGCCTTGTTTCGTCTGACTTATATCTTCTAATACACAAAGTATTGTCAGTAGCTCTGGTTTAGTCAAACCGCTTTCAGCTCTTTTCAGAGATCCTGCCAGAGCACAAAAAAACACTGACACTAAAAGACAAGTAGATGAAATTGGTCTGTGCAATTAAATCTGTGAATTTAAAAAGGAATGGATGTGTGTTGATGCATGACCACAACAGTGACAGGATAGGGAATGTAGCATCTGCTGAAATCACTTTTTGGTCTCTTGGTAGATGACGCAAGATGCAAGTTAGCATTTGCACATCCCCTGTAAAGGGAGCTTAAATAGGTAAAAAAATTAACCAGGTTTGGAACTCATAAGACAACAGTATAACAGAACCGAGCATTCAATCAAACAGCAAAAGGCAGAGGTCCCCATCACGGTTAGTAGTTGCCTAAAGGGGATATCATAAATATAAAGTATCAGATCAGATCAGATGCCATCCAGCAGGACGTACAGGCAATCAGAAGAGAATGAGGGTTATGTGGGGACACACATCAGAAGCTAGGGTCGCGCACAGCGAATATGACACAAGCTGGCGAGCCATGGAAAAGCTCTGGCATGTAGCAGAAAGTTCTGGCACTAGATATCCTCAGGAATACCAAATTGCACACTCAGGATGTACGGCTCCGCTTTTAAACAATAGAATCAATGCAGGAACGCATTACTCAATGAGAAGTTCCAGCAGGGAAAATGCTTTTATCCCCCCCTCAATGCCACCATTTAAATGGACTACAAAACCGGGGAAGAGCTGGATAAATTAACTGGATAAATGAACTAATGCTTGAAATACATGAGTGTTCAATCCAGTTGTAGCCTTGAACTATGACAAACACTATCTTGTAACTCTGGGTGTTCCTCCCCGCCCCCTTTTACAAACCGTAAGAAAAATCAAGCTCTTCACTGTATTACACTTGATTACCCACACAGCACAAAAGCACCAACTGCGTCATTTTACCTCAGGTGCAACACACTTGAATTGAATTATATTTTTGATCTTGGAGCCAAATCTTGAGCACCACCCAAAAAAAAAGGAGAAAAACACAGCCTTTCAAACAGACGTAGCAAGAAAGAGAGAACGCAAAAATTCTTCAGCACTGCCTGATACCTTCCCTTTGTAATCTCTGGTATAGACATCTCATGCAGCTTGAATTGCCCACTTTGAACTCAAATTACTAATAGGCAGAGGAGCAGAATCATATATGGACTAATGCAGTACATTAAATTTCCTAGGTAAAAAAATTGAAAATCATGAACGAGGGAGCAATCTGAAGCTTTAGCTTCGTTTCCCACAGCAGCTGTTTCATATCTGAGGAAACAATCTTAACCTGGATGACCTTTTCCATTTTTGCAATCCCTAGTTCTTTACTGCCTCAAATAAAACCACTTGCTTCGTGATGCCCCACCCAGAGGTGCACCATCAGAAGTGCATGCCCACACCTGCCTGAAGAGAAACCCACTGTGCCTTTAGACACACATATCAGGTGGAAGAGAGTTAAAAGTTACTGCCAGCAAAATCAATTCAAGTAGGTAGTTGCGTCAGCATGCGTAGGCTGCAAAGGAACAAGTAAAGGTTTATTCCATGCTGAAAAGAGAAGAGGAAACAACGTTTTGGCTGCGGAGCCTTCTTTGGGTGTGAGCAATAATAAACAATAGAATCAATGGCACAACCGAAGAAGGCTCCACAGCCAAACGCAGTCGAAATGTTGTTTCTCTTTTCTTCTCTTTTCAGCATGCAATAAACAACATTAATATTCTATTGCTGAGAGCCATCTATTATATACCGACTCAAACACCACTTTCGCTTGTTCTAGGAACAGCTGCAGCTTTCTAAAGTGAATCCCATAAATTAACATACATTTTGAAATTTACAGTCACATTAAAAGAAGTGTATTTCTTGAGCACACACTAATTTGAGGCACAGACCTTTTCTTATCAAATACTGGCAGCAACAACACATTAGGAATATAATCACTAAAAACAACGAAAGTGAGGCATGGTCAATTCTGAACATAGAAAATTACACTCCATTAAATTAATAGAGACAATGACGCACAATAATAAAGAATGAAAGTCTAGTTTCCTGTAACTCAGTATGAGAAATGTGAAAGAAAGAAGGTTACTGCTGCCCCATAAAATGACCAGCTGCTACTCAAATAGCAGAACACTGGCCAGTGTACGTATTCCATTTCCAGACCAGGGAACACGATCTGGACACACACATTAGCGTGACTTTCATCATCAGAGGGAGAGAAAATGGCTCTTTAAACCCTGCCGTTTCTCCTCTATAGGAACAAATACGCACAGGAATAGGAGGCTATTCAAACCAGAAGTGCAATCGTGAATTAAAAGTGACCAGGCCGATAACTGCTGCCTTCTGCCTGTTGCTTCCCAGGATGGGCCCTGGCTTCCCTGCGACCCTGAATTGGAGGCAGCAGTTTGAAAATGAATGGATGATTAGACCTACAATAAAGCCTACAAAATTAAAAGGGCAAAAACACCGACCACTTCCTTCACTTAAGTAAACTGTTTGAGAAAATCACTCAACCAAGGGTATTTTTATTTAGTTATATGAGGCCACTTAAAAATACAATGCAAATATTCAGCAAACAACTGCACTACTGCTAAACAGAAGTGTAGTACCATAAAGATTGCATGTAGAAGTATGTATTTTCCTTTCATGTTACCTGTTGACACGTCTACTATATTCCCTGAAGAATTCATAAATGCACAAAAGCCTGGAATATAAAACCATAACTTCAAATGTGTACAATGAACAAGCACAAAGCATTTTCCCGACATTATGACACATTATTTTTACACATTGGTCTAAACACCTTTTGGTACAGTAACGACATGTCGCTAACTCTTGCTGGACAGAAACATCATAATTTAAAGGGATGGTGACTGAGTAAAAACCTGAATACCACTGGAACATAAGATAAGATCACTTTATTAGCCATATACAATTTCTTACATTAGGAATTCGTCTTTTTCCCCGCATAATCTGCAGGATTTGAACCGGCAACCTTCCAGCCACGGGCGCAAATCCTTAGCCACAGAGCCACCGCTCCGCCCATAGTTGCATCATACTTACCAAACTCTGTAACGTAGAATTCTCCTGTTATAAATAGTTTGGCCACTGTCCTTGATCTTTTGTATTACTACTGATTATGATGAATTAACACTATGCATTTGCAGTTCACATGCTTGCACAACCCATTGTTGAGGTAAAACATAGGTTATCTTACACCTGCCTTGGTTCTAACTCGTTATGTGGTTACCGAAAGTTGCCATGTCACAAAGCAGGAATCAAAGCAGATGTACAAGGACCTACATTGCACGACAGAAAACACTTAACTACCCAGATTCCTCACTTGTGTTCAAAAAGCAAGAAGTGGCTCTGGCTTTAAGGAATGAGGTAGCACTCACTGAACTCAAAAGGCCACATGCACTATGCTTCATTCACCATCAGAAAGCAGAAGGTAGCTGTATTTTTGGACCAGCGTGTTACTGATTAACCGTAGTGCACTGAAGTAAAACCATAATCGGGTCAAACAAAACAAATGTTTTCAAACTACTTTAACAAGGGTCTGAGCCTGAGGTCCAAAACATTACCTACTCATTCAACATTCTTCAAGACTCAGGTGTACAGGAAATGTCACCATGTCCACGTTTGCTCTTATTATAACCTGACATTAAACATTAAGTCTTAAACATTAAGTCAAAACTACACGCCAACTGTGAAAACTCCAGCTGAATCCAAACCACAAAACACAATGGCGTCAATTAGCTCACTTCCTGATACCAACTGCATTATAAACAGATGGAAAATTTAAGAGACAAGAAGCAACGGCTGCATGAAAAAGAAACTTCGGAAGCACCTTTCTCTTCACAGTACACCTCGGGCTCGATAAGAGATCGGCCCCTAAATGAAGGCACCAATATCAAGCTGGCTTTAAAATATCACAGTGAGAAGTTAACAAGATTACTGCAAGAAAGAATGAACGCCGGCAAGCGACGCTCAAATACCGTGAACGGCCGGAGCAAGTATAAACTAACCTCACGGGTGGCACTGTGAAAATTACACAGCACGTTCATACATTACGCCGGATTTCGACAGCAGTCACTCTCGGCACAGGGCTGTCAACCGCCCACCAAGACACAACGTGCTGCAGTCCCCACCCAAACACGACCATGAAAGAGACATCCACATGGCAACGGGCTAACCCGCAAACTACACGTACGGTTTCCTGTGTCGGGGCATCTGAAAGTACAGACACGTAGATACACCGCCAGAAAGGAACAAGGCGTTAAAAAGTACAGGAATGTGTTTAAAAGTAGACGGCGTATAGACGCGAGATGCTCTCGCACATATGCACAACACCTAACCGACAACCATTTTGCTGTGATTCTGTCTCTCGTAGAAACAATTATTCCGATTCCCATCACTGCCATGTCCGGCACAACTCCAGTCGGACGAAGAGAAGAATGATCCAGTAAAAAAATAAAACTTGAGCAATGACTGGCCTCGCTTTATGCCTCAATAAATGACTCGATGAACTCCTTTTGTAAAAAAAAAAGGTCCGGATCTGAAAGGCCACTAGGAACGGCATGCAGCGTTTTCAACCAAAATAAAGTACACCGCTTTACATAATTAGCATTTAAGCGAACATTTCTCAGCTACAGGATCCACGCTTTTATTTTAACAGTGCTCAAACCCCCGCTAAAGCACACAATGCCATGCTTATGGCGTTTCGTCTATTAACAGCAGAACAAATAAAGAGGAAACCAGGAGGCCCGACTATTTCTACTTGCCCAGGGATTTTTACTGTTTGAAGGGTCGGGGACGACAGCGCTGTGCTACACACAAGGGCAGTTCAACACGGCCGGGGCTCCACTTCGCTCAGGGATGAGACCCCACGGATGCTCCCCTCACCCCCGTTCAAGCCCAGGCTCGGACAGCGGCGGCCTCGCTAGAGCCCCCGAGAAACACAGAAATGTCCCCTTACAGACACAGTCCGCGATTCCGTTTTTAAGTTACGGTACCGTGAACGTTGCTGTGTGATTTCTGCCTTCCAGAGAGGCTAAAAAAGGAGTATTCAGCGCGGGGGGGAGGGTCGAGAGACCAGGCCTTGAACGATACATTCTCGTGAAAAAATGGGGCGAAACAGGAGTTCACAGGCAGACAACCAAGAGTCTTACTACTCTCGTTTTAAAGATGGATACTTAACGAAGCTCGGCTGGGGATTAACGCAGTACACCCGCCGTGTGCCGCATTTTAGCGACCATGATGTGTCCGCACGCCTGATCCCCCGCACACAGCCCCGCTGCTACTCACAATGGTGACGCTGGCTTTACGCAGGTCCCGGTTCTCCTCCTGCAGCGCCTTGCACTTGAGTTTGTACGTTTCCAGCTCGATCTTCAGCACTTTGTTCTCCTGCTGCAGGGACGCCAGCCGGTTCGTCAGCTCCTCCAGACGGAACGGGGAGATGACGATGCCCGGCTTGCTGGAAGACGAGGAAGAAGTAGAAGACGGCGGGGCGGCCGAGCTGCTGCCCGCTCCATCGGTGTCGCTCTCGCTTGCGCTGTCCGCCATGTTCGCCGAGCGAGTGAGAGGGGCAGCTGCGTTTCAAGCTGGGCGGAGTGCCGGGAGAAGCCTGGAACGGCGCGCAGGGCGACCCCTCCCGCTCGTAGGTGGAACTGCGACCCCGCGCAAGAGCGACGACACAGGCGAAGAGGTACGGCGAGAGAAACTGAGCTCCTTTTCTTCGATGTTTGATGTTCTACGATTGATATTCTAATGACGAAAATGATTATGAAGATACCAGGCACTCTTATGCCCACCCCCTCAGCAGCTAATGCACATTAAATATTGAAAATGAACAGGTCAGCGAACCTTTAGGGTACTGCACCGCCGGGGCCGCACCTGTTTGCAAAAATCTGCAACGAATTTGACATTGTTAAATAGAGCTACATTATTGCCTTGTTTACGAAAAAGAATAAAACGGCAAACATGAATTGTTGTTAGTTGTTTTTTTTTCGCCTCTCCTTTAACTAAGGAATTACAATTGATTATCTGCTCCACGGAGTGTCACGCCCTAAAGACTTGTATGAATGTTATAAAAACCACGTAATAGTGGTTTAGTGCCGACTGTAAATGTGGCCTGATTTCTGAATCATGAATCCGTAACTGTGCATGCACAAAGACAGGGAAAGGAGTAGCAGGTCTCCATATTGTATCTGCCTCTCATAGCTGATCAATTGCACAGAAATGTGAAAATACCCTTGACATAAACATAACAATGTAATAAGATATAAGTCATGAGATAAATGAAACAGGTAGTCTATCAAAAAATGTACTGTATGTATAAAATGTTAAAATAGTAATAGTTTTTTTTGGATTATGTTCCATCTTATTTCAGAGACAGAAGAGCAGAGATACCTACTCAGTACAGTGTTTTTTTCATACACTAATCTTTCACAATCATCGTAATCTTTCGGTTTTTTAAAAAAACTTTTTTTTCATAATGCGTTAACTTTTTTATTTTCTTATTATTCTCATCATCTCACCACATTTTTTATTTGATATTATTTGATTGTTGATGTAAAAATGCCTTTGCTGTGATCTGTTAGAATGACCTTATGATCTTGTCAGCAGCTACCAAATTGTACTGTTCGTTGTGTTTGTATGTTACACTCACATTCCCTGTTACTGTTACTTGTTCTCTGTGTCTGTTTTTACTCCCCAAAATGGTATGTTGTAACCTGATTTACAGAAGTAACCATTCTGACTACAGAAAAGAGGCAGTGATCATTTCATACTCCTCAGTACCGGTGGTGGCATTTCCGCTGTCCTTTTAACTCTTAAGTGACGTACAAAATAAAATAATTATGTATATATAACTGATTATCTCTTGGTTATTATTATTAATAATTCAAAGGACAGAGGGAATGATTCAAACGACAGCGTGAGAACCCGCTTTATTTTTAGGCAAGAACTGTCAATTTCTATTTCATACAGGGGAGTAAAGTTTTTAATGGCGTTTATCATTCGTCTTCTAAACCAGCCTTAAAACAAATGTATGCATTTCTCTTTATGTGCAGCTCAAAGTAGATTAAATGACTGGCGCAGTCGAGAATGGATTAAGCAGGAAAATATTGTTGCAATTATTTTGTTGTGAATCGATTTGTGGACGGGAGTTCGGATCCAAAGTACCGTGCATATGCATGTTGCGCTGTATTTCAACTTCAGTGATGCTACACAAGTGGGGATCAAATAACAATATTCTATCTTTTCGAATCATGTACTGTTGGCGACAGGGCGCTGTTCTCGACGCCTGATGCATCCTCTGTAAAATCTCACTTAGTATTCAGTAGATCACTTAGTATTCACTTAGTAGTATTTAGTTAAATTTAGCTTCCGACTAAATCACAGGTCCCTTGCTGTCTATTCACAACAACATATGTTACTTTTCAGCTGAAACAGCTCTTGGACATTTAGAACTATTACCGGTTTTGCCGTCTCACATGGAATTCGGTTCGATCAAGCACTAAAACAAATGAATACGGAGAACCCCGCATGTCAGTCATAAAACTGCGTAATATTCCCTTCGGCAATGATTTCATTCGAAAGGAAAGACCCGAGCCACACAGAGGCAATATGTGTTGCAATATGCATTTTTTCCCACAATCATTTTATCACTTACCATATTTGCAAGTCGTCTTCATCATTTTGTTTTTATAATCTATGTGTTCTGTGCCAACACACAAAATAGTTGAAAATAGTGTTGGTAGACCAGTAGGTGGTGCTTTTTCCTCTGGACCAGGAATTCCAAACCCATGCTTCAGCATGGTGAAAGGGGACACTGTACAATAGGAGATGCCATCCATCAGCTCTGACATTATAGCAAGGTGCTATCTCCTTGGTCATTAAAACTTTGGTCTTGCATTATCTAGGTAATTGCTGCATTTCAGTAGTGGATGAAGTGGGTCCTTTACTGTATGTAAATCACTTTGGGATGAAACGTACTGTATAAACACAAGGAATTATTACATATTTTAGAAATGTCCCCTGTAAGCCCAACATGCTCTGGAAAAACAAACATCTTTTATTCACTGATTAACTTTATTTGGTATTTTGTTTAAAAACTGTGATAGGATTTACATTTGACCAATAATGAATACAATGCGATTATGCTGTAATGTAGTGTGTATGACATACAAAAAGAGGAGTCAGGAAAATGAATGCTATGGATGAAATTCAACAGCTCAAAGTCAATAAATGTATAACAGCATTGCTATGCTACTTATACAATACATACAATGTTTAAGAAGATCTGTATTATGTGCCTTAAAAACAATCTTTTAGCATGGGTCCATATTCACGCAATGTAGAAATATATTTTTCTTGTGAAATCACACTTCCTTTCCTACAGGACTTTGTAATAGTATGTAGTTCCTAATTTTGCAGCTGAAAAATATTTGAAGTCCAAAAATCCCATTGTAAACGAAATATAAATCAACATACTGTGGGTTTCTCAAAGTTTTTAATAGAATACTGCACAGAAATTGCAGTCCTACACAGTTCAATGTTATAGAACTATGATTTTTTCCCCCAAAAAACATAATCAAAGTGTTTAAATGCAATGTTTCAAAACAATTATTACATTAATCCATTCTTTATGTGGTTTAATTCTAAATTTTTTTGTATCTGGTGAATTAACATTTATTTGGATACATTTGATTAAATCAGTTATGTCTCCAAGCTAAATAACCTCCATCCCCATGCTTCAAAGATATAAAAAGGCAAAATACAGTGACACTAACTGTTTCATGACATATTGTTGGTCTTTTGTTGACCTATGCAGTGATTTCAGTATAATGTATCCATGTTTTTATAAACATGTTGTTATATACAAATCACAAATTTTGTAAGAGGGCTATTTTTTCAAATTAAGAGAGCCTACTCTAATCTAATCTAATGTAATACAACAGTTCTCCAAAGTAATATGCTATTAAAAAATGCTAGATATGTTATATACAGATTCTCAACTCTAAAATGAACACACAGCTTCAGGGTTTAAACACAATTTATTTTATGCTTAAATAATCAACTAGATCATCCAGTGTTTGTTGTTTGTTTCATACATATGTTATTAGAGCTACTATCAATGAATGCTTTAGGTGATTTCATATGAATAGATTCAACAAAAGGAAATATTTCACCAAAACCCAAATAAAAACGCCCTTTTTTAAACCACAGCAGCCTTAGAAACCTATTAATACACTGCTAGAATGATTACAATTAATCGGCTTACAGAAAGACTTCTACATCTTATAGCCAATACACATGATACAGGTAAATTTTACAGCGTGCCAGTCTAGCATATACATTCGGATCATTTCTCTCTCATAGTGTTTCTAGCCTAAGCCTTCAGGAGCTGCCCTTTTAGTGTAGATTTGCAAGCAGTAACCCTTCTATAAGCAGGAAAAATGAAGTCCCTCCCTCCCCTGATTCACATGTTGATGTCTCCAGGATATTTTCTTTAAAAAAACTGGCAATAGTGACAAATGTAAGGGCTATGTGTGTACACAGATAAAAGTTGTTATATACTGTTTGCAAACTTAGAAAAATCGTAATTAAAATAAGGTGAATCGCATGCATCAAAATATTAGTACTCTGAAGAAATGTTTTCACAGAACTACAGATATTCCCATTTTGAGAATTATTTAAAGTCGCGGTAGATTTAAAGAAACTTTCTTCTGGTAAAATCAAGCTAGCATTTTTTTTTCATGTACAAACATTATACCTGCTGATAATTATACAAGAATTTGTGAAGTAACACTCAAACCTTCCTTTAAAATTGGAACCATTTCAACATCGCCATTCAATTCCAATGCACTTTAAAGTTCTTTTAAGTCAGTGCCTTCACAAGATGTAGGCTACTTATTTGAGAATTTATACAGTGTAATTTATATACAGCAAAATCACTGATAATCTTGTTAAAAAGAAATGAAACAGCATTTTACACCCTGACATTATGGGTCCAAGAAAAATATAAGGCGAGTGTAGAAGGTGATTCAAAAGTGTTCCTCTGTTTTCACCTGCCGGTCAGCTTTCGTGCCATCGTTAATCACAGTAATTGCTTGCTTTGCCATTGTTGTTTTTTTATTTTCAATGACTCGCCTCAACTTAAGAAGTCTTATTGACACCATGGCACATCTTGTTTTTAATTTAACACTCCAGGTCATTGAAATAAAGTGAGTTTTCATGCTCATGCTAAATCAAAAAGTCCTCTTGCGTAATACCATGCGTTAATGTGGAAGCTGCAGACACACTTTGAATTCTGCTGATTTTTGTAGATGGTCAGCTGTGATTTCCAGTCATCTCCTCACAGGACACTAAAAAAAGTTGCACACCTGAACAGACACAACAAAAACAGATTATTAAAATCAGAAAGCATTTTTCTTTATTGCCATAGCACAATCAATACATATTACAATCCCTGTATACAGCAGGCTGTGACCAACTTAACTGGCCAGGATTAGCTGGAAACTCCCATAAACAATTAAGTATTACATATAGATTACATATATTATATATACATATGAAGCACTCCTTATTCGTGCTGTTCCAGATTTATAGTACCTTTAATATTTGCTTTAATATTTCACTTCTAACACTAATTTTGCAATATGTGGTAAAATATTCTTTGCAATTAGTTATATTTCTCACTGCCACTGTTGTTCAAAACGTTTCTTGAGAGAGCAGAGCAAACTCACTTTGCTACACTACCCAGATTCATCATAAGAACTTAAGAAATGAGAAGAAGCACGTATAGCTTGTTAAATAGTTGGTAGCTAATTGATCCAAGGATCCAATGACACCCTTCTTGAAAGAAGCCATGGTACTGACTTCAACAACATGGCTGGGTAGCTTGTTCCATACTCCCACAACCCTTTGAGTAAAGGGTTCGTGGCTTTAAATCCGCCTTCTTTCTACTTTTCCGTTAATAAAATAACATCATAAACCATACTTATCATGTCCTTGTACCAGCAGCAGAATAATAACCTTCTCTTTAAGACCTGTTACACTCCTGCACACAAAGGGTGAGCAACATCATCCAAATTAGATGGTGTTTCGTTAATGTGTATCTGTTCAGTAGGCAGAATTCACCCCTGTGTCACCCCACAACCCTTTGCATGAATCATTTATTTTTCTAACGCTTCCCAAAAGGCTTTGATACCCCAGCCAATCAAACAGTGCATTCTGAGTAATCTAATTCCCCTACAATAGCTCTGACTAAGCAGGTCAGTAAAAGGATTAGCTGTACAATGAGAAAGAGTATCTAATCTTCTTCTGGTATGTTCTTCTTTAGCAGTGTCTGCATGTTATCTGTGGAAGCGTATTTCAGTTATACTCAAATACATCATGAAGCTGGGTTTAGTTATAATTCAGAGAACCACTAAAGAGAAGAGATGTTTGGCTAGATCGAAGCAAATATTTTAGATTCTATTTATATATATATATATTTTAATCTACTTTAATAGCCATGCTGAACCTTCACCTACCAGAAGAGCACCATGACTATTATGAGTGGATCTTTTTCTCTGTGTGTCTGACTTCTTTCTTTTTCATCTTGTGTCCTTCTCCGTGCTGTAATAGAGAGAACAAAATATTAGGGATTTTATTGAGTGGCCCCTCATGTGTGTTCACAGGACTGAAGAAGAGACACGACAGCCACCTGACGGATTCACACTTGTTGGGAAGAATTGGAAATGTATGCTGGAAAAAAAATGATATAAAGCCTCAAAACACAGTTAAACCACAGCAGACCATAGCCTGTTAGAAAACCACATTGAGAAATCATGTCATACCAACAAAACAAAGCATTCCATTATTTACCTGAAAAAAAATCTAATTTTGCAAACAGTATTTTTTAAACGTCACCCACTGCAGAAAATATATGCCATGTTATGTTTAGGATATATGTCGTTATAGTATGTTATGTTAGAATATTTTACACATTACAGTACAATTGCTATTAAAAATTAGCATGATTGATCACACAGGGTGCAAATTACAAATAAAACATCTAGCATTCTTAACTGAAATTCAGTTTTATAAATGTTATTGAGCATTTGTAATATAGAGTTTCAAAAGTGCCCATGGCAGCATATATTTTCTTGCATACTGTAAATTCAGAAATACCCACTAGCAGCCTAACCACAGCAAACTCAAGATGGCACAGACATTCCAATAGGAAAAACAACGGATCAAACAGAATCCAACAGTCTAGCAAGAGACACTGCAACCAGTTCCCAAACTCTGCCAACCTCCTTCACAGTTTGTCTTTCTGAATGCTTAAAGCACTCCTCCTCTAAGCTCAGCGGTTGTTTGGAGTTCTCATCCTTTTTCCCTTTTTCACGGTCTTTGTCCTCTGAAGCAACCACACGTCGGATAACTTTTCTGATAACCTGAGAGGGGGGAAACATTCACAAGAACATGTGCCACTGCTCTCACACAAAAAGGAAGTCAAATGGGAGTAGAGAATTTTAAGAGAACACTGATCAGACATTACTTTTCTTGTAATGATGTTACCATCCTCATCTGTGAACTGCTCCTCTGTGACTGATTCACCAGGAATGTTTTTCGCCTGCTCTCCCTAAAGAATGCATAACAAAACACGTGATGTATTCACCCATCATGCTCTAAATGTTTTAGACACTTTAAAACTGCAATCACACACACCATCAAATCCATTCCCTTTAGGATCACCACCTGTTGGTTGCGAGCTCTTGGTTTTATTTTGTCAAAAGAAAAGGCAGAAACAGATAACACTACATAAATGGCCTCCTGAGGCACAGGTTGAGCTCTCTGGTCATGGGTTTGAGCCTGGGGACAGGAATTCTCCAGGCTTGCTTGTATACAATTGGCTTAACACCACCATGGTTAGACTGAGATTTGTCAGGCAGGGCTGGTAAAAGCCTAATGGACAAGCGCTGGGAATTGTGGGTTTAAGCCCCAAGGGGGGTCACACATAATCACATGTTTTTAGAAGTATTCAATACCATCAAAGGCTTTGACAAAATCAACCCAGCAAATTTCTTCTGAATGAACTGTGAAACACGAACCAGAGTGCACAAATGGAAACTGCAGTATGTGGAACCTACAGTATGTGGAAGTGCATTTAAAACTAAGAACAGGATTGTGGGAGTATGGAACTAGCTACCTGGCCACGTAATTGAGGCTGATCGCCATATTAATTGCCATAGCTTCTTTCAAGAAACACCTAGGTGAGATCCTTGGATCAATTAACTACTAATTAACAAACATGCCGCCAGACAAAAATGGACTCCTCTCATTTGTAACTGTTCTTAAGATTTTATGGCTCTCAGCAACATCAGCAACACTTGTAGGCATGTGATGCTGTAGGAGAGGGATGGACTGCTTTTCCAGCAGGCTCTGAACCTCCAGTAAGGGGCTTTGTTTCCTGCAACATACTAAAGGACAAGTGCTTGAATTTGGGTAGATTGAAGAGTCTGCCTACACTTCTACATCCTCTGGATTGTAGCATAATGATGATTGCTGAAAATAATTCTAAATTAAAAATGCCCAAGATTTCCGATTTTCAGACAAATGGACAAATAAATATGAGGCATTTAAACATTTTCTACAAGTCCATTTCCCTTTCTGTTGATAATTTCCGATTGTATTCATGATTTAAAGTGAGCAAACTGCTAAAGCTTAGAATTTTCTGTCCATGTGACAATTAATGAAGATATGTTCTCCACCAGAAACATGGATCAACAATTGTCTGAATATGGCTGTTTGAAACATGTGACTCTGATTTTGTATTGAATTATATTGGTGTGATTTGCAGCAGAAAACTCTCAGTATCAGCTAAGAGGATGTGCAAAACTGAAGCAAGTAAACATACAGCCAAAATAGGCTTATAAGACTGAAAAAGTGAAATATCTGGCCCATTTTTTTGGTAAAAAAGAAAATTAAAAACTAGTTTTCGCACATCCTTAGAATATTTATGACAATGGAAAGCACCTGCTTCTGTTCTCTGTTTACACTGACATTTAAGATGACTGTACTTATATACTTTATTGTCTACCTGTTCTTTGTGTTCCTTGTTTTAGCAAATTGCTGCATTAGTTACAGAAGGGTGTTGTTTGTATGTTTACACCAATTGCCATAGTGTTGAGTAGCAACAGGGAGATCTGCCAAAAAATATTAGTCAGTAGAATACTGGCACCATGCTTGCTATGATCTGGAATTCTTGTGTTGAATTAAGTATTAAACTAAAATACACTAATCACATGGTTTCTGTACATAGCATCATCCATTAATGCTATGTACAGCATTAATACTTAGCAAAAGCTCTGTAGTATAGGTTACCACTGACTCAATAGTTAAAAAAAGTTAAATATAAAAATATGTTTTTGAGTTGTTACTGTACATGTAGTATACGTTTACAAAGTTTTGTTTTAACCCACAATGTTTTTGTTACCATGCTACATTGGAAGTTGGATTCAGGGCATGGCACACCATAAGATACCACTGCTGCTCCAGAGCAAGACAATTATTATATTAGTTATTCTGAGAGGCTTGTGTAGTATTGTTGTTAAATGGAAAGTACTCTTGCATGGCTATGTTTTTCTGACAAATCTGGAAGGGACTAGACTAGCATAGTGTTCAGAAACTGTATCCCATTCCTAAAATCCTAATTGAAATAAAGATTTGCCATGGAAACATAAAAGCTTTTTTTAAGACGATTCTTACTTTATATGGTGAGGAGGTGAGATGTCCTGAAACGTTTAGTTCATTAAAACACATTTCACTGTCTTTTTTTAATTCATGCTCTTCTTTGTGACAAAATATTCAGAAAAAGGTATGCCCCCCTCAAGCATTCCTGAGCTGCTCAGTAATAACAATGATAAAAGAATGGCTCAAAAAGCAAGAACAAACACCGCAAAGCTGAAGTTAACCGTATATCTCACAGGCAAGTTCTAAAAGATGCCTGAAGCAGAAACAGCCAAAACCACAGCAAAGAGAACTGCACATTGCTGAAACTGTCAGGACAAGACAGACAGTTCTGAGTTCACACAGAGGGGCATCAAACTAACACCAACCACCGGATACCTTTAAAATGACTCGCCGGCGAATTACTCGAGTGGTGACAGTCCGTTCTTCATCCGAGCTTGATTCACTATCTCTATGTTCCTGACAAATGGATTTCATTACTGTTATTCACACAATCTTTAACAGAAGAGAAATCATAACCAGGTGATGTACAGTCGATAGCATTGCATGTGCCAGTTGCTACAGCACATGTTGTGTAAGTTTACAAAGTTGGAACTCCTTGTTATGTAGGATTAAAATGGTGCTAGATGTGGCTGATATAAGTTCTTCTGGTTTTTTATGTGTTTAGTTTGCAAACCAAAAGAATTAGCAATTCTTGACTTGAAGCACACTAATTTCTTCACTATGGCTGTAAAGAAAACCTTGCCAATGTCAAGAAAATAGGAGGCTAATTCAACGCAGAATACAGCACACAAATAACAGAAGGAGGTATGGTTTGATAGCTTGAATATTCATATTTTGAGTGCTGGCCCTATTAAGATCCATATAATTCCACAAGCAGCCACACCACAGAATATTTATTGAAAATGCAGAAATACTGTTAAACCCACATAAAATATAACACACAGAAAATTTTCATTTTTGAAAACAAGCAAGCAGATAATATGCAATGCATGAATTAGTCAGATGAGGTGGATGAACAGTGATATGAAGATTAATATAAGAACTGACAAAGGCTTGAACTTTCATTCCTTACAGTAGTTTAGGAAATTAAAAGAATAAAACCTGGGAAGTTAACAAGTTGTCTTCTGCTTGTCAAGAGGACTTTTAGCTCAGTAGGAGAACTAACTCTCAATTCACACGTTAAACACAGAGCAAGCAAAAAAAAAAGTTAATTTGCTTTGTTTATTAAAAACTATTTTTCTGCAATGCTTCTGGATTCCCTGTGTAAAATAGACCTTTGTAAAATTAAAAATAAATTCAGTCACTATCAGGCATAAGAGATGTTCAGACTGTTCAGATGCAGAGACCAATTAATTGTGGGACTAAGGTTACACACTTGTATTTATCAGATTACTGTAAAAAATGTAAAAGATTAATTAGTGTCACAAATACCCAGGTCACAGGCTGTAAATAAACAATGCAGGAAATGTATTGTCATCATATTTAATGCTAAATTTATGTTATTTGTATTTTTTGCATTTGGTTTTACGTTAACATGTAGAACACATTACTATAAAATGCAGAAACACATTCCCTGTTCCTAGTTAAGTGGATCTAAAACATGTTGGAGCTGTGGTTTTACAAACACAGAAGAAGCATTACCTGCACTTTGTGCTCAGATGTGTAGGAGTCTTCTTCTTGAAAGCTTGGTCCAGCTCTGCCATCTTCTGGGGAGTCAGGGCTCATCCTCTTACTACTGATTGACCCAGCGATGCCAACCCCCTCCATGCTGGGCTTGTTGTCCGGGGGCAGGGAGGGGTCAGGCCCGGTGTGCTCTTCAGTGCGCAGAGGACCCTTCTGGGCCTTCTGCCGGCCTGGCTCTTTGAGGGCCTGGCCTTTCGCCCCGCTGGCAGGCTCCTGTGCCAGGGGCACTGTCCCTGTTGGAGATGGGAACTCCACATGCTCGCCATTCTGTTTGGGCTTCCCTGGTTGTTCCTTTGAGGATGAGGTAATGGAGTCGCTGGACTGCTCTTGGCTGTAGGACAACATTGAAAGCCACTTAAAAAAACAGTATCCCAGTGCTTGAAAGATAATCACTAATGCAAAGTACATGACATGTATGACTGTATGGTAGCCTGAACTTCGTGTACTTAATTAAAATGGACTTTCATCATATACATGCAAAGTAATGATATTACCAATCAAATCAATTGATAAACTATTTGTTACTGACAAATATGGAATGTTTGGTAATGCTTCAGGGTCAGGACCAAATTCCAATACTGTAGTCATTTCAGCTGAAAATTAACCACGTCATGGCAGAAGCTCACCTAAGATAAGGCAAAGTTGTTTGTTTTCAGTAAAATGTATTAAACTCAATAAACCTTTTATTCCCATGTGTATTAAGAGAAGGTTTTCATTGTATATAAAATGCTCAGACTCATCTAATTTCCAATGGATAATCACCGCTGATCAGTAGTGCTGTTCATAAGAATGTAAAGTGATTATGCATTAGCAGAATGACCCACACTTTAAATAAGCAGTTTCTTCTACTTAAATGATATTCTTCTACTTAAAAAAAATAATTTAATTTACCAAGAATTGAAACAAAGAGAATCAGATAGAAGATAAATATTTATACCTGTTTTCCTGTCGATTTAGCAAGTCAGAGCTTAAACTACGACCTGGTGTAGGCGGCTCCACGTTAACACTTGAAGTCTCACTGTGCCAACCTGGAATTGGAGACATGTCTGTTTCTGCCTGTTGTACTTGTTTCAGATTAGCCTGCACACTCTCCTCTGGCATCTCCTTGCCCTCCGACCAAATATCTTCCAGCTGTTCTTGCATCATTTCCTCTTCCTCCTCAGAACCAGACTGACTGCCCTCCTCCTCTGCAGTGACCCCGTGATATGGAACTGAAGCACGCGCCCCTGGCTGCCAGCTTCCTTCTGGGCGATCATCCTCTTGCTGCAATCTTTCCAAAAACACACCTTGCTCTTTCACAACGCCTTTGTCTTCCTGTGCAGGTGGTGTGACTGACTCGGGGCTAGTGTCTGTTTCCTCTTCCTGTTCACAAGCCTGAGTCTCGTCTCTGCTTTCGCCGGGCACTGTCCATCTCTCCAGTCTGTGGTCATCCAAGGAGGTGTCCTCTGCTGTGACTTTTGGTGGCTTGGTGGCAGCTGAAGAGCTTTGCAGTTGCTGAGACAATGACAGATTGCTGGGTCTACAGGGGTTTCTAAAGGGAGAGTCTACACTAGGCACATCGCTAAAAAAATCATCATTCCGGAGTGGGGTGGGTGGTTCATAGCGCAACTCAGTGGGAGTCTGCAGTTCCATTTGGATGTTGTTGTAACCTGGGTAAAATAACACAATTGGACTGATATGGTGCAACACATTACAGGAACCACACATGAGATGCATGAATCAAATCATAAGCGGACAATGTCAGATGGAGTTATCATGTATATATGAAGTGTCAGGTGATGCTCAAATTTGGGATTTAAAAAGTAAACACTATGAAAAGCATCACAATAATAAGATATACAGCATTTCTCTGGGAATTTGCAGTCTGAGGAAATGTGTATTTTGTGGCTCATGGACTCATGCAGATGGCTGGCCCTTTTAAGAACACACGTGCTATTTTTAATCTTGTTTAAATATTAGTAGTCTTTAAAGGGTACGGCTATTGGATGCATAATGCATCAGCACTATTGAAATTATTATTTGTATGCATTGTAGGAGTTTATATTTAACTGTATAGGAAAAGCAGAGCCGAGCAGATAACTAACCGAGCACATTAATAATAATGTGCTTGAAAGAATCATAATGTGAACGTTTTTGATTTTTCAGCATGTTGACCACAAAGGCAATGGGAGCTGAAGGACAGGAAAGATGAGGAAAAGAAAGGACTAGATGTAGGCTTCAGGAACAGAAGGCTGGAACAAAGGCAGCAACCGAGGGTAAGAGGAAGGAGATCTGGGGGACGAGGGGGTGCTAGGAGAACAAGGAACTGTCAGGCAAACTGAAGAGACGAAACAAAGGAAGAAGGAGAGAGAAACAAAAACACAGGCGACATGAGCAAAGATGAGTCTGGATGCGTATGAAAAGGCAGTCTTGGCGATTCGACCGGAAGACTTGGACGTCATGATGGAGAGAGCTGAGCAGGCTGAGCAGGCTGAGCCACTGCGAGCCGGGGGGCACAGAGGGGCAAGGACAGCCTGCTGTTGTGGCCGAGCTCTGTCTTTGGGCTGCAAAGAGGGAGTGTCGGAAAGGATTGCCAGTGCCAGAGGAAGATGGAGGTGGTCTGGTTTTGCAGAGGAAGCACAGTATTTGGAAGGGTCAGAGAAACAGGAGAGGCAGGACCAAGCAGATCTAAGCCTAAAAAACAGGAAGACTTTGCCCCTTTACCAAAGCTGTACTAGAGCAAGAAAGCAATAAAATGTATTTTATCCTACAGAAAAAAAAACAGAGGGAAAATCTACCTGTAGAAAGCAGTGTGCAGCAGCATGCGAACAAAGCATTTTGGTTTTCATAATTATGTTTTCATGTACGGCACTTTTTGCTATTTTGAGAGCTTTATCAAATGACTAAGTAGGGTTTAGTTATTCTCTTAAATCCAATTTCATACAGGGCCTAAAGATTCAGACCACTTGTCTAAACCCAAGAGGTCCAATGTTTATCATCCCAAGTATACATATAAACATAACTATTGTGGAACCAAACACTGTTGAAAAAGCATCATGCTTTGAAGTATCATGTACAGTATAATAATAACGTTTTCTTGCATTTATAGAGCGCTTTACAGTACATTCTGAAAGGATCCCAAAGTGCTTTACATGTAGGAGGGGCCACCTTCATCCACCACTGAAGTACACCCCCACCATAAGCTGCCCCACTACACAGCCAAGAAGTGAGAAAACGCTTTTCCAATTAAGTTAAGGAGGTACGTTAGAGAGCCAGATAGTGCAAATGTGAAGTGGAATTAACCCAAGACCCAAGGTTTACTCACTTTGCCTTGAGAACAGTACCTCAAGACAAAAGGGATCTTTAATGGCCAACTAGTCAGGACCTTAGTTTAACTTCTCACAAGAACAGCGGCACCTAGTACCACCTAGGCACAGTGTCCCTGGTTTCCATGCTGGAGTATAGGTTTGCCAAATTGGGATCAGAGGAAAGAGCACCTCCAACTGGAGCACCAGCTACAGTTGTAGCAGCAAACCTGGTTGTCCATGGAGGTCCCCTGTCCTGGTACTGACCAGGCCCAGCCTTGCTTTGCTTCTGAGATCTGATGAAAGCAGGCTACCAGGTGGTCATACTGCTGTATGTTATCATGTTTTTTTTTCATTTGTAAAAATGGAGAAAATAAAGAGGAAACAGCATAATCTCTAAAAAAACATCAATACATTGTTGACAAGTGTAGGCTGTGTTTCTGTGGACATTTTGAGACTGGCTGGTTCAATTTGGCAACACAATTGATGCTAACATTTTCTTTTTTCGGAATTGTTCTAAAACAGGTAGCTGAAGAGGTAAAGGACAGATAGAGTTCAGCTAGATGGAGCTAAACTTTACCATCAGCCTGATCCAGGAAAACAGCGCTATCATCTGCAAAACTTCTTGTGCCTGAAATGTTACCATAATCAAATATTGGCCCTTCCAGCAAGGTCACAATATCCATCCGATTGATCTTTGTCAGCACTGCAGTTAAGGCATCAGCTAAAACATAGAAAGAGGAAATAATGGTTAATAGTGTTAACACTGAATGTTTTAAAAAATAATTGTTTTTCTCAGGTAAAATATTCCATGGATGGCACAGTGATGCAGTAGTTGGCATTGCTGCCTCGGCAGCATTGGGGGTGTGGGTTTAGGTCCAGATCTGGGGTGCTATCTACATGGAATTTTGTTTATTCTCCCCCATGTCTGTGTGCATTTCCCCTAGGTGCTCCAGTTTCTTCCCACTGTCCAAAGCCGTCCCCTGCTGTGAGTGTCTGCGTGTCTGTGTGTGCTCTGCAATGGACTGGTTTCCCACCCAGAGTGCATCCTGCCTTGTGCCCATTGCATGCTGGGATAGGCTCTAGCTTCCCTATAACCCTGTATTGAATAGAGCTCTTAGAAACTAGATGGATAGAACATATATGGCACCTGTGATCTATGGGACATCTGGTCCTGTCTGTAGACACCTGTAGAATATTTAAGCTATAATGAACCATTTGGTTACCTCACAATGTTGATTCACTCATATTATGTTAATGCCTTACTGACACTTTCATTTGAGTCTGAAATGAATGGCTTCCATCTGTCTACTGTGGAACCTTTCATTTCTTCCTATGGGACTGAAGTCCTCCACCACTTGTAAAACATTATTGAAGGGTACATTGTGGTGATTTAAAGGGCACAAGTAAGTCTCTGATGTAACTGGACATGTGTTCAGCACAATATCATACAAGTACTGCATACTAAGAGAAAACTGTAGTTTATTTAACTATTCAGTATGATTATGTTAAATTATTTGGAAACAAGGCCTAAAGCATTCACAAAACTATTGCCAGAGAATAGACAGAGAACTCTGAAAAATTACCATGTTCACCTTAGCAGAACATATATTTTGTTACAAGGTAATACAAACACTATTCCACTTAAAAACCACAGAGATAAAATACAAATTAAAGATATGAAATCATTAAATACAGAGCAAGCATCACTCTAACAGATACGTAGTCTCTGTCAATCATTTAAATTTGGACTTCATATTGCTTTAATGGGCAGTGAGACAGGCAGCTAACATCCCCTGAGCCGAGCACAACAGATCCGGACTTATTGAACTGCAGAGGTTACATCTCTTTTCTCCTCTGACGAGCAGTAAATGGTTTTAGCCACCCCAGCAAAATCTGATGGATAACTGGTTAAGATATAAAGCTTAAACATTTTATAATTATTTTCCAAGAATACAATAAGGTAAGAGCTCCAAGGCTTTTGGATTTCTTTCAAAATATAATTAAGCGTGTCATAAATAGGCCACAAAACCCAGGTACTGAAGGAGCTTCTGTGTGTAAACAGGAGGAAGAATGTTTTTGCCCACTGTTCTTTTGAAACACATCAGACTAATGCAGTAAAACCTCTTAGCTGTACAATATTGATTACTGAGAGGACAGGAAAGGGAAGCACTTACTTGTAGCATTTTTACCATCTCTGCTAACCCATTTCTTTAATAACATGAAACTCTGTGTTGTCAATGAGTTAGGGTTCTCCACTCGAATCTGGTTTATTTCATCCACTGAGAAATTCATTTCTCTGGCCAGCTCTGCAACACATTAAAAATAGATTAGAAATCCCTCACTGCTATGGGTGTGCAGTGCTGCAGTGCAGGCTAGTTTACAGACTGCAGATGGCACTCCCCTGTCACTGGCATGTTCTTGTTCTTTCCAGCACCAGCTATTCTAATTGCACCAATACAGCATGTACAGTATATATACAATCCCTTGTTCATGTTTCAGGTTTAAGACTGACATTAGGATTTCAAAAGAATGAAAAGCAGCATATAACGAAAGAGTAGCAAAAGCCACTTCCCTAGAAAAATACATTCTAAAAAAATCAAAATATTAAGAAAAACCCATGCAAACTCCAAAACAGTTGCATACTAAATTAAAATATACACGCACATTGCTCAATCTGTTTAGTAGGGTTTTTTTTGCCAAGAACTGCAGGAATGCAATCTAAAAACTATCCTTTAGATGGCGATGTTCCTCGTGGTTTTCATCCAACTCACCAGTCCAGCTCAGACCCAGGTGATCGGCTACAATCGCCATTCTCAAGTCAGTTCTGTCACATGGACTCTGCGGGCCTGTGATGGAGAATCAGAAGATTAGGATTCCATTTTGTGACTTAGTAGTGGATGAATAAAAAGAGACTGTAACCTTTTCTGGCCAAAGACACGGATTTATAAAAAACAGATCAAAACAAAAGACTTGTTTTGGCTACACCTAGGTAAATAATTTGCCATTGTTGTCACTTAGGCTCAAGAGAAGAATGTCTAATATGTTTATGCCATTTATCCAGATAGCATAGTATAGAGACTAAAATGTCAGAATGCTTAACATACACCGTATAAGCACAGCACATTTTAGTCTTTTGCCAGGCAATGGCAAGAAAAGGTAATACAGGCACTTTAATCCAGACTGCTATTTGTTAAGTACTCACTGGTGCTTGGGTTAGATTTGTGATTATGTATCCTATGAATCTATACAGGCAAACCCTTTTAGAAAAAAAAACAAACAAACAGCAAAACAAAATGAAAAAAACAATAGAGTTGTCTAAGGTTTTTAAATCTGTGGAGCCTTATGTAAAACTAGGTGGTTTCACAGTGTAAATGGAACTAGACATGCTGACGACCTGTGTGCTCTGCTAGTGCTGTGTGGTTTGTGGTACAACTTAATGCAAGTCGTAGCTGCACTCTCTCTAAGCCGCACAGAGACAGACTCAGTAGCGCTCCACAGGAGACTAATCAGCTGTTCAGTGGACCAGTCACTCTAGCATGCTGAAGTAACTGACAACTTTGTAGAATCTGATAGGACAGTACACACAGATGACAATGACAGAATGACAGCTACAGTTAAGTCACGCCACAAGCAATCACAACGGGTCATGCACTAAGATCAACAAGTGTAAAATTTTACAAACTAGGCTTGATCTCCACGATGTGAGCCACGTGAGGCCCAGAAACCTGACTGCCTTCATTTCCATCAGTCCGCCTACTTCTCCTTCTCTCACTGTTGGCCTTTTCAACCTTTGATTTTAAAGGCGCTGCCTCAGTTTTCAAGTCTCTAGCAGACCTCGATGTAATGGATGGCTGGCATACTTGAGCGGCTTCTGACAATGAGGCGTTTCTTGACGTGCTGTCTTCATCGTCAGACAATTCTGACTGCATCTTTTTCTCTTCATCAGAGAGGCGGTCCACAAGCTTTAAAGTCTCACCACTAATATTCTTAAAATATTCAATGGAGCGTTTACAGACCTCGCTCAGATGATCTCTGCCTGTTTTACTGGCTGGGGGGCTGCTATTGCTTGTTCTGTCCTTAACTGGTAATCTGGAAGGTATCTGCTTGACCCTCTCTTTCTCAACCTTGCCTGACCGGGTCACTATCTGCACGGTAATAGGAGGACTAACATTACTTTTACTAATACCTTTTATTGGAATTCTAGATCTGGGCTCCAAAGTAGCACTAGGGTCTGCTCTTTTCCGTGCCTCCATTTTAGAAACATGTTTCAGCTTCTGCTTTCCTGCTTTCTGGGCTGTACTTTGCATATGTGGTGTTGGCTTTGAGGCCTTAATTGGCAGCCTTGACTTTGGTTGTTTTGTTTCACTTTCCAAGGATTTAGAAGACTCTCTAGTTTGCTCACCCTGCATGCTATTTTCATTTAGCTTATCTAATTCCCTATGGAATAGCGCATCTGTCTTGCTGTCATTCTGAACTGATGACTCAGGGGCTGACTGTAAATTAAACACTATACTGTTGCACTGGATGTAGGCTGTTTGGATGTTTGAGGAATCCAGATTATTGTTGTTATTGAAGTTATCTTTTGGATAACCTATTCTTTCTGGTGACCTGCTTATATCTGTGTTCCTGCGAGGCTTGGCTCCTGTATGAGCTACTTTGTCTCTGTTTTCTAAAATCTGGCTATCTAAGGTCTCAGCTTTACAATCGGTCACTTCCACAGCTCCAGATTCTTTTTTGACAGTAATGGAAGCAGCAATTCCCATTTTGATAGGGGTGCGTAGTTTACAATCAACTTTGGAGGCAGTTATGCTGCATGGGGAAGTGTCTGCTACATCATCACCAGATGATGCATCCACACAGTGAGCGTTTGCCTGGGTAAGGTCACACTCAGCTGCTTTTGTATCTGCGGGGGCCTCTACTTTTATTTCTATTGTTTTCTCTACTGGCGTTAGCTCTGATGTAACTACACCTGACTTTTTAACCCCTTCCCCTTTTTCCCCTGACTTCCCTTCAGAAGTATGCTCACCAATCTGAAAAAACTGAAGTCTTTCTTCAACAAAATCCCGCTTGCTCATGTCAATTGCACCACTGCGAGTCATCTCAAACATCTTCCCTTCATGAAACGGGAAGGGATTAGGCTCACTAGTTGGTGTGCTTTCGTCAGTTGGGGTTCTGGCAGGGGTTGTATCAGGTGTAGTCGCTTGAGACCTGTCCTCTACAGCTAAGCCAAAAGGCTTAGGCTCTTCATCTTTTATTCTAGTGTCAAAGACTTCATCATCACCTCCTTTGCTAGACCATGGATCAAAGTCCAAGCCTTTTGTTGCAACAGTTTTAAATGGAGTTGCAAACTCCTCCTCTAATTTGTAGCTAAAGTACGTATCAGCAAATCCCTGTCTATCAGGGTGTCTTCCTTCCAAGGTGTAGTTTTGTCCATTCCCATCTTTCTTTTCATCCATTTTTTTGTCAGGAGATTCACTTTCTGGTTTCGCCTTTTTCCCTTCATCATTTGTTATTTTTCCCTCTTCCTCAATGACTTCAAGCTTAGTTTGGCTAAAAGAGCGATCGCATGGCTTCAGCATACCCTCAGCCGCCCATATATCTTTTTTACTGTCAGCCAATAGACTATACGGCTTTGGGTCTTGCTCACTCAAGCCATCGTCCTCATCTTGTAGGTCATATCCATCCAGAGAATCAATTTCAGTAGCATCGGTGTCGTGTGAAAACTCTGCAGTCGTTGCAATGGAACAGTCAGTAATGGATTGGTCATTCCCATTTTGTTCAAATTCAAAATCATCTCCCTTTCCAGCACCATTAGTCCCAGACTCCTTGTGGTTTCCATTCCTTTCCTGCTTTCTAGCTTTTGACTTCTGCTCCTCTTGGTCCTCTGGAATTTTGAAGGTGTACTTCTTGAAGGGAATGGGCTGGAAAACGGATTCGTCGTCACTCGAATCGCTGTCTTCAGCTCCGGGTGGCAGAGGAGACGGGGGCTGAACTCTAATAACTGGTTCAGCAAGCAGATGCTTATCATGTTCCTCTTGGAGATTGACTTCCATCATTTCCACCTCCGTTTCTGAGGAAGGTCGAGACTCTGTCTTCTCAGCCTCTGCTTGTTCTGAATCCAGTGGAGGAGGTGGGGGAAATTCAATGTAAGCAACTCTTTTATCTTTTGTTCTTTTTCCAGATTCCTTGTTTTCATTTGTGGACACGGAATTAGAAGGCTTGTTACTTTCTGGCAGGGATTCCTTGAAGGCTTTGCCTTGTTCCTCCTCCTCTGATTCTTCAGACACCTCAGGTATGGGACTGGGTTTGCCTGGTATAAAAGCAAAGAGAGAATCTGGAGTTCTGGAGGTGAGGTCATAGCTCACTTCCTCGGAACTGGGAGTCTCAGGTGTCAGGGGGCTTTTGCCAGAGCTGTCCATAAAGGATACCTGTTCCAATGTGTCATCTTCAGGACTACCTTGGGGAGATGGAGGTTGTTTCTGTTTAACTGTATAAAAAGCACCCCTTGTTTCCTGCACAGTTCGGCTTTCCTGACTAACAATTTTTTTGTAACTTCCCTGACCACCTGTAGTCTCTTTTTCATACTGTTTGCCTACTTGAACAATGCTAACATAAACAGGTAAAGTTTTTATGTCTTTGAAATTTTCTGCTTTTACAAAAGGTGCTACTTTCTCCATATACTCTACTGGGCTAGGATCACCAAAATCATTTGATAAAGCATCTTGTATTGGACTACATTCTAAAGAATCAGGAGATCTGCTGGTGGAAGACTCCATCTCATCCCTATATGAATGCGTTTCAGGACTAGCTTGGAATCTGTTTTTAGCTAATGCAGGTATTTGTGAGCCGCTTCTTTCTGTGGGTTTAATTAATGTCTCTGGCTTTGATGTTTTTGACTGGTCACTGTCTGAGACACTTGATGGCATTCTGACTGGGATCTGTGATGGACTTGGCTCCATCTTTTTTTTTAAAGTCCTGTTCCTTGTATCATTATCAACGTTATTACTATCTTCACGAACAACAAGTTCCGTGTAAATAATTTTCTTTGAAGGGAAACTCATTGCCACCTCCTTAGCAGGGGTTCCATTTTTGGAAGGCTGTTGTCCTTTTTCTTGGTATGAAACCACTTTCTGTTTGTCATTTTCTCCATGAACACTATCACCGCTGTCTCTCAACGAGTCATGAACAAGTGTGTGTGTTAATTTTTCCCTCTGTGCTGTGTGGTTAGCATTTCCATTGTTTTCCCAAGTGCGGTAGATTTTTTTTTCCTTGTCTCCGTTGGCACATGGTTCAGGTTCTTTGCCGTTCATTCCTGTCAATTGCTTTGATTCTGATGCGGCTTTGCGTGGTACTCTGTCACATGACTGCTTTTGAGCAGCTGAAGAAATCTGGGACCTAATAGTATCTGGGCCTGGTGCAGGGGCAGCTTTGCCTCTCTCACTATCTACATCTCTCCTAGGAGTTTCCCCTTCATCTGTGTTATCTGCCAATTTTGGAGTCTTTGCCCCAGCAAAAACCTGATACACAGGAAGCTTGCTTTCCTGCAGTTTTTTCACAGGGGGCTTGGTCTGCCCCCACTGTGGACCCTTTTCTTGCTTTTGCGCCTGCTGAAACTGCTCTGATTCAAACTTTAGTCTTACAGAACTCACTTTTGATGGTTTTAGCTGAAGGGTTTGGGAACCCTCACCTGCCTTACTTTGTGGAGCACTGTCTCCCTGTTTCCCTTTGTCATCTGTACGTTGTGAAAGCATTCGTCTTTCAGGGCTGTTTGGTAAGCTAGCACATTTCCTTTCATTAGAGCTGCCAAATAATTTGCCCACAGACTGCTCTCTGAGCCTGGCCTTACCCCACTCCTCACTACTTGCTCCATCCTTAAACTGCACCTTTTCAGGACTACTGCTGGTAGAGCTGGGTCCCGATCGTGTTTCCCTTGGTTCCCTCCTGTGTGGCTTCTTCTCCGGAGACTGAAGCTCATCGTTCAATTTCTCTGTTTTGTCACGGAAAAACTGAGATACCTCATTTAATTTCTCTTCTGCTTCTTTTACAGTCCGGTCTACTCTGTCTTCGTATATGAGTTTTTCTCTATTCCTGTCAAGTCTGTCTTCAGTGAAACGCATCCACACAGCATGCTTTGGGCTACTAGGATCTGCAGTATAGTGCAACACTGTTAGCTTGTCATAGTGCTCATCGCTGCCAGCAATTTTACCTGCTCCGTTCCCTGATGCGTCCTTTGAAGACTTCAACAGAAATTCTTTCTTGGGGGCGGAGGACATTGGTTCTCTGTAATATCGCTCTGCACCTTGTGTCTCTGAGCCTAGTACATGAGGGTGCTCAGTCACAGAGTCCTCTGTGTCAGAATGAGATATGTCTAACTTTTCAGAAAGCAGCATTTTTTCTGCAAACCTGTAGGACTCTCCCCTTAGCTCTGACAGCTCGTCGTCATGGTATTCAACAGAGTGTTGGCTTAACAGTTTTAACGTTTTATATGAATCGTCAGAGATTAACTGTGCCGAACTAGGACGACTATCTTCTTCCTGGGAGACAGGAGTATTTACTCTGGAAGATTCCAAATAGGAAGGAAGTGATTCTTCTGCAGTAAGCTCCTCCTCTTCCTGTGGCACTTCATCATCTGCATCTAGTCTGTCTGGCAATTCCTTTACACTGTGATCCCCCTGAACATGCTCTTTCTGATAAACGTACATTTCTTTCTCAGGGTGCTTTTTTGTCTCGCGGATGATAACTTCAGTTGGTTCAGCCTTATTACCTTTCTCAATATGAACCTCAATTATTCTTTCTACTTTGGGTTTTGGTTTTATGTCTTTTTCAACTGGTCTTGGCATTGTTTCACTGCCTTTGATAGAATCAGTGGTGGTTTTGTGCTCAAATAAACCAGCCAGTTCTTTGGAAGGATCCCTACCAGATTGGAATGCTTTCATTATGTCACGAACAGACATTGTTTCCTCAATTCTTTCAGATGTGGTCTCTTTGCAGGGGGGTTTATGGTAAACCATACGGGTTGTGGTTGTGATATGGGTCTCTTCTTTGACACACATGCCTTTGCTTACAACAGCCTTGTGATTCTCTTCCTCTGAGTTAACTTTCATTTGAAAAGCCTTAACCTTGTCTTTGATAGATCCATTTGTTTTTTGATCAGATTCCAGACATATGGGCGTTATAGATGGCCCTGCTTCTTCTAATTTGGGTTCCTGAGTTTCGTCTGAAGAGGGCTCATAGCTTCTTATAACATGGACGACCTCGGTTCGTGTTTCTGTGATAACAGGGGGGATGGGCACATCATGAAATAATGGTTTTGGTCCAGTGCTCTCTGCACTTTGAGGGGCTGATGGCGTCTTTTCGCTTCTTGTTTCAAAGCCACTGTCTGACAGAGGACTCTTATCTTGGTCATGTTGCGAAAAATCATCTGGAGATTCTAATATAGCATCAGTGCCAAATACTGCATCTGCAAGTTTGCATAATTCTTTCTCGGAAGCAGAAGAGCGCATGTTCGAGGGTGGCATTTTAAGCTTGTGCTCTTGCAGCGCCATTGCAGGTTTGAGAATACGTTTCTGTTTTTCTTCCCCCTCTTTTTTCACTTCATCATATCTATACTTTATGTCTGACATTTTAGAAAGAGCGCTAGCACCAATGTCATTTGTCAAGTAATCAACCACCCTTGCTAAATTAAAATCCTTATCGGAAACAGGTTTTGTTCTAGCTTGGACAGTCTCTGTGTCATAGTTCAGAAGACGTTTCATTGAATTTTCCTGGGCTTCCTCTATTTCATCTTTTGAAAACTCAACCCAGTCATCTTCAGGTGAATTATCTCTAGAAGATTCTCTATTTTCGCTAAATGTATCCTTCTTTAGGATTTCACCCACTTTAACCAGATCCTCCTTGACCTTCTCAACTATTCTAAAAGGTTCCTCATCTTCAATTTTGGGTTCTTTTGGAGGGTCCGACTGGAAGCTTTTACCAGCTGTGCTGTTATCTGTCTGCAGAATGGCCGTCATCCTTATTAAGTCCTCTTTCATTTCTGCAACATCTTTCAAAATCTCCTGACTTGAGGATAAAGAGGATGCAGTAGCTGTTTTAAGGGCTGCTGGGGAAATGAACAAGGAAGATTTGATTGGTGACAAAGTCCTGGAAAAGGAAGACTGTGTCTGTGTGTGTGCTTCTGTGGATGTGCTCTTCATGGGCGACAGGAGTGCAGCTGCTGATTTTGTGGTCTCAGGAGGTTTTTTTAATTGGGGTTCTGGCAAGACATTTACAACTGAATACACCGGTACAGTTATTGTGGCTGATGTTACAGATGTTGTTGCAGAGGATGGGGATCTCAAAGAGGCATACATAGGACTTGTGGCAGGAGGTCTCATTGACTGATAAGCCATAACTGTCGGAGAGGACATGGTTTTCAGTGGTGCGTAGACTGAAGCACAGGAACTGAAGGCTTTTTCCACCTCCTCAATAGCTGCATTGACACAGGTTGTTGCTGCATGTGTTGTTGTGTGTAACTTTTCTTGCAGAGTTCCTCCAGAGATTAGCATGGTTGATGAAGAAGAAGGATATTTAATTGGTGAAACTGAGCCATTAAGCAGGGCTGTTTCTGTGGAGGTAACTGCAGACTTAACTGGTGAAGACAAAGAGGAAACCAACTTTCCTTTTGATGCCCCAGCACCATCTGCTGTTGATTTTACAGAGGAAAGGGCAGGTATGGCCTTTATTGGGGAAGATGTAACAGGTGCAGAAGAGGGTATAACGGACTTAAATGGCAAACTTGAACTGTACATGTTAACAGTAGACTTTGGAGATGCAGGGGGGGTCATGGTAATTGAAGACCTTTCCAGTAAAGACCCTGCTGTCGTGACAGGGGAAGTCCTTGAAGACAGTGATGATGCAAGTCCTTTCACAGTGGTAGGGTCAGGAGCCACTGCAGTTTTACCTGGTGAAGACAGTAAGGTAGTGGAGACCTGAAGTGGATATTGGGTTTGCTGAACTACAGTCTTTATTGGCGAGGAAATACTTCTGAATGACCTGATCGGAGAAGCTACATCACTAACAGACTTCACTGATGACGTTGTGGAAGCTCCCAAAGTTGACTTGATTGGAGACGCAGAAGAAATAGACCACACTGACTTTAATGGCGAGGCAGATGGAGTATTGGATGAAGAACTGGATAAGGAACCAAATCCAGATTTTCCTTGTCCAGGGACGGTAATAGGAGCAGCCGACCACGCCTGGTAAGATCTTGTTGAAAAGACAGGTTTGTAAGCGAAACCAGCGGGTAGAGTTCTTGCTGTACTTCGTTCAACTGTTTCTTAAATAATTAAAAAATTAAAATCCAACATAAAAGTAACAAAAATGATTGAAAAACAGAGAGACCAGAGAAAAAAAAATTTGGTCAGTGAGTCTTGTATTATCAAAGAAGGAAGAACAATACATTCATGAGATTTTGAAATGGGAAAATGAGTAGTGAAATAAAATGGAGTGCAAAGAGATGGCCCTTATGGTCCTTATGATCCAACGCAAAATATGGAAGAAAAAAAACCACAACAAAGAGCACTCAGCTACACAATGCGCAAGACAATGACAAACAGAAAAGAAAATGACAAGACAAACAGAGAACCCAGAACAACAAAAACTCTACTCTATTGACTTTTGATGTGCTACATTCTCAGGTCTCTCACTATTTTGTTTTTCTAAAGTGATTTTTATCGGTTTGGTCTAAATGTCTGCTTTAATGTTTTTAATTTTGTTGTTCTGACCAAAAAAAAAAAAAAAGAAATAAAAACTATCAAGCCCCCTTGTACCTGTTTTAAAGCAAAATATATTATGGCAAAACACAGGTTCAAAGACTAGGTTTTAAATCCATAATAACTATGCATGTCATGCAAGACTGAGTACCCTTTTGTGACAGGCATTTGATGTGCAAACTGTGAAGCACCTGGAAGAAAGTCAGTTCGCAATCTTCCATGCATTTTTATTACAAAAATAAAAAATGCTGCACAATCACAAAGCCAATAAGAGCAAGGAGCTTTCTAAAATAAGAAAAACAAAAATTAAAAAGGAATTTTACTTTGAATTTAGACTTAATTTGATATGAATTTGTTGAATCAAAGTAAAATAAGATATGGATTGTACAGTGTAACCTTCTTATTCACAAATGGGATAACAAAAACACTTTTACAGGGAAAACAATATTCAACAAAGTGGGCAAGCACGGCAACTTAAAATTCACAATAAGTCATGCAAAATATATCATGACAGAAACAGGCATATGGACTTACGGGTTATGTATGGTAGAATTATGCAGAGAACATACATATATATATATACATTTATATATATGATATCTTAAACATTAACTTTAGTTTATTTCAGGCAATTATTTAAAAAAATTAGTAAAGGTTAGTGAAAATATCACACTCACTCATTGCAGGCTCAGCCAGATAGCTGTAGCGCTTACGTAGGGCAAGAGATGCAAAGGTATGACGACGCTCTGGTTTTTCAGTCTGCAAAAAAAATCAAAATAAAATACCTATAAAGGTTCTGTGTCAGTAGTTATGTACATTCTTATATATCAAACTGGAATCACCAATATTTATTTTTTCTACACCCATTCAATTTCAAATTGTCAATTGTATTTTTCACATCTCAGCTCGGGGCTACGAATACTGTGAGCACACACAGGGGAGAGGAAGAGGAAGTGTAGGCGGACTGCTCCGGCCCGCCCACTTTGCTTTCAACACGTCACAGGCAACTCAGTCCTGCATTGGACGCTCAACACCGACTGGAGGAGAGATCTGCCAATCAATGACAGCACCGCTTGCTGGGCAAGTGCCCGGGAAGCCAGAGGTGTCACTATGTTGCAGGGAGCCGAGAGAGACCTGAACAGCTAATCCCGTCCGACTCTTGGTACTAAGGAATCCCGGTCTCTGTCGGATAGTAATATAACCCAGGCTTGAACCGACAGTCATAGAGCTCAACCTGTGTTTGGATGAATTGCTTCACTGGTCGAGTCACTCCGTAGACCTGTCGTTCCATATCTATTACATATAATATGGATTTCCATATTCAAAATTATTGCCTCGGTTTACCTTTGTTAATAGATGCTAAGATACATGTAATAAATTGAGCCCTGTGCTCAATACCTTTGTTTTTATTCTATACTTTCTATAAGTTTAAGACCAAAGTAATATTACCACTATTGGCCGTGAAGGAGAAACCATCATGGTGTCTTATCTAGAAGTGGCTTCATTAGTGGAAGATTTGTTATTGTAGTAATAATCTGCTCTGGGTCTTTCTGGCCTTGTTCACACTTATTAGTGAGGCCCAGGACAATCTTTAAGTCACCTTACATTTTGATCAGTGTTTTTTGCGATCTCTCATTCACCCTTGGAAATGAAGGAGGCACAGTGCATCATACTTGAGACTGAAAAGCCAGTATAAAATTCAGCAAAGTGCTTTTTGGGAATGTAATCATGTGACATAACCATGATGATATTGGATGATAAAATGATGTAAAAGAAAATGGTGAGAGCACTTGTACAGATGTGCATAGATCACAGATATTTTGTTAATTTGCAATATTGTGGGTACAACAGAGCCTGGCATAGTATTTACTCCAGCAAAATGATGTGCCATTTTGTTTCTCAACTAACTTCACAGAGCTTTAGCAAGTCTGTAAGGAAGAATGGGTAAAACTTTCACCAGCCTAGTGTGCAATGTTGGTTTTGGCTTATCCATGAAGACTCGTAGCTGTGACTGCTGCCAAAGGTGCTTCTACTAGTCTCAGGAGGGTGAATACTTATGCAATTTATATATTTTAGTTTTTCGCAGATTTCAAGTTTCAAAATATTCATTTAAAAAAATGTGTGAACATCATTTATAATTTAAAATACTGTATATTATTGGTAGGTGGTTTATACTTTTCCAAGGCAATGTGGTACTACTACAATTCAAACCCTCGAAGTTATCTGTGGTTTATTCACCACTTTCATTAACAACTGTTTCTCAGTATTGATATTTCCTAATTTCCCTTTAAGACTTCAAATGAACACAGGCCACCAAATGTCTTCAAAGCCAAACAAGATTGAATGCTTTTTTTAAGTGCTTTTTAACATTTTAGGGTTCAGACTCATTACCAACAACCATCTTATGACAATTTTATTGTCAAACATATTCACATCTGTGAATAAATTAATTTAAGTATGTGAATAAATTAATTAATTATTTATTAAGCACTGAGCAGTGCTTAATAAAATATATCTTAACTGATCTAGATTATGTTATAGCAGTCTACTGTCTAACAATGTATAGGAGCATCAAATGATTTTTATAAGCATTATTGTATGCTAAACAATATATATTTCCTAGATCTTCATTGAAACATATTCATTTGATAAATATACACATTTACCAATCAAGCTTCCCTTCATATTGGCATCCAACTGCCAGACACATGAAACAAGATACATTTTACTTTCCACTTGCACCATTTACTGGACCAATTCCATAAAAAATACATTAATATATATGGTGATGTATCCATACTGTTGAAAACCAAAGCCACAGATTATAAGGGAAACATGAGGAAACTGCACAGGCTTTGCTCATTTTCTATATATAATTTTATTCCAGCTTGTTGATGACTGAGAACAACCACGCCAATTCATTATGGAACACACATACCAGTGACTATACTGGAAAATCTTTACATGGGTTATTACAACAGCAAAGCTTTTATTTTAGTTTTAATGGAAGCACTTTGCAACCACAGTAAGTGAAAGTTAGTTATAACTGTAATTCTTTTTGATAGAGTGTAGTCTACAACACAATATCATGAAGCATTTCTGTCACACTAGTTCAAAATTACACCACACATTATTATACTTAAAAGCTAACCACTGATAATATTAACTATGACTATAATTATAGCTATTAGTGTTGACAATATTAAATGGCTGTTTCACATGGTGAACTTCACAGCTCCTGTTTATTTTCCATTTGTTTCCATTTTTGCTTGTTGGTGACTTTGGGAGTGTTTTGTTATCTAAGTATTCTTGCTTGTGGTTTGATAGGAAAGGCAGCTCACAATTTAGGTCACATATAGTACATTAGTGCAACTCTGGCTCTGCAATTGCTAACCCTGCGCAGCAATCACAAAGGAGGCCCCGATTTAAGTCAGCTCGGGGCCACCTTAAAACATGAGAGTGAATGGACTAGAGCTGTCCTTGAATAGCCTGCCATTAATGATGCAATGAACAGGGGCAATGAGTAACTTCATTAACTGGTTTTACCTTTGGGGATATTTGTGTCTACACCATGGGCAGTACTGATGCTCAGTGAATGCATCTTTTTCTAAAAGAATTACATTTTCAAAGAGATAAACTGCACTTCATGCCTTCAATGGAGTGTATATATTACCTCTTCATCTTGATCGGACTCCAATTCCTTTTGGTTCCCAAGATGCATTGCAGAAACAGGGAATAATACGATGGACAGTAGGGAAAAGAAATATCAGGACATGAAAAGGGAGACTGAAAGCACACAATGTAAGCTTATACCTCAAAGCCAGCAAAAAAGGAAAACATTTATTGCAAAGTAACACATAAATTAAAATCAATCTATACAGCACATAAAGCCTATGAACCATCAGCCAAGCATGAGTAATAAATAAAAAAGTCCCAGTCAGAAAGAAAAGGTTTAAGACACAGCCAGAACAAAGGACCAAAGAGGCTCATAACAGATAAAAGTCACAATCAGAGGATCTGCTACTCAGGGTGTCAGTTTATTGTTTTCTATGCGACACAATACAATGTACCTTTTTGTGAGCAGGCAGTGTAATATTTAAGTTGCAGACTGCAGTCTGTGGAAGTCCTTTAGTAGTTTTGGGCTCTTTGAGGAATGACAATCGCCCACATGGCTCTTGACTATTGTCTCTAACCTGTGAAAGCAGAAAAGCGTTAAAACAAGACACATTCTCTAGAAAAGCAAATGCATGACTATGTGGAACTAATGTTTGCTTTCTGCTATACAACTACATTCAAACTAACATTGTAAGATTTTATCAGTTATGAATCTGACAGAAAAAAACATATATAACTACATTATACAGTATATTACATAAGCACTTTGGTTCAGTTTAAGAACATTTATCAGTTATTACTGAGAGCCCTTTTAAAGGATTATTCCTGCTAAACGTATCTCACCCTCACTGACAGAGATCTGTGCTTTTTTCTCTCATGAACTGTGTTTCAGGATTTCCAATTAAGCTGCCTGATCCAATTCAGTATGAAAGGGATCAGGATTATTAGCAGTAAAAGTGTTTGGATAAAAGGAGATTGAAAGGAGGTGTTAATCAGAGCATATGGCATATTTTAGGAAGTCAATCAATTTGGTAAGCTAATAGGTAATAAGTTGTTAAACTAGTTGAATGCATCATTCTGCTTCTTGCACAGTATCAGCCACAGACATCACCGCCAGAATTTAGGAATGTTATACATTACCTTCACACAGAAGGGAAGTCTGTTTTCTTTGAATGCATAAAAATTAAAAATCAGCTGTTGCCCCGCTTTTGTCAGAGAAACCAAGTTACCATAGCAATCCACATAGATGGGCTTCCCTTCCAAAACCTGCAAAAAAAGCAGGCCTTGATTATTCATTAATGTAAAAAAAGAAAAGAAAAATGTTGTGTTCTGTCTGTTCAACCTAGAAAAGAAAGATAAGTGATCTTCGAGGTTCATTGTTCCATAAATCACACCGGCCTCTGGGTAAGATAACTAGGGCTGTCAATAGTCTGGCTGAGACAGGATAAAAATCTAACGATGACTGTTCAAATCATAACATTTACAAACTACTTTCTAAAAAGCTGTTCCTGCAGTGAAGATATGCTAGATATGTTAAAAATACTACTGTATTTTATACATGGTTTATTAATTTATGTAATTTCAGTGAATTCACCCTAAAAACAATATTTAGGAACAAGAGTGCAGAATAAGTCTCAATATTTCATATATTTCAAATTCTAAACATCTTCCTTTGAAGCATGGCAATTCCAGCATAAAATGCAAAACCTAAAGAATAATTTCTTTCGAAGATCCAAACAAACCTCTATATCCTTGCTCCTGGCAACTTCTTCAAAATTCTCCTGCTGCTCCAGAGTCTTGTCTACTTTGTCATCTGTCATACAAAAGCATCGCAGTCGGGCCTCCACTGGGTCATTCATTTTGGCAAAGACCACAAATTTCGCCATGTATGGAACACAGATAAGCTCCCTGTAGAGCTGGGAAGCTAAGCCAACAGTTTCTGGGATCTGATGGCAGTCTGCAAGCCAAAACCTAAAAGAAAAAGGGGGGAAAATACGTGTAAGTGCAATTAAAACCAAGAATTAAAAGCATTTCTTTACACCAAAGGCTACTGGAGTCTGAAACATGCTGTTCATCCATGCTGTTGACGCAGATACCCTGGCTTCTTTCAGTGCTAGATGAGATCCTTGGACCAATTAGCTACTAACTACCAAATGAGCTCTATGGGCCAAATGGCCTCCTCTTGTTTGTAACCTTTATGTTCTTCTGTTCCAGTTGCATTTCACAGAATGATTCAGAGCTCTGTATATGAAATACAGCATGATGTAGCCAAGCAACCAAATGATTGAAATACTAAATAATTTCAGAGGTGCCTGGCATGTGCAGAGGCTTTAAGAGCCAAAGCATATGACAAAAGATAATCTAATTTAAAACAGGAGATTTCCAAATTCGAAACGCCAAACCGAGCACATGATTTCAACTGAGTCACATCTAACCTTTTTAGAGCACACCAACATTTTTTACATATGAAATAAGTTGAGTTTTTAAGGACTTGTCTTGTAGACATGTTTGAAAGCTTTTGGGAGAATATTTCTCTAAAGAAGCCTTACCTGGCAGATACATTTGTTGTAAATGAAACGCAGTCACTCACAAACGTCAGTGGGGTAGTTCCTGTAATGTCCTCCCATTGTGCGGGTGATGTGCCTCCTGTACACAACAAAATAGCTTGACGATACAGCAAAAAAACTCAAATTCTCTGCTTGAAGAAAACTTTGAACCTTCCCTAATACTTCCCTAATTACTAGGTCATAGGACAACATTAAAATAAATACATTTTGCCAGTTAAGGTAAAAATGTTTTGTTTTGAGTCATCCTAGCCCTGCTTTTTTGTAATAAACATTACTTAGTATGCTGACCTAGGCACACATTAAGGCAAAACTTCCACAAGCCAATCCTAAATTCCAGGATTGTCACTAGAGAGCACCTTCCTGTGTGCCAGAAACTTCTTACGTTACTTGGAAAGCTGCCAACATAAACACCAAGTTTGGAAACTACTTGGCTGGGTTATGTTTTAAATTTAATATGGGCCCTATTATGGACATAATACCAGAAATGACCAAGAATTTCTTGTGATCTATCAGACTGACTATCTGTCCTGCTTTGTGTGCCTAATGGAATTTCTGACATCAAACACTATAAATATACATTGTTATTTTTCTTTCTTTTTTTTGCTAAACCTGCCTGTTATGCTGCACAACAGTCGCAGACTTGGGGTAGTGTCTCCTTTGTATCCATTGGTAACGCCTTCTCCAGATGGCGGCGGTACAGGAATCGTCATGGTGATGGGTTTATGAAATTTTCTCCTCCTGGGTTCGACGGTCACAATAGGACTGAACGTGGCCTTATTGCCAAGAATCTTTTTCACAATTTCATCTGGAACTGGCTGAGCCTGTAAAATGATATGGTTGTTAGTTCTGGGAGCTGGCACAATATTCTTACTTCAGAATTCCCAAATTCAGAGTTTATGTTTTACTTTTACTTCATTAATTAATTCTAATTTATGTTCTCACTTAGTCAATGGAATAAAATCCAAAACAAATAAAATTTCAAACCTTCAATTTGGTTGATAAAATTAATTAAAAACTGTTTTTGTTTACTATCCCCTCAATACAATAGTCCTAGCTTTGTTGCATCTACGAGAAACTTGATTTTTGGGGAAAAAAAGGATTTCACCTATGCCTATCCATTTTCAAGAATCTCCTGGTATAGTTACCCCACATTGTTCAGTGACATATACTAAACAGCAAGGGGAGGTAAAAACAGTGGTTGTCCAGACCACTTTTAGGCATCAAACAGATCCTAAAGCACTCAATCGGTTAATGCTAAATTATACCGTAATTTCAGGAATTTCAAGTTACAGCTGAATGTAAAGTGCAGGTACCTCCTCTGAAATGGAAGTAAAGCTGGAACACTTTCCAGAAATGACCCTTTTCTGCGTATGCAAAATCATTTTGGATGAAACACAAGGGAATGTGCAGCCTGATGCTTATTCGTTTGGTCTGGTCAATCACCATCCTGACACTGAGGGCCCCAGTGTGCTCCCTACCTGCAGGCCCACTCTGATCCTCTTGGTCAGCGCTCCCTCCGGGAAGGAGGCCTGGACAAGCGGCACTGTCATGCTTGACAGGACACCCCCTTCTGGACCCATCTGATTGCTCTCTTGCTTAATCCGGGACACCACAGCAAAGTACTGGGGAAAATCCTTAGTAATAATCCGGCAAATACGTTTCTTCTCCAGGTCTTCGGCACTGTCCAGTTCTGTAGAAGCAAACAGTTTTTACCCAAAACGTGTGCTGACCGCAGATGCCAATGTCAGACGGCACATTCCAGAAGTTAAACATTGAGGAAAGCATGAAAAATTGCAAACAAATTTATAATCAAATTATTCTGGAATTAATTTGCTAACAGCATGGCATGTTTTAAATAGTTCTACATTTGGCCGAGTTTATTAAATCTCCATTTTGGTTCAGGGGCTGAATTAGAAGGAGATGAAACAGGGGTCTCAGCTATTTATGAAATTCAGAGCACTAATAAGGTGCTTCCGCAACACGGATACACCCTGTCTCTTAAGAGTAAATAAGTCACTTTGCCATCTGGTTTTGTAATTCATCCTGACACTTATTGCTATTTACAACTCCCGCATAAAAATATCTCAGTCCCAAAGTACTTTGATATTGGACACCTACCTTCATCCATTCCATTTAGAATTTCATTAAGGTCTTCCGATTTGCAGTCGTACTGGTGTTCCTTCCACGTTTCTCCGTTTTCGCTCCTCAGAATTATAAGTTCTCTCTCTTTCCCTCTCATTGATCCAAAATGGGGAATTTCCACTATCACAGGGCTGGAAAAAATACACGCATTTAACAATGGCACTCCAAAGCATGACCAAGTAGCGGCATGTTTCTCTTCCCTCTCCGGTTTTGGAGTGGGATACGTCATCGATTACTCCTCGATGCTGGCATGTATTATTCCCAAAGAGGAAGAAAAGATGAACAATGGTGCAAAACTCAACACTCTGATCGACTTGCAGTCTATAAGTTGCACTCATTATCTCACAGCGGGTAGCAGTTCACAAAACGCTCCATTAAAAAAATAAAAAAGTGAATGCAATTTCACTTGACACCAGATCAAAGCATCAGAAAAGCTGCATAATCCTTTTTAATATTGAGGAACAAAAGAGCAATAATTTGGACTAGTAGCAAGGGTTTTTATACCAAATCGTATCTGTGAAGAAAAAGCTGAAGAAGAAAAGTAAGTGAGTTTACATGATTGAATTAAGGTGTTGCTATGTTTACCCAAGGATAATGCAGCACATCTCAAATGCCACATTACCACTTCCCATATCTGACAAACAAGCATCTTTAGAAATAAAATCAACCTTTTGCAGAGTAGAATTAATTTTACTTAACTATCACCCAGCTAAACTTTCCATTTCTTTGTCTTTTTTTCATTTTTATGTCACAATGCGGTGTTATTTGTTAAACCAGGGTGCTTGATAGACAAAAGGTTTGCTGTTAAAACTGGTCACTCTCTGACACTGGGTGGTGAGCCGTGAGCAAGGTGTGGGTCTGATGGCATCTTTAATTTTTCAAACTGAAATGTCTATATGTGGTCTTTTTGTTGATCCTCCAACCTTCGAGCAAACCCTTGCGCTTAATGTCTGAAAATTACAGTACAGTTACATAAAAGCCTGATATATTGAGGCAGACTTGAAAAGCAGATTACTAGAAAGACAGCTGAAAACCAATTAGTGTGGACTCTGCAGCTTCTTAACAAATATGCTAAGACAGTATTCTTGTTTAACTATGCAGACTGCAACTTTATTACAGGTAAATGACATTTGCTGTCACGAGTCCAAATCACATGACATTAAAATCCTTAAAGTAATGACAACAAAGCCAGTAAAAAAATGTTTAACTTGTAGAGTCAGGTGGGATTGCAAATCATTTAATTTATTTTAACTTTTTGCTGAGCATTTTCAAGACTCCTGTTAGATGATAAATATAACACTATATTTGATATATATTATTTATATTCTGATTCTGATATATTCTAATTTACATTCTTATTTGATTAATATATTGTATATTACTTTTTTACATTTGTACGATTCTGAAAATTTGTAATATTAAGATTCATTCATTTATAATTTGAATTTTATTGGGTCTCATAACCCTGCTTTGCTTTACGACACAATCTGTGTAGTTAACAAGAATTATACTGTCTAAACCAACATTTAAGTACAAAAAATGATTTTACAATTTAGTGCATGACATTGAATGTAAAAACAAACTGATACAGAGAAGGTACCAAAGATAAAAATGACAGCTACGTAACACATAGAGGGTTGTTATCCTAATTTTGTAAGTACTGCAAATGAATATCAGATTTAATGGATGCTTAAAGAAGTAAATGATTTCTGAATGTTGCAGGTTGTTAAAAGAAAAAACACTAAATATTTTTACCCTGAAAAGCTACATATTTTAAACATTAAGTTGTAGTATTTTGTCTGTACTATAGTACATTAAGTACATTTAAATAACTTGCTATTTGCCCACACCTTCTCCTCCTACACCCCTTTAAAATTTACCTGTGAAGAGGTTCAGAGTTTTAAAGTCACCAGATACCTTCTCCATAACTCAGAGAAATTAAAAGCCTTCCATTGAGGACTTAAATGTATTTGATGCAGCTGTGGGAGATCAGGTTTACAAAAGTATAAAAAGTAAAGCAGTCATGACAGCAGTATGCTTGCAGTGCATCATGCCTATCAAAGCGCAGAAGGGTTAGCACAGCTCTGAAAAGTCAAGCCACCATGATCTTTCAGTGACAGAAAAATCAACTGAAAGCTTTAGAGAAACAGAAAAAAATAAATAAACATGGGAGTGACCAAAAAAAAAAAACCAATTACAAAAAAGAAAAGTAGTAATAATTTGCCCGGACAGTTTGCGTCTTTTCTAAACATTCTCCTACCCAATAAATTTTGTTCCTCGGGGCCCGAGCTGCAGGATTCGGCTAACCATGCTCTCTCCCTCATTAAGAGGGGGGGGGCTGGAGGGAAGGTGCAGTTTACTGAATAACATCCATGCAGCAACAAGAGAAACAAAGAGGGGGATAAAGAACAAACTGTCATTCCCGCAGGGTTCTGTAACTCCCATCTAGGCACTGCTTCAGGAATAAAAATTGCTAACTTCTCAGTGGTTTGGCTGCCTGGCTTCCTTCAGTCCACTTTTCTAGCTGTTTTATTTTTTTGTAGTCCTCTTTTCCTGACAGATGGAATAACTGGTTCGGCAATGAAGGGTAATGTGGGAGGGGGGTGTCGATGTGGAGCATATAAAACACCTCCTGACCTCCTGCCCTGGCAACCGGACACTGGTGTGGTTCGTGCAGAGCCCTACGGCCTAGCATTAGGTGTTCCTGCGTGGCAGAACAGTGGTCTTCTCTCTCCTCTCTCCTTCTTTTTAAAAAAAACATTCTTTGACTCTTGAAGCCGCAGGAGGTAAAAAAGATGGCGGGCCATGACATGGGTCAGAAAGCCAGAAAAATAAAAGAAAATAAAAACGAATAAATCAGCCCAACCCGACTCACCCCAGAAACTGGGCTCCCGCGGGGCCGACTTCCACCAGCCGGCTGGCGGGTCCCTCTCCCTCGACCATGGGCGGGGGACTGGCGAGCTTGTGCCTCTTCACCAGGCGGCAGGTGATGCGCGTGGGCGCGGTGCACTTCCGCGGCGGGATAATGATCCGCATGCCGTTGTGGCGGCTGCCTCGCATGGATCCGCCGCGAGCGTCAACCATGAAACTGACCAGAAACCTGGAGGGGCAAACAAGCGGTGTAGGGAAACGTCCAGTTATTTCACTAAACCACAGAGCCAGTGTCCCGTGTCGGGATTCTACAGCCGAAACGTACGTTCAGCCTCTTTATTTCCAAAGGAAAAAAAAGAGAAGAGAGAAAGAAAGAGTGAGAAATGGTGCTTTTGAGTTTTCAGCCCTGGCAGTGAACCCACCTCTCACTCCATCATTTTAAAACGGTAAGTCTGTTGCAAATTTACCTCTGTCTGCTATGTTCGAAAGGCTTGAAATCACAGAAACAGGAGAAATTTAATGGGGAGCGATGTGGTTTAACACAATTGGAAATAATTTCTTAGGAACGCTGCCAAGGTTAAGCACTCAAGATATATACTGTAGCTCTGAAGAGTGAATTAAAATTAACTGGTCAGTAATGGATTTTACTCTATATAAATATTAGACTTCATCCAGATTTTTCTGACTGAAACTCTTCCTTGTATATATTTAGATCCTGGGACATACGTAAATTACATAAGTACATCATAAAACTGTTTATAACATAATAACAGTTATCATGTTATCATGATTAAATTATCATGTGGTTAAACACATTATGCTTTATAATAACAGTAATTCTAAATAAGGGCCTTGCAAGTAGCAAGACATTTATAAATAGAAGTTTAGGATGCAACAGATGCAAGTTTAGATGGCGTTTTGAATTTCTCACCTGTAATTGATTTGGGTGTAGAAACACCAAATATTGATGTTTTACATTTTCTTCTTACAAAAAATTGGGCACATCTCTTATACTCCTTCAATGATTTAAACTTACATCTTACCTTTTTTATTTTTTTGTTAATATTGATTAAATATGACTAATTCATAAATGTCAAGGTTTAAAACTATTTCTTCCTAATAATTAACCATATAGAGTGCTTTTTAACTAGGGCTGAGAAAACTACCGTACTTCATAGGTAAAAAAAAATCACAGAAATAACTCTGACCAAATATTCAGTCAAAATTGACTTATTAACTTACAGTACAAAGCAGTCACTTTCATCATTGCATTTTGCATATCTGAGGGGTTAATACATGGATATTGTACAAAGGTGCAGGAGATTTCAAGCAGGTGTGTTAACCTAAATAGGACATGCTGTTGTTTCCTTATATCTTATATTAAACTTTTAAGCCCTTTAGGATACACCTTCTTAACAAAGCGCATCCTTCTCAGGGGATTTGCAAGTACTGCTACAATGGGCATTTACTCTACGTGAAAGACCAAACAGATGAAACAAACACTCAGACAGGAAAAAGAAACAGCTTGGTAACAGGACAGAATTATCACCTTGAGTCATACTGGGGAAGTGGAGAGGAAAAGCTGCAAAATAAAATGAAACAATGTAGAAAGGCAAAGTAAAGAAAGACATTATTGTCATTATTCTGATTAATATTGTTATGATTATTGTCATTTGAACAACTCTCATGAAGCAAATAAGAAGAAAGCAAAAGAAACTGCACTGAGCAGGAGGAAATGAACGATTTCACAGGGTGAGGCACAAAAGAAAAGAAGGACTGCAGTAAAAGCAAACAAAACCCATCAGGTGCCTGATAATTAATGTTTATCACACATAATTAGTTGCTATTACGTTTTACACACAAAGATATGCTTATTGATACAAAACGTGAAAATATCCCTTGCTGTCTCTCCAAACTTGTGCAGTTATCACTTCAGTGCCTGACTTTGTCCTATGGCTTATGATGGCCAGCCCAGTCATATCATCCTTCTACTTCTCTGAATCTGATTGAACATACCACATGGCAAACTTAGAGTCCTGGTGTAAAACTTTAACACTCCATCAGCTACTTTATATACAGTACTGCATTGCACTGAGCAGTAACCTAACAAGCTTAAACAGACCAATGCTGTAAACACACAAGTTTTCCTCCTGCACAGCAGTTTGGCACTTACCCAGAATGAATAGGACTGGAAACAAGGTTCACATTGTCAAGGGTATCTGCAGCCCAGCTGTACCGTCTCAGAGAGTCTGAGTCATATTCCCTTGTCACAGTCAGGTGCTATAAAACACGAAAACTTTCACTTAGTCTTTTTTTCCCAAGATTAATTTCAAAACAAAGGGTTTTATGTTATCCCTGAACGTACCTGCATTTATAATCAACAAATGCTTGTCTAAGCTACAGTATATGAAGGTACAGGTGTGTTATTGTGTTATTGCAGCAAATGCCAGATGTTTAGTAGCAACAGAATTTCAAACAGAACCTATTCATTAACACTGCAAAATGATTCTTTGATAATAATTCTTTTAAAATGCTACAGAATGAATTATACCGAAATAACACCTGATCGTCACATCACTTACATCACACCCTTTGTCATCGACTCCAGTAAAAGGAATTCAAAAAAGGGGACCTTGTTCAGTGAATTTCATCAGTCTGAATTGTATCCCATGATCAGCTCAGCTGGACTGCGTTCAAAGTAGTTACTGAAATTAATTATTCACATTTTGTATGCATTCAGACTTGTAGGGAATGAGAATGCACATAAATGAGTTGATGACAAATACACTGTATGTCAGCGATCTTTCACTGACGGCCTCTTCAGAAGGAGGCTGCAGTGGTTCAGAATGAGGCACTTCTTCCCCATCTTCCTCATCATTACCCAGAATTCTCTAGCAATTTTCACCATACAGGTATGTTGTACAGGGTATAGCTTTCCACAGAACTCCTGCCCACCATCTGTGGGGTGTATTGAAGGATTGTATTGGGAGGCATCCAACTCAACTTAATAGGCAAAACCAGCTGGTTAATGGTTTGACTTGAAAGATTTAAAATTTTATCCTAGCTCTTCGGCAGCTTGAAAGAAGCTTTGAAAACCTGCAGACACATTGATCCATCCACACCTGGGAGATCATGTCCCTCCAGTGAACCAGAGGAAGAATATCGAAGAATGAAACCAGGAGACCCCACGATGTCAAAAGCGAGAAGCAAGAGTGTCGAACAGAGCTCTCCAGGACCAGAATGTGCAGTACACCGACAGACATCTCCACAGACAACACCTGCTCAACCTGCCAGAATGTCTGCCTTATTGGACATCAATAAGCTCCTAGGCTCATGTTAGATAAGCATTCTCAACTGTCAGGGGCAACCTATGAAATTTTAATATTTCGACACAAGCATCTCAAAGAGGTGCAAATGGCAAAGAGTGGCAAATGACATTTTCAAGAATTCAGGTTTGCACAAAATAATACCATAATGACATATTAAAATGCTGAAATCATTGTGAACTTTTGTTAGTTACACTGATGTTACCATTTTAAAATCCCCCAATACCTTTATGTAACACTACCACTAAGTTCCAAAGTCATGCTCTTTATATAGCAACAAATCTCAACTGTGAATTCTACTAGAATTGTTTGCAAAGTAAAAGGAAAAAAATTATAGACAAGCATCAGGAATAATTAATTTATGGATTTCTTAAACAACTTGAGGAAAAATACATCCTGAAAACAGAATTGAAAATAAAAAGCAGAATGTAAGAAATGACCAAAATGAGGATTCTGACAGAGACTCATCAGTAAAGAGAAATGGAAATGGAAAATGTGCAGCAGAGCCAATATTTGTCTGCATACGAGATCCCTAAAACAAACACAGCTGAGAGGAAAGAGTGCAAAGCAATGTACCATGTACCTTATTCTGAGGGTCAATAATGAAGGAAACGTGTTTGCAGACACTCTGAAGCTTCTGAATGAAAAAAACACGTGTTTAATCTCATGGATAACTGTAAAATTGGCAAAGGAACTGAACAATGCCGTTGTTCCTTTAGAAATGAAAAACACATAGTTGGACTTTCAGAATGCCTTTCATGTTAATGCTCATTATCAGTGCAGAATTTGTTAGTGATCTCTGCTTGTCAGTGAGTACTTCAAATCTCAGCAGGGGACGAATTATCCTCTGCCTTCAGGAATAGAGGGAGAAATTAAAGGTCTAACATTACTGATGGAATACACATACTTGTACAGAAGGTCTAACATGTCTGGGCCCTGAATTGTAAACACTGGACGCTTCGAAATATTATAATGTCCTACCAACAGAGTAACAGTGTGTTAGGTACAAAAGAAAAGAAAAAGAAACAATGGTCTTCTAACTGTAGATAGCAATTTAGTCTACAATCTACACTGAAAAAAGGAGTAGAACAAAATGCCAAAGCATTTGTATTAAAAACTACAGCATTTCAGTCCAATTTAGCAAATTGCACCCTGGAGAAAAATAGTTCCTAGCAAGTAACATGTGATTAGTGGAAATAATAACCTTTGAAAGTTGATTCATGCATTTTGAAGCAATTTCAACACACATTTTTCTTGTGACTCATTTAAAGAAACTGATTCTTCATGACTTGCTCATAGCTTTGAGATTTTTTATTCTTTACTACTAGGGTAGAAGTGAACTATATGCAGTCTTCGTCTGATAAAAATGTTGTTTTCCTGCAGTCTCTCTTCTTGGTGGCTAAGCAGTTACTGTACCTTACGTACAACTTAGTTGTTGTTTTTTTTTCACAGAAAGAGAATCTGGGTTGGAATAACTGCAAACAGATCACTTGTACTGTATGTATGGCTTCCCTTGGACATTTCAATGAACTATTTTAGCAACTGTTGCAGAGTTGTCGCAAAATGTGTTGCAAATCAAACTCTGCTGTTGGTTCTGTGAAAAACAGAGGACCAAAAGTATTTAAGACAGAAGTATGGCACACAGCGATTTCCCATTACTCTTTCAGGAAAGGTCCTGCATATCAATAGAAGCTGAACAGAGACATACCGTATCCTTTGTGGGGGCCAGCATCTCCTCAATCATGATGCTGTCTCTTGCGAAGGAGCTTCGGTTCAGAGTGTTGGACCTATCCGAACTGAAGGAGCGTAGGCTGTTGTATTTACAATTTACCATACAATAGGGGGTGACAATGAGATGAACAGAAAAAAAATTGATTACTGCATGCAACTTCCAGGGAGCTGTTGCATAATTTTAAAAACAAATTCCACAGCACTGGACAGAACTTATGAAAAGATGGATGTGAGAAAATGGAAAGGCGCTATTCATTGAGAGGAAAGGTGAAAATCCTTAGGGTTGTGTCAGTCCAGCTAAAAATGCAGGCTGAACTGCAATTTAAAATGAAATGCATGTGGGTGTATAAATGGATGTTACTTTCACACACACATCAAGACAAAGTAAAGAATACCAAGTGAACACACGTATTTAGGACGGTTTGATATTGTGCCGTAGACCATATTGCATATCATTTTAAAACACATTAATGAAAACAAATACTTTGATCCATAGAATATCTCATTTACTGCATTACTTTGGATTTGTAGATTATCAGACACACATTAGGCTTTAAATTGATGTTAGGGATAAAGTTTTCCCTTTTTCAAACAAGATTATGTTGAATCAGCTTGATGTAAATTGTTGAGAATTACTGGAGAATTGTATGAATTCAGTAGAAAGAATACGATGAATCATTGAACAAACTGTGTCTCTGTATCCCACAAATATCTTAAATTGGAAAATCCTTACAAATTTTGTAGAAGTGTGTCCCTGGAATCATTTTACTAATGGTGTCAATGAAATACTGGAATGTATGATTCTACTGTTGCCTATTTCTAGATCATTTATTGCTCATTATCATTATCGATAATGACTATCATTATCATTACAATCAATAAATAATCTCACTAAGACTTAATTATCTGTTATAACGAAAGCTTTCAGTAAATGTTTCCAGACCTTCTGACACTAACAATATTTTTCCCTAAGACATATTTTGTAATGTGTTCAATGAAACAGTTTAGCTCCCCTGTGATCTATCCCTCACCTGATTTCAGGAGATGCAGAATAAATGTATACCAAAAATAAAAAAGTCAGGAAGTGATGACAAGATCACCTAAGTTTTAATATTCTATATAAGAGGAAGTGAAATAATTTAATGGAATACTTCCATAGTTTCTTGTAAAACCTAAAGCAGAAATCACGGCTTTTGGCATGTCACAGGATTCTGTAAGTTTAAATCCAGTTTTATTATTGACCAAGTGATCCCTGGAAGATACAGTACATAGAGGGAGATTGAGGACTAAACTCATGCTAAGGTATGCATCACCTTAAATGTCCAAACAAAGCAAAAGGAATTGCGCAATCTGTGCTAATCACAACAAATTGCCATTTATATATTTTCTTTTTATTAACCATACTTTGTGTACCAATGACCTTGATCATTTTTATTAAATAAATAGATTGTTTCAAATAAATGTATCATTTCAGTCAGGTGCAAAAAAGGTGAAATGTTTATATTTTAATGAGGAAAAAAGGTGACTCTTTGAAAAAACAAAAGAGCAAGCAAAAACTGTTTTCTACAAATGGAAAGCAACAAAATTTAGCACATCACAAGGCGATGGTTAATGAAGTTGCAATGGTCAGGGAGACAGATAAGATGCCGCTACTGCACATGTGTCATGCCCTCTTACCTGATCTTAGGGCTATGGCAAGAAATAAGTGGGGAAATAAAAAAAGAAAACAGTAGAGATTGAAAGCAAAGAATCAGAAAGACGATAAAGCAGAAATGCTGTGGTTTAATGACATTGACATCAATGCTCTGCCTTTGCATGTGTTATACTCAGAGACCACAGTATGCTTCCACCATCCCAAATGAGTTTTCTTTCAAGAATGGCTGCACATGCCTCAACAAGGTCTTATAACAAGAGACGGTTTGGGTGAGAACATATTTTTGTCCAAGAGCATAAAATGCAAGCAGACTCAGGTGATGCAGAAAAAAAAGTTGCTTAGCAACATAGAGTAATGGCTCAATTGAAACTGAGAACTTATGGATCCTAGTACTTCCAGACACAAGGGAAACAAATGTTTTTTTAAGGTTAATGCTGCTTGGTATGTTACAAATATGTGTATACTACCCCATGACATTGGTAGAAGTGCTTTCGTGCTTGTCTGTAACTCAGAGCACAGCCAAGCATACAGCTATTGGTCACATCAATACTTTGATGTGTTGATGGATGCCCGGAGCAAAATAAACGAGCACTTTAGTAGCTCCTGATATCACGTGTATGGCTTGACTATCAAACATGCCCTTGAAATGGTAGAAAATGAAAAGGCCTTCATAAAAATCATGATAGTCAAAGCTTTTCAGGGCATAGGCATCAAGGTTAATCACCAAATGAACCTGTATTCATTTATATAACCTTTACTGGCAAACCAAAGCAAGCCAGCACTAATTCCTGACATAAACATAGACCAAGCCTTGCAACAAACATTTAGATTAGTAGAGAGCAAGTTTGTCTTTTCAATGAGTGATTTTCCTTTCCACTATTTTGGAATAAATAACAACTAGATAGTCTGCTGTCAGATCCTAGACCAGACAAATGATAATGCACTCCTTTTTTTTGTTTATGAAGGTGTTGAATTACAAAAAGATTCCAGGAACACAAGTTACAACTGAGAGGAGCCATCTGGCAAAAGAAACAATATTTATTGATCAACATTTAATTACTGTACTGTCTGAGGACTTTTATTTTAAATCCTGGAATTTCTTCCTTGACATTTTTATAGTAATCACTCGTCATTTTTTCCTGAACAAACTTTATAGAGTTGAACTGAAGTAATTCAATTTTGCCCTTTAAACATAAACTGGGTGTCTTGTTAAATTTTCAGAATTTTTACAGTGACATTTTAAGTTTACTTAAATGGCATTTTTAGAAAGTTTCTATCTGGCTAACAACCTTATACTGCTTAAATCTCCAATGGAATTTTTATAAGAGTCAAATCACTGAAAATGGTAAATGAAACATGCAGACAGATTACATTACCTGGCAGATCGCGCTCCTATACTGAAACCCATATAACCTTCTTGCGGAAGTGAGTCGTCTCCTAATTCCTTCAGATCTTGTGGCCCAAGGTATTTGTCTGTGTCTCCAGTCATTGCATCCTCACCTAACAGAGAGCCTCAGTGTTACTCAAGCACAGTGCAAATGGCTGCAGCCTGGTTCAGCTTGTACACTGTACCCAACGAGTAAGCTCTGAGTAGCTGCTGAAAGCACTTGATAACTAATCAATGTGAACTAAACTCTTCCCACAGGCCTTTTTCCAGCTCCACAGTGAACACCCAGCTGAATGTTATGAACTGTCAAACGGGTCAGCAACTGCTTCACAGCTGCACAGTCTGTAAACATTGCATTTGCTTCGGTTAGACAATGAGGAAAACTTTTCCAAGCTTTAAAAAGATAATTCAATCTAGATCAACTTCACAGACAATGCTAATTGTGCACCGTGGATTTTCGCTTTATTCATTAAAAGTTGGGAGAAACAAATGCATATGTTTCCTTAAGTTTGGGAAGAAAAGCCATAAAGCCGAAAGGGTTAAGAGAGCAAAACTCAGAGCAAGTGCACATCAGCCTTGGGGGGAGAAAACAGCATTCCAGCAGCGACAAAGCCAGCACTCAATGCCTGTTCCCTGCTGATACACTATGCAACAACCCCTCCCCCCAAAAAGCAGCCTCACTGTCCCGCAGCTGGCTGGAAAAAAAAAAACATCCCTTGCACCCTTCACACATCAGAATTAGAGGAACGCTTACTGACAAAACTCCTGCAAAACCACCTCAAAAATTCTATTCTCCTTACTTCGTATTAAGCCTTTCCATTAAATGTCCTCTTCTGTGAATTTGCATGCATTAAACAAGTTGAGCAATCCTTTTTTTCCCAATGACTAATCTGCTACAGCAAATGTTTCAGGCTACCATTTTACCCATCCCGGACAAATAAACAGATCAGCTTTCTCCCACTTGTGGTGCCCGGGATATAAGGTGATTATTCTGGGCAGCAATTCATCAGCTGCGATACTCAGAACACAGGGCACCCAGCAGTAATTTAGGACTAGAATAGCAACTCCTTGGAATGTTCAACTTTATGTTAGGAAGCCTTACGTAGTTGGGAAGCCATTTCCTGCCACCAGTCTTAACTAAAAGGCTTTTTTGCTTTAGCTTTTTAATTCCTTTTCTGGGGCTCTGATCACTCCACAAACCAGGTCCTTCTCAGATAATCCCTTGAAGCACAAGCCCGCTAATCCTGAGATGTCATGTTCACTCTTCGTCCTCAAGCACAGAGCCCCCTGCTCTCCTTTTTCCAGCACCTGAAACTGCCTGTTGCTGCAAACGGCACTGCTGTTGTTCCCGCTGCTAACTGTGTTCACGCTGTGTGGGACTCTCACACACATCATTAAAGAACAGTCGCAGCCATCTGAGGTCAAGACAAACCGAGGTAATACTTTAGGCAGCTCTTTAAAGCTTCTTCTGATTGGATTTAAGACTTCCTCTGCATTGCAGTCCTGTAACACAGCTGAATGGCAATACAAAGGCAAAGAGGAGTTATTTGTATGTTAATCATGCTAATTCTTGGGAGTACCCTGTAATTTAACACTCTTCTTCGGGCGGTTCACAATGAGCCCCTCTGAAGGCAGTGAAATAAAACATGATCACATATATGAAATAAAACCCCTAGAGCGACAACTGCTTGCCCGTTTACTGGTAAGGGAGAAAGCAGACAGACTTTAAATGGGAGGGAACTAGTGCTCTCCTGTAGAATGTTGTTTGTGCTGTAACTAGAGAGTTTGCTTCTTCTAATGACCTGTTAACAACACAGAGCAATTTGTCTGGGTTTCTTCAGTAAAATAGGTTATGACAGCGCTAAACTTCACTAAGCATTTTGCATTTGATTTAACATTAAAACTAACATAAATATTTAGGTAGTCCTACATTAGTCTCTAAATGTACAACTTTTATTAATGCAAATTTAGTAATGTACATAAGATGTCTTCTGTACTAATTTGAAACCTAGCTAAATAAGATACACAATGTTTGAATGTTATTTGTTCCTTAATGTATTTTTCAAAGGTGTTACAGTGATGCTTTTTATTACGAAACAAAAAAATCTGTCTTTTAAAATATCAAAGATGATTATTTCTTCTTTTTTTTTAAATAAAGGCATTGATACAATTAAGCTGCTTAACAAACATCCTGGAAATGAAAGAGTCACCTGAGTCAGGACTAAAGTTCTTAGACTAGAAAGGTTCACTGCACACTGTATCACCTGTAAACTGAACATTTGACTCTAAAGTTAATGGTATAAAACTTCATGCAATGTCCAAGCATGTTAATTATTTGTATTGTGGTATGAAAATGTAATGTTTTACCGGCTCAGAGCAAAAAGCTCATCATATATTTTAAATAATTTTTAGCCTGTTAAAAGATCTTATGCTCACATTCTGACACCCCCTTGTGAATTATATGGAAATATTCAAATATGCACTACACTGACAAATCTGTCTCACCAGCACTTTCTCTATAGCACAAATGAGAATTCAGGACAGACACATCGGAATCTTCAGAAACCCCCCGATAAACCCAAATTGTAACATTTTGGAAATATGACAAAGGACATTAAAACCAAAAAGGTATTGTGTTATAGAACATTGTTAATTGCATTGTTTCTAGGTTACAAAAAAATCAGAAGACAAAACAATTTTATCCCAATATTACAACCTGCATTACTAAGATAGTGACCTAAATTAACATTAAATTGTGCCAAAATATTAGCAGACCTCTTATATTATTACCTGAACCTAAGTTGTTACTCCTGAAAGTTCCCTTCCCTCTTTTATACCATTACAATTTCAGACTGAATGTTAAAGTCTATCAGCTGACACTGAAACCTCATACTGTCTTCTAAAGTTACTTCAGGGACACTGGCTGAACAAACTCATGCATTTTAAAAGCTGTTGACTGCATGCAAAGGCTTGAACTGGAGGCTAAGCATGAACTGAATCTCTCAAGATACAATCATTTTATATCAATATAAATATGTATTCATTGTTATATTTTTGGTCGAAACAGTAAATGTTGCAGATGCAATTCTCCACCATGTGTATTTGTAGGAAAAGGGGAAATAATCACCCTTCTTTCTGCAGATCTAGTGATAGATTACATCTTTTTTTTAACCTACAAATCACAGGTGATTTAATTAACAAAATTCCTTTCTGAGAGTTATGTGAATCACATCCAGTTATGATAGCAATAAATTACCTTTGTCATTTGTTTCCTAATACATGTAGATTTACTTGATCATAGTACGTACTTAAAAAAGAAGACTTTTCAACAACTTGCTATCATAAACTGTCCCTACACCATCAACACAAAACTGCATTTGTAATGTACAGTAGGCTTTACTTCTGTTTGCCCTCTGTTTAAAGTTTGTTCTACTATTAAAAGAGGAACTGCAGTCACAAATTCTCAGACCGGTTATTAAATCTTGGAAACAAAATAATTAAAATGTATCACAAAATTTTAAAAATTCTGAATGAAGTCCCAAATTCTGAACTTTTTGAAAGTACCGTATAGTCGCCATGTTGTCACAAAAAGCTGGTTTAGCCATGGGTGAGAGTGATAGTTTGCGAGAATTGTGATGTGAAACGACCCTTCCTGCTCACTAGTCACTGTAATGACTCATGTAAGGTGATGTACGAGCGAATAAGAACAGGTTGAGCAGAAGACATTTCACTGCAGAAATGTTCCAATGTGATCTGCATTCAGAGTTAACTAGTAAGTTGGATTTGTCAGTAAAATCATCTCAAAGTTGAGAGCAATATTTCTCTTGGATTAAAAGTAATGTATTCACAAGCCCGCTTGTTTACAATGTCATAGGGCCACGTACGTCACTAGACATTTTGTTGACTTAATCTGAATCACAGAAAATGGTGCTGCTCATACCCGGAAATTTAATCTATTCTGTGATGTACACTGGAGGATTTACACGTTACTGTGTCCATTTAACTTTCACTGTGGTTTGAAATGCACTCATCAATGCTGATTCTTTTTAATCAAAATATAATTGCCGTTCCCCTTAAATTCTTTCAGATTAGCCTGAAACAAAAACATTTGAAAGGGAAATCAATTAGTAGTGAGTAGTCAGACACAACCTCTCGATAAATTTAGATTTATACTCTACAATTCGTTCTCAGCATACTGAGAATTCAGAAATTCCACAGAATCCACAGTTTTTTGGAATGCAGTTCTATTCCGCCACTGAAAACCAGAAAATTCAAGTTTACCACTATGACTACTAATCTTTTGGTACTTTCTTTTGAAACATTTATACCGATTTATCAGGCTGGGTATTTTAGTCAAGTAAAGTACCTTGCTCAAGGGTACAACAGCAGTGCACCACCTGGGAATTAAACGCCTCAACTTTGTAGTTACAAATCTAGAGCCCTAGCCACTGCTCCTCACTTACTGTAGCTAAGTGTCTAAAACAAATAAGAAGCAAACAAGAACTATCTTCTGAATTCTTACTTGCTGTATTCCTACTTGAAAGCCATGACAATGACCCTTACATGTTTCCAAAGATAAAGAGCACTGAACAGAAGCAAAAAGAGAACTTTGCTTATTAACATATTCAATACTCAAGTGATCACTTAGCAACCAAAAAGAAGGCATATTCCACAGATACTAAAGCAGGAAATAAAGGCACCATGACAACAAAGCATAATGACAGACAGGGGACTGTTAGTTTTCAATTAATTAAGAAAGGGGGTAATTTCATACTTCTGCAAAGGACCACAGCATAAAAAAATTGCACAAATACCTTCTTCAACATCTGAAATATAGTCAGCTTCATTGAGACTTTCAGGTACATTGGCTTTACGAACTGTATAATTTAAATAAATAGAATGTTAAAGAAAATACAGTTGTTTAACTTTTGATACACAAACATATAACATAGCAATGTATGATAAATTCACAATTTGAAATATTAAATGCTAAAAAAATGTCAAATACTTAAAGCAGACAATTAAAAGACAGGATTAAAAAGAATTGTTTGTATGTACTCTTACCTTCATCATCTGACATGTCAAGAACCTCATTCATTGTTTCAGGAACATTCATTTTATGTTTTTCTGTCACAGTCTGTTGAAAGTAGTACAGAAAACATGGTTTCATTTTAAACCTCATTTAAAATAGCTATTTCCTGGTCAAATCCACCTAATTAGAAGTGAATGCTTGTGCAAATTTGATTAATATTAATTAATCTGGTTTCTGTTTTTTTCTACTGCAACTGGCATTTGTACTTATTAAGCAGCTGGTAATTCTACAGAACCAGTGAGCATCTAAATAAAAAGGCACAGCAGTATGACAGCAAGTGCCCCACCTGGGATTTGAACCCACAATATTACTGTCATGAGGCACAGGTGCCATCATCACAGATCATAGCTAGAATCATAGTCTAGCATCCCTGACTCTTTGGTGTACATTCAAGGCAGAAGGGACAGCTAAAGATTTGTTAAAGGATAAAAAACATGGTGTAATAAATAAATACATTTCATATACTTTTTATTATGATCTTATTTTCAAATAAATGTGGGTTTATGCTTGCTATCGAAAACATAATTACATCTTGAAAATGTAAAGATTACGTAAAAAAACAAATTGGATGCATTTCTGACCTATCTGCAGGAAAGCAAAAAGGCACCAATAAATGTGTTTTTTGTGTCTCTGTTCAAAGCAGTCTGTTATGATAAGGTTCTGAGATTAATTAATTTCTTCTCACAGTCAATCAAGTTTATTACTGCCCTTGTTTTATCCTATCTTGCTGAGTACATGCCCAACAATATGAAAAGAGGTCAGTGTGGGAAGTAACATCCTGTATCTGTGTGCGCTGCTACATTCAAACATATTAAGTCAAGACAATAGCTGACAAGTGCTTTATCATTCTGCAGTTAGTCCTTGACTTTGTATTACAGAACCTTCTGGTCCCACAATCAATTTTCCCTAATTTCTTTCTGTCAGCAAAGCAGAATCATACTATATGTAAGCTGTCTAGAGCTACATGGAAAATGCTTGTATATTTTAAATCTGCTTACAATACAATAAATGTGTAACAAAAAAAAATACAAATGAGCTACAAACAAGAAGAGGAGGCCATTTAGCCCATCTAGCTCTTTCAGTAGTAGCTAACTGATCCAAGGATCTCATCCAGCTGTATCTTGAAAGAAGCCAGGGCTTCTGGTTCAATAAGATGGCGGAGAAGCTTGTTCTTCGCACCCTCAACTCTCTGCACCATGATGTTCCTCCTGTTCACAGTTTTAAAAGCACATCCCTATAGTTTCCACTAGTGTTACTAGTGTTCATGTGTAATGGTGTGTGTGGTACCAGTGTGGGTGTATTTTACTGGTAGGTGTGTTGTTGACCTGGAAGTGACACTCCATCTCCTTTGTCCTTTCCATTTATGTGAACCAATGCCCTCGTGGGCCCTCAGCTGCTAAAATGGAAGTATACAGTTAAAGCCAAAATGACAGCTTCTCTTACCGTGGTGGTCAGTGTTTCCTCTGTCACCACCTTCAGAGTGTCCACAACTGAAATGTAGCCCAGTCTTCTGGCAATGGCCAGAGCAGTGTTTCCATTCTGTGGGCAACAAAATCAAGTTATAGGGTAGGAAATGTGCAACAGAACTTGCAGGTCATATTTGCAGTTCAAACATGGGATATGAGAATGATATATTATTCTCCAAGGTGGCCATGAAAATCCCTTGCATATATACAGTAAGTGCTGCTTAAAAGTACTGTGTGCACAGATTCTTAAATGTCTTGGGAATGTCTTTCTTAGTTTATGGGGTTAATGTTGGTGTCTGGTTTGAAACACGTGTTGAGTACCTGTGAAAGCTGGTAGAAATTTGCTGTTTTACTTTTTTTTTTAAGCTTGCTTTGAATAAAGCAGGTTTTTGATCAATGAACACATTGGAGAAAATCTGACACAAATCTATTTCTATTTCAGGAACACCCCAGAAAAAGAATATGACGTTTAACTGCCAGTGCCCTTCGAAAACACACACAGTGTTCAACCATGAAGGATTAAAAACATTTCAGTTCTAAAAATGTACTGTACTGTCTGATTTTTCCCCAGCTTAAGTCGTGATGGAGGCAACTATAAATACAAAAGCTTCTTTTTACATTTTAACCTTGTGGGTGTCTTTTGTCGCTGGGCACCAAAAAGGTACTTGCACTCGTGTTCGTATGAGTGTTTTTACTAAATGAGCTACAGACTCTGTATTCTACCAGCTGTAACTGTCTCTGCCGCCGAGACCAGTGGTCTCTCTGGTTTTTCTGCTTCACTGAAATTGAACTACTTCATCAGCATTTCATCAGCTCAGCAGATTCTCTTCACTGGGACAAAGCGTATCGGAAGCTCCACTCCAGTAACTCACCACAGTCAGCTCATTGGGGGACGCGCCATGCTGCAGCAGGATGTTAATGATGTGGGTGTGCCCTTGCTGTGCTGCCTGATGGAGAGGTGTGTATCCATTCTGCAGAAGGACAACAGAAGACATTGAACACTGGTATCACAGACACTGCCTGGGGATCCAAAACACTATATGTAGTAAGAGGATATACCTTTGTCTTAGCGTTGACTTTAGCCTGATGTTGTAAGAGGAAGTTTACCATCTTCACATTCCCATAGTGGCACGCAACATGTAGGGGAGTGTAGCCCATCTGAAAATAGACAAAGACAAAGAATGCGTTAGTAACTCGCAGGCTTCGTAGGCATCATCCCTGACCCTTCAAGTCACTGTTGAAATGTACAGATACATTCTGGGGCTTAAGGGCATACAGTATGCTGCACTGACAGGCTGAAGGAACTGAACCCTATTAGTCTTGAACAGTGAAGACTAGAAGGGGACCTGACACAAGCTTTTAAAGTCCTCAAAGCCATCGACAAAGTCGATCCTGCAGGATTTTTAAGAACTGACATTGAAACACGCACCAGAGGACACAGGTGGAAACTGCATGGAAGTGCGTGTAAGACCGAGGAAGAAGGCACTTCTTTACCCAAAGGGTTGTGGGAGGATGGAACAAGCTACCCAGCCATGTTGGTGGAGCTTCTTTCAGGACATGGCTGGATGAGATCCTCAGATCAGTTGACAACTAACAGATGGACTCGACAGGCCAAGTGGCCTCCTCTAGTTTGTAACCTTCCTGATGTTCTTATTGCTATAACCGTTGAGCATCATTTATATATCTGAGTAGCAGCTACATAAAAAACTTGAATGATTTCCATATCCATGTCAAAAATGTCATTGAACCCTACCGGGAAACCCTTAAAAACCTTTCTGATTTTTTTTTTTCTGGAAACTTTGATATTTCTTCCAGAATAAAAACTGTTTAAACTCAAATCTTTATGGCTCCATTACTACTCATTTTCTACACTGCAGCCTCCTAAGCCAGAAGCTTCTTTTACCATTGCATGGCACCCTTCATGTCTCTGAGGAAAAAGGATTGTCCTGCACAGTTCCACTGGTTCTGAACAGTATTTACTAGCTCGCGTTGAGTACGGCAACTAATTTCCTCGGAGGAGGTATATAACATGGCAGGTGAGGTGCAGTGCCTTCCTGTTCGACCCAGTGCACGTAGTCTGCTGTGTTCACGGGCTGCCAGCAGTGAAGCGTGAGAAGTCCTGTCCAGGTTCACTTGCCACAGCTGCCCCTCAGCATGTGCGGGCTCAGCTGTCAAGGCACATGTACTAAGGTGCACATTCGGTTGTCTCTCACTTCCTGACAAGGTGCACATGATCATGATTTTCTCTTTTCAAGCTCTGGCACACAGCACCTCAGTTTAGACTCTGTGACCGAGGACTGTTCTCTCTTTCATTTCACAGGGGTAGTGGTGCTTTGGCTCTTGAGTGATCTCCGCGAGCTGGCATCTCACGGGGAAAAATAAAACAACATACTAAAAAGGGAATTCAGTCTCAGCAAGGGACTGCCCTGCATTGCAAACACATGGCATTCAAAACAACAACAAAACCCAAAAGTAACCACTTCTTCATTAAAAATGTGTTAGATTTGTCTATAAAAGACACAACAAAATTCATGTATTGGGTTATGATTTTTTTTCATGAAGTGCACTGTACGTCCACATAAAAAAGCAGTGATGTGCTTTATTGCTCTGGAGAATGGCAGCAAGGTGTTTTACCTTTGTCTGTGGATCAACTGTCGCCCCTTGGTTCACTAAAACCTCTGCAACATTCACTCTATCTTCCTGAGCAGCCAAATGGAGAGGAGTCAAGCCACTCTGGAAGAAAGGCAAGAAGCTGTGATTACGATTTACAGACAGAAATTAAAATGTGGCTGATAGAATTTATAACCCCAGAATACATTTTCAGAGAACCACATTCTTCCTCAATTCCATGTGAAGGAAACACTAACAAACACCCAAACCACTGTGTAATCATGAAGGCCAACGCACCTCCAAACAAGGCATTAACACAGGGGTGTAACTTACAGTACTTTGAATTAATGAACATTAAACTATCCAACTGGTTCCTAGGATGCAATGTGAGAAATGATTAACTCTAGTGTGGGGTTGAACTGATCTATTCTTATAAAACATCAATATACTGTTTTAAATTTTAGAACTCACAACTCCATCAAAGCAATGCCCAGCACAACATTGCTTACATCCTGTTTTTTGATGTCACGTGTTTGCAAAGGGCTGCTCACAAATGTGACACGGTGTGTAGTAATGTCACATGTTAACACAGAAGGAGCCGGGCCTCAGCCTTACCTTATTGCCCAGGTTGACA